TTTCATGTAGGGTAGGGTGTTGAGTTAGGGTACAGGTGTAAACAAAGATGAATGGAGAATTCATGAATTCGCTAAGAGAATTGTAATACTTGAGTATTGGTTTTCATAACTACTGGGACAGTGGGAGTCAAACATGGGATACTGCAAAAACAATGCTTGGGCATGTATGTTGAGATTTTTTGGGGGGGGACTAATGCTTATCTTTCAATCATATCAGCAGACGCCTATCACTATCAGAAATGGAAATGATGTTTTGACACTGGCTGTTGGACTATTTCAAGGGGGCGATGACATTTGCTCAGAATTTCAAACAGGGAACAACTTTTTATGATGTTATTACTATTGGCTATGTGTGGGTGTTTCTGTGCATGGTTGTGCATGTAGATATTGCCTTGAATTCCCCTCTCCTTCTGTAAATATTTGTTCAGATGGCTGGTTATAATTCCCTATCCCTGGTTGCTTAGATCTTTCACATGATATCTGAACTGGTTTCTCCGACTTGGGAAGGAGTGCTGGTATTTAGGTATATTTAAGCAAGGTTAAAAAAAAGAGAATTTCAGGGTTAGGTTTTGTAGATAATTTGTGACTGCACGTGTATGACATGTGGTTGAACTTTGTTTAAAACTTTTCACAAAGACATGCAATACTGTCTGATGTAAAACTGTTGTAGTTATTCAGATCATGCACTTTTGTTAAATGTTTTAATGTTTAAAAAGGAAATTAGCAAGTACATCTCTCGCACAATTATGTGTGTAAAAAACATCCCTTGAACCAACATGCGCGCGTACTCCATTCGTTTGCACTTAGCTACACTTCCCGGGTCTAAATGACGTCAAACTTCGGTACTCTATAGATTTGTGGAAAATCTGTCTTTGATCAGAGCATTTCACTTATGTATTGAGGGTGTGGATGAATTTATTGTTGGGATGGTACATGTGGTTCTTTTGTTGTTGTGCTGTAGTTACCCACTCCGACTCCCTCTATGTAAATAAATATCGAATTTATAAATGCAAAACATCTCCACGGTTCATCGATCAAAGCAAACTTTGTTGGTTTTGGTTGCCTTGATAAACAACCAGCTAAAACTGGGCATGACATGGGCAGTGTGGAGGAAGTGTCTTCATGCCAGTCTTGGTCTGTATTGTGTAGTGTGTGCACAGGATTGTTGAGTTTTGAGCTCACTGGTTTTTGAGCCTCTTTAATCCCCTTTCAAAGAATCTTTTGAGTTGGGTGTGGTTGTGGCCATAGTTGCCAAGGGCCCTTGTTCAGTGGAGTGCCTATGTGGATTCACTTTGATGGGATGATTAGTGAAATGTTCTGATTGGTGTCTGCTGTCTGGGTTGGGGGAATGTACACTTCCTGTACGTTTTTCAGTTTTTTAGAAGATTTAGGTTTTATCTAACTTTCTGCATTTCTTCAATCAGTCAGTGACATTTCCTGCATAAACCTTTTAGACTGTTCTTCATGTTGTGATTTTTCCTTCAGTGCAGTTTGTGCTTGTACAGTTTTTTTTAACAGTGTTTGTACAAACTTGCATATTTTGCAAAACAGTCTGATTGATCTTGTTTTGATGTGTAGGCCCCCTATGTACTTTCACACAGAAAGAGTACTTTGGAAAATAGTGTGGCATTTAATAATTAAAAAGTAAGTATTGATTAATAATTTGTTTTTTTCAGAAATAGCATGTGCAGTATTTTATTTCATGCTCTTGGAATAGGAAACTGAAATTACTGACTATTGATTATTGATTGCTTAAGTCAGTTGGAAAAGATGAAAAATGATAACAGTTTTTCATATTGATTGCACATGTTTGCACAGTTGCTGGAAAGTGGGGAAGATAATGTTCATTTTGGACCTAGTAAAAGACTCCCTGGTGAAAATGTGAAAACAGAGTTTATGAAAAATCAAAGAGAAATTGATACTGATAGGCCTATTATTTAAAGTTCATTGTTTGCCACATTCAACCTGTTATTTCAAAACAATTGCAAAGTTTGTGTTTGTGTCCGACCTAATCCATTGTACTTCATACTGAATATAACCATTGTGGTGGATAGTTATCTCACAATATGCTGATAACTCTATTGCTATGTAGTATTGTTAATCACAAGTCCTAAGTCCACACGATTACTTCATAGTTGTACATTGTATTGTTGTAACCGCTTTTCATCTAGCAGTATAAGAACACAAGTATGTTGAAATACTGAAATACAAGTGTGAATGATTCTTCTATACATGCTAGATGGTATTACATACTGTAGAGCCATGGTTTTTCTTGTCAACATGTTTGTAATTGTTAGCCATAATGTAACAAGCACACCACAGAGACATGTGAATGTAACCCATAAACAACATTATTAGGTGGCCTGGGGAAATATAAATTAAAACAATTAAATGTTTCTCCCTGTAAACAGTATTTCTTCACATAAAAGGCTAGCAATAAAAAAGGTTTATGGTATACCAGTGGACACCCAATACATTGTTCCATAGATTCAATTTTCTGATGTTTTAGTCTAAATGTAAAGGACCTTCTACCTATTCCTCCATTTTTAAAAACCCTTTCAAAGCAGGGAATCCAATAACAATTCTCAGTGATACAAAAAAAAACCTAGTGCAATTTTTCCGGTAGTTGGTGCAGTCAAATGTGTGAACATGTGGTACACATGCAGTGGCTAAAAAAACAGGTGGTTTCTGAAGTAGAAAAAAATCCATTTTTGGAGGTCAGGTCAAACCAGACACATGGAGTACACCTCCCATTGCAAGGTCAAATTATTGTTCCATTGATTGGTTCTCATTGGCCGCCGGTTGACCTTCATGGTCATATGACCTTCTTGGCTAGCAACTAGCTGCTGACAATGCAGCATTGGGTGTGTGGGATACTCTATGGCTCACCATGGGAAAACAAAATCTGGAATGCTGATGTAAAGTGTCTCTGCTGGTGGTAAGGAATGAACGTCCCATCGAAGAAATTTCTGGGCTATGATGGAGTGTTATTACACGTGTACTAACATTCCTTCACTAACTTCCAAAATAAAAATAACTAAATAATGAAAAATCAGGCTAGACTTTTCTGAAGCTTATGATCTGTTTGATTATTTTAATATTTATATATATGTGTGCTTGTAATGTACAAATGTACATTTTTAGTATTGCTATACCTTATTCGTCAAATATATCTTCAAATGCTTCTGTTATATTTAATTTTGTTATTACTAGACATGGGTCCTAGACTTTCACCCTCTTATCTCTACTCATTTTTGATAAATGTGGTTATTTTTATGACTGAAAGTTATTAATAAATTACTCCACAAATTTTAATACATAATGTTGATTTAATCAATTGTAGGCACTTTTTGGGAAAGTCGAGAGCTAGTTATTCAATAACGTTGTAATCAGTTGGAATTGCAGATTTTTGTTAGTGTTTTCAAAGGAATATCCTGTGTGATTTAAATTGCAACTGGAGGCAACAACATCTGTGCGGTCCATTATTGATCTATTCAAATTGAAAACTCACTTTTTCTATTAAAATTCTGATGGTTACGTGATCATAAGATGTTGTGAGAACAAATTTGAATCGGAATGTTATTATTTGTTATTGGTACACAATAAATTTACCTGTTTTGCAAAATGTTTCAAATTTAACATGCCTTCTATACTAAGTTCCTCAATGGTTATTGGTAGTGGTTAGTATAATGCCACAACCCCAACAAAAATGGAATAATCCAATTATGGCAACAGGTGGCAAATGTACATTGGAAATGGGCTGGAACCTTCCAAACTGCAAATAGGGGTGTTCTCAGTTGGAGAAGTAGGCCATTCAGCTGACTGTGATCAACCCAATTATGCTGACATGTCAAATTTTGCTGGCACACCAAAGACTCTTTTTACAGTTTTAAAAAGTGTATGCATGGAGGTGTTTTTTAACATAAATACTTTTTATGAATGTGCTTTAATGTTTTGGCTAAGTTGATAAACTGTTAGTGAACTAACAAATTTAATAGGGTTATTATAAGTTAGTATTAATTGATGGATTGTCCCACATCACTTGTTTAATTATCAAATGAATTGGAGTAGAGCTGTTGATTCAGTGATTCCAAAAGCAGATAAATTTATATATTGCTGTGGCTTATCTTTAATGGATAGGCCTAGTTCTTTCAATTTCTCAAATTAATCATTTGTTTGATTATTTGTTACCAGCCAGCTGGTATAAATCGTCCATATGTTCAGGTATACATGTATGCTGTGTGGGAACTGGCTATCTGTACAAAAATTTAGCCAAGAGTACCCAGGATGATGCAATCATACTAGGTCATAACCTTTTACTGAACTCATAACAAGATCCTTCCTCCTACTTTACAAATTACAGGCTTTAAGGTAAAAGGAAAGTTTATGTAATCACAGATTACAGTTGTCTGACTTAAACTTTTAAAGGTCGCTGACCGAAAGGAATGCAGTGATGGTCAGTAGCCCTGTACAGCTGTAAATATTTCAAGTAGTCGTGAATTGGTGTAGACAAAGTTGTGTAACCGCTGATAAAGTTGTCTGTAACTCTACAGTTCATCTAAGTTAAAGGTTTATTTTGACCTTTATACATGTACATGGATTTCCGGTTGGTAGCATTCAGTAGCCCTGGATAGCTGAAAATATCAGTCATGAAATGGTGAAGAGAAAGTTTATGTAATCACTGATAAAATCGTCTGCATCTACAATTCATTGAAGTCAAAGACCTATTCTAAGGGATTTAGGCACGGTTCAACCATTTTCGTTGAATGGACTATAATCAGTCATGCTTGTACACAGAAAGTTGATGTACAGGGGAAAATTGTCTAGATATACAACTCATTAAAGTACAGCTGGACGATGTTGAAATACAATTAAACTTTGAATGTATTTACTGAAAATGATAATACAATGAAATGTATATTATAATGTTCGCTTCAATGGAGGTTTCATATTAAGTACACATCCTCAATTTGTTTCTTCTTTTTGCTTCTCTTCATCAGCCTCTGTCTGAGCAGCTTGAAGACGTCCATAACGACAATTGGTTCCACACCCTGTTTGATGACCCCATGTTATGTGACAAGGATTTTGGGGCCCCCTCACCGACCCCTCACATCCAGGCAGAGCACAGCTACAGTCTCAGCTCACTCAGTGAGCCGGGATCTCCTGTTTCTAGCGGCTTTACTGAAGGTACGTTCAGTTCTCTGTCGTCCTTTCGTTGACTTAGATGATATCCTTGAAATGTAAGATCCTGATGTGGCTCTTGTCTAGCCATTTTTGTTTCAATCTAAACTGCTTACCACAAGGCCAAGGCCACTCAAGTTGCAGAATACAGAAAATAAATTAATTAAAGAGAGCAGGAATCTGTTGATATGTCATTTCAACTGTGAGGTTGGAGGTTGTAAAGGACACTTATCTGCTTCTATTACAATCACACTAGGGTCAAGGCATGCCTTCTATTTTCTCCTCTATATCACAGATGAATTGGACTCCTTTGATCTCCCACTCATGGACTCTGAGACTGACCTCCCTGTTATCATCAAAACAGAACCAGTAGACAACCTCACAGACGCCCAATACATCCTGAAGGAGCCTGTCCCTAAAGTGGTCTTCCCAACAACCATGACTGAAGGTAGTTACCCTGGTGGAGTTAAGCCAACTCAGACCATCAAACCAAAACAGGGTGGGATCAAGATCAAACTGGAACCAATGATGCTGGATATGAGCACAAACAATGGTACATTTTGTTAAATGATAACTTATATTATCCCTGGGACTCGGTATATTGACCTGCTAATAAAAAGGTATTGCTGAAACTTGACAAGCTTGAAATTTCTCTTCATCACTGTAATTATAAACAAATCATGATGTGATGTTGTATGCACTATATGGTTAACATTTCATGAAGTACCTTTTGTTCGAATGTAACATGTCAAACTATGTCAAGTTCAAATTTGCTGTGATCAACTAACACTTGTAGACCTTCCTGCCCGTCAGTCAATCAGTGCACATGGACCAAATAAATCATGAAATGTACCCAATCTAAATATCCGTCGTGCAAGTCCAAGGTTGGAACGCTCCATTCTTCAAAGAATGCATCTTGCAAAACTGCGGATATTATTGGAAAAATTTCAAGATTAAGTACCTGTAATGTAAGCCCAAACAGTTCAAATGACAGCAACCTGAAGTTGATTTGAAAGAGCTTTGTATGATTGTCTGTTGTTGGAATTTTTTTTTTAGGACTTGATGGCTTTTGCCTACCACCTACCCCACCAAGCAGCACAACGAGTGACAGTGAGGGTGGTAACAGCCCCGCCCGACAATCCTCAGAACCTGGAAGCCCACGACCAATGCCGACATTCGTCAAGAAACACGACCTTCACTCTCGCATGATCAGCACGCAGCCAATCTTCACCAACACACAGGTAGCACAGTTCTCAAACTTTTCAACCTTCACAACCCAATTCACAATCTTCCAAACCAGAAGCCAAATTTATACTTGAGGTTTTCAAGTTCATGAAAAGGCAAGTGTTTTAAACAGAAGCAACTTTGTTGAAAATCGACTGTTGCTGTCATCCAGATGGTCACCAGGGTGTAGCAATTGAATGTAAATATATACAAAAATCATAAATCGGTTCAGGTAAGATTGAGTGGCTCCCTATATTATTTGGTTCAGAGCGACTGTGAAATACCTGCCTGAAACAGATTTTAATATTCACAAACTTCAAGGTGCTCATTGAGGTGATTTTGAAGTGATTTTCTGATTCTTTCTTCACAGAGACTGCCCCAGTCTGGTCCCCTCATTCTAACTGAAGAGGAAAAGAGAACATTGACAATGGAAGGCTACCCAATCCCAACCAAGCTCCCTCTGACCAAAGCAGAAGAGAAATCACTCAAGAAAATCAGGAGGAAAATCAAAAACAAAGTAAGTAAAAACAAGACAACTTCAGAAACAGTGGACGGAGAGCTTAGACCAAGCCTCAGCTGCACATTACCTGTAACCTTTCTGATCTCAAAACTATTTTAGCATTTGCCTTTAAAGTATAGCTGTCTTATGACCCATTTCTTGTTTTCTGTCTATTTTTACTTAAAGGCTTAAAGCAGACAGCTTTTGTTCCATGATAAGAACTTTGAAAGGTTGTGTGCCAGATCTCGAGCCTCAAACTTGCTGGGATTTTTCCCTTGTATAAGACAAAAATCTTGTTAATGTTTAGACTGCTTCTTTAGACAAAAACTTGTAGTCCAAGACCAAGAACTTTGGAGATCATGGACCTGCAGGAAAAGCATGTCAATGTCTAGTCACTGTCTCGTTTGCCCTTTCCTGTTGGATCAATCACTGACTAGAACAGTAACTGCAAAAAGTCATTGACAACTCTTCTGGGAGCCTGTCAGAGTTAGAAAATGCCACCTCTTAAGCATGATATTTCTTTCAACGTAACTGAAGATTTTCCTGTAGATTTTCAGTTGAAGATTTAGTGATCAATGTATTTCGAAAGCCTTTCAAGAGTACACTGGCAGTAAGACTGATGATAAGATATCAACGTTTATGAGATGGATGGTATCAGTGATCTGTCTGTCTGATAACTGTGGGAGCCAAGACGTGGTTATCACCATGACTTCCTTAATTGGAATCATCCTGGCTAGACATTGCAGACCCTCATTTCCACCTGTTGTCTCATTGTCTACTCTAGATTTCAGCACAGGAGAGCAGACGGAAGAAGAAAGAATATGTGGAAGCTCTTGAAAGAAAGTAAGTTTTTAAGAACCCACTGGAAATCTTATTCTTGCTGTCATGGGAATGTCTGTGTGTTGAAGGTGTGCTTTTGGAGTCAATGTTTATAATATGAATTTTGGTTATGAATTTTGGGATTTTTATTTGGGGGGGGGGGGGGGGAGGAAAATACCCCTAAATTTGTTGAGTGTACAGAATTTATACACATAGTCTGTGCAGGGCATAAAATTAATCTGGAGAAGTTAAGAGCTTTGTTAATTTTAACTAGTGCCATGTTTTAAGAAGGATATTTAAACACTTCTGTACTGCAAAAACAAAGAATTGTTGCTTGATGATCTTGAAGTTAGTCAAGAAATTTCAATCAGTTCAAAACTATGTTGCAATCTTTTTCTTTCTACAGGATGGAAACATACACACAAGAAAACTCGGACCTCAAACGGAAACTGCAGTCCATGGAATCAACCAACAGAACTCTGGCAGCACAGCTACAGAAGCTACAGAGTATTGTCAACAAAGTGACCAAACCACTCAAAGCCAACTCAACTCAATCCGGCACTTGCTTAATGGTAAGGAGCTGAAAATAACAGCCATCATCGCCAAGATGGACTCAGTAATTTGATTAAATCTGCCAAACAGGGACGTTCCAAGAAACGGATCCCTTGTGTTTTTCTCTGCAAATTTAAACCTGTGTGGTTTAACATTAAGTTCTATAGTTTCTTAACAATGTCTATATTTTTTTTTTGTATTTCCTTCTGCAGGTGCTTGTCTTATGTTTTGCCGTCTTCCTTGGTGGCTGGTCCCCACAATCTCTCTTTGGCAACTCCAACCTGCCCAAAATGCCCACACCCCCTGGCCCACAATACGGACCTCTCCCAAGCAGTTACTATGCCAGCATGCATTACCATGACAACCAGAAGAAAGAAGCTAAGATTGCTGGTCAATCTGGCGCCCCCTATGGACCGGAGTATCATTCAGCTTACTATGGCCCTTACGTCTCTGCAAGTGGTCAGTATCATGCCTTTTTGCAGTATTTTTTTCAAGGGGATGGAATTACAAACAAAATCTGCTCAGATAAAAATGCTCTATCAAGTTTTATCTATCACGTGCAAAGTGTCACATTTCTTATCGACTGAGAATACAATAAAGTACAAATTTGACTGAACACGCGTCTGTTATTGTTATGATAAATAGTGGGAAAATGTCAGAAGTGTGGCCATTATTTCACACACTGCCATGTCAAGTCAAATGCTAAGAATGCTTAGATATTATTTGATCTTCAATTCAGACAAATGAAGCATCTTTGAAACTTTTCAAGACTTTGCTTGAAAATTCCTGTGATGTTTTTTAATTGTCGTCACACGTTCTCCAGAAACACCATTGAAGATCATATTCACGTTTGAAGAATGAAATAGTCAGGAGGAAGTCACTAGGTAAGGCGTATAAGCTTGGCATTTGCCCTAGGCTTATCTAAACTCTGTTTCTCTTTGGGATTCATTTTGTAGTGCGGTCCTCCAGAATGCTCTATTCCTACGATGAAAATGAACCCGACCAGAAGCCAACCAAGGATTACCCGTACATGGAACGGATGAACCCCCTCGACCACGGCCAAAATATCCTGAGTAATAACAAGCCATCAGTGCCGTCTCTCCAACATCACGGCATAGATACCAACAACATGGCCGCCGCAGGAGCGTTCCTCAGCAACCAAGGGTCACAGGTCAACATGGCTGAGGCTCATGGATTTGGCAGTCTGCAGGCTGTGATGCATCCCGATATTGAGGCTCAGTTGGTTGCCATGGAGTCCGTGACAAGACTGACCAATAATTCCAAGAATAAGTAACAGCATCTCCCCTTGATTAGTAAAAATTGGATTAGGACCAGCCTGTTTTCACAAAATTGTGGAAACTATTGTGGACGGTTTAGTTGCGCGGCTTAAAACAAAATCCCTTTTGTAAGATTGGTGCCAATATAAGTATTAATGAAAGTAAAGCAACCTGTAAAAATGTTGAACATGTGAAATGCTATTTATCCTGCCTTAAGTTAAAAAGAATGCAGCTTATTGAAATTTAAATGACCCTAATTTCCCTGTAGAGAACATAATTAATATATTTTTCCTCTTTAAAGTCCTTTGTTGTGACAGTGAAAGAAAATGCAATGCAATCTACAATGCACAGCGGCACTGGAATGCATTTGTAACAGTTTTACCTCTGCCAAGCTTTTTGTGCCTTAAGAACAAAACCTTGAAACCTTTCTTAATCACCTAGTCAAATTACTATTGGGTCCAAATTCGTCCTTAGTATGCATTTATTAGGGGTGAAAATGTGGGAAAATTATAAGTCCACACCAAAAAAATGAGTGGAGTGTTTTTAGGGTTGCTGAGGCCCGGGAACAACATAGGGTCGATGGTATGTTTATAGTTGCCTAAAAGGCACCCTTAAAATTTCAATGTTTACAGTAAAGCCTCAGGAATTCCAGATTTCAAAAAAGGATTCTTAAAAAATCCTTAAATCAGGAAAAATCCTAACATTTCTCACCCCTGATTTCATATTCTTCAGTACTTTTTAGGTTATTAAGATTTTTTGTCATGGATCCATGAGAGGCTCCAAGTACATGTTAAGTGACTGTAAATCACAGAAAAGAAGTGCCTTGTTTATTTATTCAGAGTTTACCAGCTTTTAAGTATGAGGTATCCTTATTTTGTCCGACTGAAAATCTTAAATTGAATCCGTCTTGAACTAACCCTTTCAGTCTCTGGTTATGCGTACTTACAGTATGCATGTGGGATACATAGTCCAAAGGTCGGTTAAAACTTTGGAATTTAAGGATTAATATGGACATCCAGGGTCGTGGTTTTGGACTAAAACAAACACAATGTACATGAGGATTGGGGGAATATTAGATATATGGATTGGTCCCAGACATTTATGAAGAAGTTTCTAAGGAGAGTTATTTATGAATTCTCACAGTATTATTTGTGCTACCTTGTTAGAGTAGTGACAACGAAAAATAAGATACAGGTTCTTTTTTGTTTTATTTGAAATTTTTGCAGATTTGTCATTGCAAAATACGTCACAATTTAAATGATGAAATAGTGTATATTTACAAAGAATTAACAGTGGAAGTCTGTTTTCTGTTTCGAAGAAAAATTAAAGCACATAGCAGTAAGATTACCGAGTGTGTTAGATTGTTCAGTTAAGATCTGATGTCAGCAAATTTGAAAGTATCGTAGTATTGATAAACTTGGGAGGCATTTTAAGTTTGGAGCTTTTAGTCCAAAACTTGGGGGTTTTGGCAACAATTAACTTTGTTTTCATTTTATATTATTATAATCAATATATCAGAAGCTTTGTCTGTTGGAATTATATGTTAATTTTGAAACAGTACATTTGACAGTATTGGCGAAAAGGAAAGGAGTGATTGAAGTTATGGGCTTCCAAATTTGAAATACACTCAGAAATATAGAATGCAGATATGAAGTGTAGCATGGATATCAACTTGACTGTTCTGATTCAGAGGGTTTATGTCGTCATCATTGTTGTTGGAATTTAATTGAAAGAGACACCAGTTTGTCTTTTCTTGAATTTGTTTGGCTAAAGACAGTGGAGATGAAACTGGAAAATTGTCCTCTAAACTGTAAATAATATAGTATAACTATAAAGAGGTATTTTGGAATTTTAAATAGTTCAAGTTGATTTATTGTGCTAGACAGCCATGTACACAATTTGTTTTAAATTCAGTTTTTATAGGTATAGACTAACTTGCTTTTTTCATTCATTTTGAATTTTTTGTGCACACTTTTTCAGTATGTACCATGGTTGAATTGATTTTAAAATGTTATGAAACATATATTACTTTTCCTTTGTAGTTAGTTTCAATTGTTTTGGGCATAAACATTGTATACTTCTTTTTTGCTCATCCCTTTGTAAATAGTATATCCTATCAATTATTTAAAACAACCAGCAGATGACGCTAAAGCTTCAACTCATAACAATCATTATAAAGGCCATACATAATAAGGATATTACGAAATGCTACAGACATAAAAGATGCTTAACGCAAGAAATTACCTCTGCTTTCTTGCACATTGTAAAAATAAAGAAAATGTAATATTTTGTAAAAAAAAATTAGTCCGTCTGAATTTCATTATGTGTGTGTGTGGAAATGTTAAGGTTTCAAATTTACAGGGGGGGGGGGGGGGGGAGGTTAAGCGTTGAGGGTTAATACTTTGGGTCTTCAAAGAACAGCCCGGCTGTGGCCGACTTGATGATGATGATGATGATTCAAAGAACCAATTGACATTTAATTATAGTATAACCATTGATTTATTGATTTTTATTTTGTATTTCAGTGAACACTTCTTGCCCCTCCAACTCAACCAACCCCATACTGTTATCTTTCCCTTATTTTAAACCCTGGCAGGAGTTTCGACATATGTCAGTTGGTCTGTCTCTCCCCGAAAAATGGGTGTCGCATTTATCGCCTAAATTGCACTCTCTCTGGCATGGATACTTTTGATCCATTTCATGCAAGACTCTCATGCAAGACTTCTTGCAACATGGCCAGAGCTTATTGTGCACTCGCACTCGTTTTTTTTGGTTTTTTTCAAGTCACTTTTGACGTGCATCCAGAACTTTTGGATACTTTTGATCCATTGGATACTTTGGATACTTTTGATCCATTTCATGCAAGACTCTCATGCAAGACTTCTTGCAACATGGCCAGAGCTTATTGTGCACTCGCACTCGTTTTTTTTGGTTTTTTCAAGTCACTTTTGACGTGCATCCAGAAGTAGTGTAATGCTCAGTCCCAAAGGCATCAAATATTAAGTGACATTTTAAGCATCAATGACATTTGATTCTACATCCAAAGGCGTTTTTATTGATATTTCAGATTTTCAGCACATTTTGGGTTTTCTTTAATTGTGGTATCAAGTCTCTAGTGTAATGCCTTATGCCTCTTTTCAAATGGAACACAAGATTTGTAGATAAGAATTAAAAACTTTTATGAAAGAACTGTGCAACTAGCACTAACTAGCAGTGTACATTCTGTTTAAACATATATAAATGTGAAAAGTTTGAAGAATACAATGTAATATGTATAGTAAAGTATAAACACTTGCGACAACAAACCAGCAAAAAGAACAAATCTTAACTAGTTGTTACCCAAAACAACGTATCAAACAGGTTTTTTTTTCATTTTTACATCTTATATTTATAGTTTCATTTCTTTTCATTTCAGGTTGAACACGGAATTTTTGAGAGATTATATTCTCATAACTTACTAGTTTCAAATTTACAAAGTTTAAGTAAAACATCAAAAACTGCAACAATGTTAAAGGTAATGTGTCTAAGGCAAAAAAGCAAGCAACATTCGTAAAATTAAAAATCACATGATTTGTTTTTTAAAATCGAAACAGTAAAAGGCCGTAACTGAAGTGGAAAAAGACATCAATACATGTGTTTTCCTTCAATGATTCATCACAGTTTTACATTTGTTAAAGCATGTTACTGAATGAAGACCAACATTGCTAATCAAGTGGTACTGTGAAATTTGGAACCAAACAGTTTCTCCATAAACCCTTCTAAAGATGTTCCTTTCAACTTAAAGTCACCAAAAGGATTCCACCCACTTTTTGAATTCTGAGCACCCCCCCCTTTCATTTTCCCAAGCATTTGGCCCCTATAACTAGATGTTCCCAGTCCATCAGCCACTTCAGTTCTTGTTATTGTCTTGGTTGTGTTTCTGTGGGAACAGAGCATTCTGTAGTGGAATGAAGGCCCTTGGTTGAGTACATGACGGGCCAGCTGTAGGCAATGAATGGAAGTCGGACATGGTAGAGATATCCTTAGTAGAAGCTGGCAGAAAAGCTTGCTGCATGGTCCTGCAAAACAAACGACATTTACCAGATAGCCATCGATTTATGTTTGGCTAACCTGAAACTTACGTACAAATTTTGGGGATTATCCAATTAATCACAAGATATTTAAAACGACGGTTAAATTCCTAATAAGTTCTTGTTGGATGACCTTGAAATAGGGGAAAGGCTTGTTTCTCCAAAAGAAGAAAATGTACAGTACCCTCTCCCAACTCAGCAGGCATGCAACTGGGAATTTAGGGGGGAAAAGGAGGAAACTAGGCCTACCAACCACACAAGACTTTGTACAGTATTTTTCAATTTGTAAAGGCATTCGTGAGAAGTAAAAAATGAGGAAATCAATGGATCCGAGGAAAAGTTGCATGCCTGCAAGCTCCTCAGCCCCCCCCCCCCCCCAAAAGTGTTGGACCCAAAGGGCCAGTCTGAGTCACTAAGTAGTGAGTATAAATAATGTCTTTAATTGGGAACTTTCTGGTCTAGCTGACTAGGCAACTTTATCCCCCCCCCCCCCCCCTTGGGATAAATTCTTTGTCAAATGCCCTGACTTAGAAGCACATACCTCGATGCCACAGGGATCCTGAGTGTATGACTTGCAGGTGCTTTGACTGCTGTTTGTATTCCACTTGCCTCCACCTCAAGCACATCAACTTCATCAAAAGCATCTGCTGATGTCATATCTGATGAAGATGGACTGCTATCTCCCTGAGCCAAGGTAGTGTGAAGAGTTGCTGGATTCTGCTGCCCGACTGGCACGAATGCACTCTGCACGTCCCCAACACAACTGCCAAAGCTGCTGCCCTGGAATCGATACTGCGGCATTTGGACTTGCAACTGCTGCTGCTGTTGTTGCTGCTGCTGTTGATGATAGACTAGGAAATTTGGGGAGTAGATCTGGCTTGTTGCAGTGGACAGTTTAGGGGTGCTCACCAATCAAAAGGAAATGGTAGTTGCTGGTGGCTGTAGTTGCTGTACGGAGTGTAAGCCATCATCGGCGTAAGACTGCCACTTCTACCCCCACTCCCATGAGAAGCAAGGCTGGTACCATAGATTGGGGATGGGATGTCAGTCTCGCTGCTTTGCGGAACTTGGATTTGAATCTCGTTACCAATTTCTGGGGAGGAGTGGGTACTGTTGTTGCTGTTCCATTGGTACTGGATGCTGGAGTAAGGTCCGACTGGAAGGCTGTTTGTCTGTGGATTGCCTGAACAAAATCAATTATTTGTTACTACATTGTATTAGATATACGAAAAAAGTATTAAAACAAATCCCACAATTTATCATATCGTCAGCATTATTGGCATACATGTATAAATTTAGCTGAACTACAATGTGTCCTTTACTCCTTTTCCAAAATAAATCCTTTGTAACTTGCACCCTTTCTTCTGACAAATACAGTTTGTTTGTCATTTATATTAAAATTGAGTCTTTTCACATAAAATGATGCTTATTAATTTATTTATTAACACCTTTTTTTTGGTAGTGAAACAATAGGCCTAATCAGGAATCAGACAAGTTACAATGCTTCAATAAAAATGCTTTTCAAACTTTTGGGGAAAAAAATATATACATAGGTTTAGTCCCATGGTTCATTACAATGTTAAGTTTCATTTCTGACTTTAGGTGCACCGTCTGTTTTTTTTTAAATCTCCTTTTAAAAAATCTTCAGTGCTGTGTAATAGTAATACTCCCATAAATTGTTTTTTGATCAGTCTGTGCATTTTGTAAATAAACCATTGTCACCAGATGTTTTTGCTTATTAAGTCTAACATTCATTAGAATGGACACATCCACAGAAATGTAAATACATTTGTAATTTTGTAATTGATTGAAAGGTTTGTCATTTTTAATTAGGCTTACCTTGGCACTCCGTCATCAAGTTTCCCTGAGGCAGACTAGATGGCATAGGAGGCACGCTGTTGTTAGGGCTCAAAATCTTGACTCCAAGGTCTGGTACCTCATCTCCAGCCATCGAGTGTGATGCAGAAGCAGGTAATTGCTGCAAGTTAGCCACTGCCTCCATGTCTTGTTGTCGGTGGAGAGCGATCACTTTTGCCATTAGTTTCTGACGTGCTGTTATCAACTGGCAGTTGTGGCACTTGCAGTCCTTCCAGTTGCAGGTCTTTTTGTGTCCCTGAAATTGAATGCAAAATAACATACTGTGAGGTTAGTTATATTATCAATTATCATGTGTTGGTAGCCTACATTTATGCTAATGTTATTCTAAAGCCTCAACCACCTTATGATATTTATAAATGCGCCTTTCAATTGCCCCCCCCCCCCCCAACCAGCTTCATTGACCAACTTCATTAAAAATTAAAGTGTTCTGACTGATATCAAATTCCTACCATCTCTGCCTAGTCCAACAAAAAGGCTCACAATTATTATCTAGGCCTTACGTTTGCAACCATTAAGCCAACAAATAAGGCTACTTTAATCATCATGTTTACAAACTTTAACTTTAATACTAATGTTAAACCATGGCAAGAGTCTGCAACAAGGTTTTGATAATCTAACTTTCATGCCCCCCTGCAGTTTATATGCATTGATAGGCCTATGTGTTTTTAGAAGGTGCTTGGGGCCTAACTTTACATCTAATACTAGTAATAAGTAATACTCAACGCAATTTTTAAACTGTAAGTTTCAAACACGTCAAAAGTCCAGAGATTATAAACGGAGCGTGGGTCTCCCCAAGCATGCTAAGAAGTTCAACATTGTAGCAGTGCAGGTCTTACAACAGTGGGCCTATAATAACTGAAAATCTCAATGCAAATTGTTTCCAAATGTGAAGTGAATAATACATGGTTAGTCTAGCAAATTGATTTGCAGGAGTATAGCGCGAGTGTATAGGCCTATATGTACATGATGTATTGATTACCAAGTTCTTGAATCAGAAGGCTGATTCTGATTCCAGAAATATGTATTGATGTCCATCTATATCTAGGGATACTGAAGAATGCCCCCTAGACTAGAGAATTTCACTATTATTAAGTGTTCTGCCCCCCCCCCCCCCCCCCCCCACTCCCCCACTCTGCGAATTTCCACGGCCAGGCAAGTTTTGGATTTTGGTCATCCCCCAGTTAATCGAAGTAGGCAAGGATAAAAGTTGTTGGGAGTCCCATGTCATGAACAATGAATTGAATGATGAGCCTAGAGCTGGGTTTTCATGGTTTTAAGTGGTTGAAAAGGCACAACAAAAGGAATGGTTATACAAGGGGCCTACTCTTTTATTTTACCTTTAGACCTCATATTATTACTGCAAGTGAAAACGCAGAAAACACTAATTTCTAACCTTGATTGGTACCAGCACTCCATGGCTCCGACACCGAGAACAGTGAGGGTACCTCCGAGTCCGCACGGTAACTCTTTCCCTGTTTGGCGGCAGCTGGGCTCTCGCTGTACCCGCTGTGGGAGACGCCGTTCTGGGTGTTCTGCTAGTCGTTGGAGTGCCGTGGTTTGGCGGTGGATTTGGAGCTGAACCAGTGACATTTCTGGTCAAATTATGCCCAGCAGTGCTTGGTGAGTTGGATGTAGAACCCACCACCTCACCCTGTTCTTCAACACGTTGTTTATCGGCCGAACTTTTTGAGCGGTCACGCTTATTTTTGCTTGACTTCCTCATCTTGATACAATTTGTAGCCTCTCTTACTTTTCGATGTACAAAATAAGTGCTGGAAATTTGACACTTCGTGCACGTCATGTGACGTGTACGTTAGAATTAAACTCACTTCATTGTATGGGTCAAAGTTATTAATTGTACTTACCTGAATAATCCTAAGGAACAGCACAGTAACGAAGGTCAAAAAGTGCAAAAAACTTATACAAATGTCATACAAAATGTATCAATTTCACAAGGTCGTCTGCACTTTTAAGAGCATGTGACCGACGGTGAACTTTTCTCGCCTCTTGATTGGTCGAATATTTTGAGGGAGTTTTTGGCGCTTGCCGTGTGTGCACTTTGTTGGCCGATCCATTTGTTCGCAAAGGAATTATTTCTTTGTATTTAAAATGTTTCTGGCAAAGTCAGAAACCACTTCATGCATAGTGTATCCAAGAAATATCTCGAATCATAAGTATTTATGTAATTAGAACTGAAAACAAAAATAATCATTATCAAACTTATAGTTTAAAATGGAAATCCTTTGAATTTTTGTTTTTTTGTTTTTACCTTTGAGATAATGCAACAGTCCATGAACTGAGGTTCGTAAAGTACTTTGACATTCTGCTGCACTATGAAAGTAGGACACATTAATAAAAAAAAAATTAGAAAACGTGCATCGATCCTAGATCGCTATAGTCTTAGTACGACACGAAATAGTAATACTAAGAACTCTAGCTTGTATACACTGTCACATAGCACTGCACTTTATTGCACCATGATACTGTGGTTAATTCGGTTAATCAAATTTTACAATCAGTTGCAATAAATACATTTCTATCCCTTCATTCAGAGTACCTACTCCACTGTTGACATGACCAGCATCTCTAAGAAGATTGTGGAGTTTGCTAAGCAGAGCGATGGATCGAGCTCCGTCATCATAAGGCTAGGCAGGGGCTTTAAGAGAAGTTTAAGAGAAGATCCCCCCCCAGGCGTGGTTCTAGAACCAATTTTTTTTGGGGGGGGGGGCCTAGCAGGGTGGATCCAGATTTTTTTTTTTTCATGGAGGCGTGCTGAAATGTAGACCGGTTATTTTCTCCAGACACTTAGGCCTCCGAAAATCAAAAGGTTGGGGGGGGGGGGGGGGGGGGGGGTTCATGCCATATTTTCAATGGGGAGCGCCAACAAAATCCTAAAATAATTCACACTATATTAACTAATGCACCCTTGTCACGACTATTTCTTTAGGGGGAGACCGTTCGCATGTACATCACAATCCTTCTTTTTGCTAATGCAATTTTTTTAAGGAATTATTTTTTTGGGGGGGGGCTAGACAAACTCTTGGGGGGGTTAAAGCCCCCCGCCACAGGCCCCCCCCCCCCCCCCGTAGAACCGCGCCTGCCCCCCCCCCCCCCCCCCCCATTCACCCTCAATCACTATACTGATGTACTCATGGGTATAAAACAATTCATGCTTATTGTAGAAAGTTGCTAAACAGGGAGAAATATTGGCTAAGCGAAAACAGATACCAACTGAAGTGTCATGCAGTGTTTATTTGTGCTTACTGCACGAATTTCCTTATTTCTGATAAACAGCAGCACGACACCCTCCCCCCCCCCCACCCCTCAACATCTCCCCACCCTCTCCCACTTGTACCAAATGTGGGAACCAAAGGTAAAAAGGAGTTTTTGTAATGTTAAAATCCCACTCAAATCTAGCTGCTGGCCATATGTTGTGTCCTTGGGCAAGCAACTTTACCTCACTTGCCCCTCTCCACCCAGGAGTATAAATGGGTACCAGCGTAAGCTGGGGAGTAACCTGCGATGGACTGGCATCCCATCCATGGGCAATAGAAACATCCTCGGTCATTTTATGATCATGAAACCAGAAATGGACCACATTGGCTTGTGACGGAGTTTACTGTTTACTTTGCTCACTGGCCAAACCAGTAGCCACGGTTGCATCGCGTCGACATCCCAGTAGCATGACGACTACCCCAGTGAAATTGGAAGCAGTTACGGCAATTCCTTTACCCCAACAAGAAGTAACTCGGCCAAGGTCACTCAGAACGGACACGCCAGCAGCCCGATCTGCAACCTGATGAAGAGTAGGGATTATCAACGTCACGACTGCGAGAGACTTCTACGTAAGATGGTCCTAGATGGAGTACTGCGAGAAGAGTTGGTGATCGGAGCTCACGATCAGGCACTGTGTTACGTCAAAGTTGGACCCAAGGCCTTTGATTTGCTGTCTGGACATTCAAAGGTGCGCCTTCAAAGCCTTCTCATAGATACTTTTTTAAAACCTTGTCGAAATGCAGAAATTTTCTCATGCAAACCTGCATTCTGTGCAAAGTTGTTGTGTCAGTCAAAATCAGTAAAGCGACTGTTTTTAACGGTTGAGCTGTCCCAGCCTTCATAAAGCAGGATTGACTGTTAATGGATCTTGATACATCCATGCTTTGACTAGGTGATTGATAAGCCAGCTGTTCCTACCACTTGTCTGCTTTTGTCTGTTGACTGAATTTCACTAGTCACAGTGCTTGCTTGAAATATGATCTGACTGTTGGTGACTAGCCTGTGTAAAAGGCATGGCGGGGGAAGAGGATTGATTTTGACTGTCTGTGACTGTTTAAACAGCAGGAGGGTTAATTAAATTCCACAAGGATTACCCAAGCAACCTCGGCGTCACGTACACCCACCCGCAATTTTGTCACTTCAAACATAAAAAATGTCCATTTTTTTTCAGATGGAACTAAAATTGACCAATGTCAGACAGCCAGAGTCTTACAAATGTCTACTCAAGTTCCTAACGATGCCCTCAACGCACCGAGACAGAAACTCCTAGACAAGTTACGAGTCATCCGCAGTCAGATAGCTGTGGAGAGCAATATGAACCCTGATAACGTCTTCAATGGTAAACGAAACTTAATTATTGGTTTATTTTTCCAGGGGTCAACTAGTCATAGTGTTCCATGCATACTTGTCAATCAATCAATCAATCAAACAAACAAACAATAGGCCTACGCTTCGACCAGTGGTGCACCCAGGATTTGGTTGGGAGGGCTAAAAAAAAAAAAATTTAAATTTGTTAAAAGTTGAATTTTTTTCAAAAAATTTTGCCCACATTTTTTGGCCGCAGAAAAAAATTGGTTTTTTTTTAAGGGGCGGCCTATTTTGACGTTGGTGGCACCACTTACACCCCTATTATACTACTCGAAAACAGGCCACATTCATATCACCAAGGCCAAATCGTGGGACTTAAAAAACAAAAGATACCCCCCAAAAAGCCTTCCCCCCCTGGTGCGCCACTGGCTTCGACCTATCAGATCACTACATTTGGTCAGGTGACCATGGTCAAACTCAGGGGAGTCAGGTTGGCGTAGCGGTACTTTCCTCGTCTCCACCGCTGTGACCCGGGTTCGAATCCCGCCCAGGCCAACATGTGGATCGGTTTTCATTCCCTACCTGATTCCGTGGGTTTTCCCCAGAATATTCTTCTGGGCTTTTCCTCCAACCTCTAAAACTGCAATTTCTTTTTAATTGTTTTCTCTGTACAAGTTTCTTCAGGCTTGGAGTTACAGTGCCAAGGGCATTTTGGAGGAACCATTGGTTTCAGTACCAGAAATATTATGATAAATGATAATATAAATGGTCAGAATCACCGTGAAAAATGTACATAAACCAAAAGCAGGCGGGCTAATGCCCAGTTAATTATTGTCTTGTGATTTCATTTTTATCAGATGAGACGCTGCAAGAGATGGCTGACTAGCTGCCAATAGCCAAAGAGGAACTGGTGGAGCTGACCGGAGTGACCGTTCCTAAAGCCAATCATTTCGGCCAGCAATTTCTGGAGAAGATCGCCAAGTACCTGCTGGATATGTTACAAGGTAAGCGGATGTTGAGAATAATTTGAAAAAAAAATTTAAAAAATGAAACACTGTGCCATTCTGTTGAGGGATACAGCTTTTTTTTGCTGATGAGTAATCTTACTTGATCATGTGTTCAATATGGTCATTGGCATTGAAGGAAGAGTAAACCATTTGTACTTCATGCATTTATTTTGAAAGGCCCATAAAGGTGAATATTATTTTAGGAACACATTTTGTGTTATCTTCTAATCTTCTGAAGTGTTGACAATAAGTTGTCAATAAGTTTTGACGGATGTCAAAACTCATTGACATCCGTTTTTTGGCTAATTTTACTAAAAAGTGCACTTCTTTAAACATTTCAAATGTTCCATGCTTTTTGGAACAACTGAGGGCACTGTAGCGATGTCATTTCAGTATTAAGACACTGTTCAGTATTAGGTGTTTTTCTGTTGACATTGTGAACCTAAAAAAATGCTCATTGAAAACATTATTGTGAGAAAAGTTTGCTCATTGGTTTGCTGCCATGTACTGACACAACAATGAATCACCACAGAAAGAATAATTTCATTCAGTGACAAATGGAATCGCTGTTACCCCTTGCTAATGAACTGAGCAAGGTGGTAAAAATTCAAAGTGATGATTGGAACAAAATTTACGAAGTCTGCAATCTGAAAAGGATGCAGCGCCCACAAAAATAAGTGAATGGAACATTCCACCTGTCACTTCATGAAATTATTCTTACCATTGCACTTATCATAAACACTTATTCATAAATACCTTTAAAAGACAGTTAACCCATTCCTATTGGTCGAGAGCCCGTCATGTGGCCGGTCTTAAACGGATTTGCTAGCTGGTCTTAAACACTTTTCCAGTGTCACATGAAATTTGGACTCCCCAAAATCCAGTGCCTCTTACCGTTTTATTGGTTGAACATTCACAATCCTCACATGGGCATGCGCAATGCTACCTTTGAGTCAGAATTTTATAGTCCCAAGTTCACAACGCAATGCCCCAGGTGCATTCTGCTCGACAATGCTTAGTACACGCGACGCGCGCGCCTATCTCCATAAAAGGAGTTGTTTACATTTTACTCACCAGCTGGACACTAGTTATTTAGCTAGAGAGGTGTTTTAAAAAACATGAAGTGAACTTGTTGAACAAAATCAGGGTTTATTTTTACCGAAAACTTTAGATTTTTTTTGACAGATAATTACCCTTGCCTTCAGCTAGGGTAATTATCAGCACCCAGACTCCAAGCAGTCTTAAACAGAGTGATTAAAGCCTCCCGAGCACACATTTATTCCCTAGTTTTTATTTGCATACTATTACATGGGCCATTTTTAAAAGTAACTCCAGCTGGAAAGGTAACTTTCTTTATTGGTTTACAGAGGAAGATGATTTTGCAAGCTCTGATCCATCCTCTTCAGTTTACTTTAACAACACCGTCTCTAACACGGCCACAAATGCCGGCACAGATACCTGATCATCCAAACGAGCGCCGCGCAAGAGAAAACGCGAAGGTAACAACAACTCAACGAAGAGTAAATGTGTCCGTGTGGCATCCAACAAGAGAAAAGGCAACGACGGAAGCGGCAGCAACAACGCCTCAAACGGATTCAACTTCAATAGTGGAGCCGGACACCAGACTACTAATTTGAATAAGTTCAAGTTCCAGACGCCATCCGGTGGGGGTGTCCCCGGTTTTATGAATCTTAACATTGAAGAAAATAAACATAATTAATCTATTTGTTGATAAGTGGGGGAGGGGGGAGGTGCAAGGACAAAACTTGGGGGCCCCAATAATCTACATAATAACATTATCTATTTGTTGATGGGGGGGGGGGGGGGTAAATCCCCCCGTGCGCCCCCTCCCCTATCAACAAATAGATTATACTAAAATGGCCTTTCGTAAACCTTTTTACTGCGGTACTCGATTTACGGGGGTTTTTGTCCACGAGGCATCAAAATTTTGCACAAGAGCAAGAACGTTACATTATAGAGATACACAACACAGAAAAGACTGACCAAACCTAAGCTCAAGCTTTATTTTTCTGTATAACTTTATGTTTATGCAAAGTTTCTCTGGACTATTGTTACTGTGTCCTTTAACAACCCTGCGAGGCAATGCATGTCTCCCTATAGACCTCATGGAAAGAACAGCTCTGGGGGTCACGTTCTGTGGTCTTATGCAATTTTTAGAGGCTTTATGCACAAAAATGTAAATCGGATACCAATGGCACGTGATTTATGAATATATCTTTCTTATACAAGGTTTAAAAATAATAGTAAGCAGTTCAAAACTTCCAACTTTGTTTAGAAAAAAAAGAGTTTGGCTAATTTGCATTATTGCAATTGCTTTACTGCCCCTGTTTTTACAAATCGCTCAAAGATCACCAGGGTTAATTTTATTACTTTCTTGTTTTAAGTTTATGTGAATATGTTATTAGAAATAAAACATTTTGGAAAGATTTCCATATACGAAGTTCACTCAACACCCTGTGTACAAACCCTATGAGATTGGACTGAAAAATTCTAAGTGTTTTCTAAGAAAATGCTTGTATTTTCTCACTGCTCAAATTGACTTTGATGACATGAAATTGCTATCTGGGGGCTTGTTAGTCAATACAGAGGAAAATTAGTGAACTTCGCATATGGTAATCTTGCCCTTTAAAAGTTTATTCCTGTTTTTATTTTATGTCTAAAGTCATCAAAGAAAAAGAACTTTAATTCAGTAAAAACGGGTTCAAATTAAAAGCACAATTACAACGTGATTTTTTGGGGGGATTGTTCAAAAGAAATCTAATTAACATTATTGGAACAAGGGATAAAAGTTTCCAGCCATTTCCGATGGGTTAATTATTAACCTTACATTTTTAATTTAATTTGGCAAAAACTAGACTTTTCTTCAAACGATGCAACTTCATTAGGCAATTGCAATAAGGCAACATTACAACGACCTAAATAACCCGAAGTGGCTATCGTTACGGCAGTCATTGTTTAGTGCCCTCTACGATACTTTTTTGATACGCAGGCAGGTATATAATTATTTGTTTCCACACATTTTAGCGAGTAGTGCGACAGCTCAGTCGATAGAGGGTAGGATTTTGCACCGCGAGGTTGCGGGTTCGAATCTCAGTTTTGCACTCGAATTTTTTTCCTTTTCTAACCTGAGGCTTTGGAGGATTTTTTTTAAAGGGAAATAAAGTCCGAATTTCATAACGTTCAAATTCACTTTTTTCCTTCTAATTTTATATTTTCTTGTCATGTTTTTGTAAAAGTTGCAGTCTACCGTAACGATAGAAAATGGGAAATACGTTACGGCTGCCGTAACAATAGCCACTGCGAAAAAAAAACAACGCGCTAGCCTACACAGCGCCCTGCCCCTAGTGGTCATGATCACCATAAATTATTTTTTGTCAACATGATTAGCTGCCTTGAATTTCAGTTGATTCCCTAAAACATTATTTTTAGTGACCACGAAAATTGTTTGTCTTTTGAATAGGCCTACTTAAAAGTGTTAATAAATAGTCCAGACTTACATGATAATTGATATGGCCTGTCTCCTGTGCTAGTTACTCCGCGATCCTACACAATGGTGATATCATCAAACAACAGGCGGCGCTCTTCACAATTAACGGTACAATCTCAAAACCCTTTAATTCTCATTAGCTAAGCTAAAAAAAACCGATAACAAACCCATTTCCCCAATTCCTAAGCAAAAAGAAAATCAGATTTAAAGAAACCATTTCCCAATTCCCCAGCAAAAAAGAAAAACGGATAACAAAACCATCTCCCACTTCCTAAGCAAAAATAAAATTGGATAACGAAACCATTTCCCAATTCCTAAGCAAAAAGAAAAACGGACAACGAAACCATTTCCCAATTCCTAAGCAAAAAGAAAAACGGATAACGAAACCATTTCCCAATTCCTGAGCAAAAAGAAAAACGGATAACTAACCTATTTCCAATTTCCTGCGCAAAATAGGATAACGGACTTCGAATCCAAAATCTCATCTCGACAGCAAAACGGAAAACGAATAACGATTCCCATTTCCCTATTCGACAGCTAAACGGAAAACGAATAACCGACTTACGATTCCCATTTCCATATTCGTCAGTTAAACGGAAAACGAATATCGATTCCAATTTCCTATTTCGAAAGCAAAACGGATAACGAATAACGATTCCCATTTCCAAAATCCTATCGCGATAGGATTTGGGATTTCTCAATGCATGATGGGAAAATTCGGACGCCGAAACTTTTTCGCAACTTCGTCCCCAGGGTTAACTTTATTTGTAACTTTCTCTCCTGTATTATGTAATTGTTAGTGCGTACCGCTCAACACTACGTAAACGAGATTGTATTTGACACCGTTAATTGTGAAGAGCGCCACCTACACCGGCAGCTTGACCATGACTATACTGTAGCGATACGCGCCGCTGTACATTTGTACATCGGGATAAGTCTGTTTACTTGTCTGTTGACTATTTACTTGTCAAAATTCAACTTCCTTTCGGCGTACTGGAAAGATTCCCATATCTGGACATCACTAATTTTTTCCCTTCAGTGACCTCTGCCACCATTAAAATGGATAATCTGTCCAAAAATGTCAGATTTATCAGGAAAATTAAAGTTGCTACAGTACATGTGCAGTAGTGGTATTACAAACCATGAATGGCATGCCTACGTACTGAGAAAACACGAAGGACATTTCAAAGTCTTTGACAATTGTTGGTTAGTGACTGTCCAGGTATGGACATTGTTCTGGGTAAGATTTTATGTCTTTTTATAGCTCCATGATTGTAAAGTCATGCTACCTCTAGGACGGTGTTTACAGATGTGGAACTGGAATAGTCAGCACAGCAGGGCTTTATAAATTATAGCCCCATAAATGTGGCCAATACTGGACTAGGGCCTACCTCCGTAAAAGGCCACACTTCCACCATGTACAAAAACATGTCGAACTTTGTCAAATTTTGATTTTCACATTATGATTTAGGCTTAGTTTGTAGTTTATTTTTGCTTTAGAAGCATACTCACCCTCTGTTTAGGCTAATCAGAATGTACTGCCTTTTCAGATGTATAATCATTTTCGTTAAGTGTCATGTTGAAATTTTGATACGCAAACGTGTGCAAACGAATCTGGAAATTTCAAGAAAAATAGACATCTGAAAAAGCCAGCACTTTCTGATCAGCCTATATAAAGAGGGTGAGTGTGCTTCTAAAGCAAACATTAACTACAAACTAAGCCTAAATGTGAAATTAAAAATATGAGATTATGTGTTTATCAGTCTTTAGAGCAAGAAAGAGTGCTCCACCAAGGTTACACCCTTTGCGGCGACCGCAACGCAAAAGGTCTGTTTATATACAGCGCCCTCAAGCTTGATGCCTTGTCCAACCTCCTCTTCGACATGCCAGCCCCCCCCCCCCCCCCCCCCTTTCCCGAATAATTTCTCCCAACCCTACACTCTGGTATGTTATATTCCAGTCCAACATAAAGTTTGTAACGATCAGAAAATTGGATAACGATTTTGAAACCAAATATTCTGTAGTCTTCCACATTTTCGTGTTGTTTGACGCCTATTGGCAAAGGCCTATATTTCACTGGAAAAATAATTGACATCTATTTCATAAATATTTTAATGTTTATATAATATGTGAGCGCGGGAGAAAAAAAAACATATATCAACAAAGGCTAAAGTGAGAAATTGTTCATTATTTTCACAAAATGTACATAAATAATTTATTCAATTCTTGTTCATAAACAACAATTTGAACGAGCAAGCTTTATACAGTAAATTTCCTTTCTTTTCATACAACATCCGAAACAGTAAAGCAACATAAACATCACTGGCATAGTGACGGGGGGGGGGTATTTGGGAGTTCACACCCCCCCCCCCCAAAAAAAAATAGGGGGAGGGGGAAGAAGGGAGGGGTAGTCACACATTTTAGAAAACAATGGCAAACCCCCAACCTCCCCCATGAAAAACCTCTCGCTACGTCATGGATGAACATGAATGCTAGCAAGCTAGTGATTACATAACTGTTGAATTTTGGTAGTTATTTGCATAGAGTTTTCTCTCGAAGGGCAGAGGAGAGCGCTATATGTTTTAGAATATTGCAAATAATTATATATTGAACTGGAAGTATAAAGTCGTATGGTTTAATAGGCATATAGGCCTATAATAATATTCAGTGCAAATTATGTTGGTGTTTCTTTTTTGGGGGGGGGGGGCGAGTAAAAGGCCTGTTATCACTCAAGGAATCATAATGCTTGTGTGCACTGAAACATGCATTGTCCGATTACGATTCAGGTTGACTTCCATGATGCTTTTACTCTCATAAATATGAGACTAAGTTTTTGCTCATAAGAAGCATACAATCGTAGGGAACTTCCTGTGGGGCGAATAATGCTCAACCATAAACAGTGATAACGAAAAACAAGATGGGCAAAGACACTTTCTCAAACAAAACATCTTCAAAATAAGAAATAAGTGCGGTGAGTTGACAAATATTTGATAGTCAATCTTATTGTGAGATGATGATTAATTCATGTGCATAACGAAAAAATGGTAACGCAAAATCAGTTTTTACATCTTGTATAATGACGTAACCATTTGACGTCATCTGCCAAATTCAACAAGCTAGTAAACAACAATAAACTTGCGGCAACCTGTTACGAATTAAATGTTACAGGCCTAATGCCATATGGAATGTGCACAGAATAATACGGTAATCCTTAAGATATCAGCACTCGTGATCCGTCATTTCGTAACTTCGTTTCTTCTCATCTTCCAACAGCGTCTCTAATGACGACAATTGGTGACTGCCCCTTCGGCGGGAGTTCGGTGATCTCCGGAGAGCACCGAGACTTGCCGAATGTTCCCGAGGGGACATGGTGGGTGTGTCACGGATGGGTGAAGACAGAATGTCACTGGTTGAACGAGAGGACGGTGGTTCGGTAAACTGAAGGCTGGTTGGTCTGGTGCGATGTGCTCTGCCGTTTTCTAATGGTGCCAAAAAAATCATGAAATCGAACAAGTTTGAATCTCTAGTTGAAGAGAAACATTTTGAACAGAATACCGGTACTCAAGTCACAACTGGTAAATTGCAACACAAACTAGGTTGAGACCGTATGGCCAGCCTTCAAGTGATCTGCAAAGTTTCCAATTAAGTTTCCTAATGTTGAGTGTTCCACAATGTCAGGCTACACTCTATATTGCTTTTTAGAATCGAGCCTATTTTTGATTCTTTGACATATAAGTGGTCCAGTCCAATGCAGGACATGCGTAGCATTCACTTCATGTATGGTGATGCATTGAGGGCAATCTGATTAAGCCATTTTAAGCTACACCCTGTATATTTTTGTTTAATGGGATACACCAAGTACAGACCCGAGAATTCGGTCTACAATTAAGGTTTTTTTCATACTTTTCGGTTAGGCGCAACGTTTTGTCTGCTTTTGGGTACTCTGAGTCTGTTATCGTGTTACAACAGTTCTTGTTTCAATGTGCACTTGACTCTTCGATTATATTGGAACAGTTGTGGTGATGCATGGACTGGGGGAAACAACTTCATTATTTCAACTTGCCTTGTCTCCTCCGTACGGAGTCGTGCACCATTGGCTGTTGTATCTTGGCTGCTACTACTGGTTCGTCACCTCCTAGATACAACCCCTTGGTTCCTAAGTAAGGACAGACTACCTTAGCAACCAGTGACTCAATATGAAGATGCTCCTCGGATGGATAGCCACTCTCACGCACACTCTGCAGATGAAGTAACATCTGAACTATCTCGTTGGGAACAGCTGATCTGTCAGCTGACAGGGCATCTGGGTAAACAGAAACAAACAAACAAACACCCCAACAAACAAACATGAATAAAAATCAACAAACAAACAACGCAGTGATTTCGATACAAGGACTATGAAAAGTGTGACTGGCTGCATGCTTGTGGTGTATCCGCTGTGTAGTATTGAATCGGCCATAGGATGTGGGGAGTCTTAGTCAAGTCAATAAGCTCTAGTTGGTGATGCTTCACAGAATGACCACTCAAGATGATTTCATCAACTTACTGGAAACTTATAAATATATGTTAAAATCTGCAAACAAATGATCAATAGAAAACAGGTTACAATAATTGTTTATCCTTATAAATAAAACTCACCTTTTAGAGTGTGCAGTTTTAAGACAATGTGGTCTCGAAACCCCAACAGGCTTAACTGTAGTATTGTCAGGCCTTTTGTCTGTTGGAAAAAGAAGAAGACATTTTACTATAGCGAGAATAACTAAACTATGTCTCGATAATCGGTACAGGCACAAATCAAACCATGCAATGTTAATTTTTAAAAATGACTTGCTTATTGTTGTATCTTGAAGTCAGCTGAACTGTCCCAAACTGTGTCTTTGCATGCGATACATCAAATACATCACAAATAATATCAAGTCTGAAATGCACTGTTTATTGAAGAAGGGGTGTGTATCAATGACATCTTAAAGACACAGTAGCAAATCGAACACAATTATTATTATTAATTATACGTGCCTGAACAGGGCAGAATATTGCTCGTAACGTTGGAAGGATTTCACAGAAGAATTTGGTCCACTGTTTGGCAAGGCTTGACAGAAGTTGCGGACCTGAATATTTTAATGAGAGAAGAAATAATAACAAATTCAAAATTGTTGCGAATGTACTAACGACATACGTCTTAAACAGTCGTCGGCGTTTGCAATCTGTCATCAGCAGCACGAATCCAGTTGGATGAAATGATTTCCTTCCACGCAATTATTCGTCAAGCCGCCGGGCATTTCACCTTCGCTGTAGCAATAGCCCGATCCTTTTGGTGCTAAATTATATGCAGGTGGGTAAAATCACAGACGTAAGACGCGTAGCATGTAAGACGCTACGCAGCCTGAAGTGATCAAAGAGGTTGATATTAAAGAAGAGATGCGTAAGTGTTCAATGTGTATGCATCTTATGTCTTTCTCCCTGCGGTACCCATAGGCGCAGTGACCGTTACATGGCGCGTATAAAAATGCACATTTGGTATGGATAACACGACTCGTTCTCTCGGATTTCCTTTTTGTTGGAAGCCTGCAGCATTTTGTTCAATCACTGCATTCCACTGCAGTGGGGAATACTCCTGTACCTTTTAGTAATATCTCCTATTCCTCAATGATTTTCGAGATCAATCTCTGCGCGTTAGCATTGATATTGAAGCAAAACCAAAGAAAGCGAAAAGTGTTCAATCATATTGAAAAAATATCTAATAAAATGATAGGTTAAACTACGAAAGTCAATTAAATTACGTTTTCATCAAGGCTACTGACCAAACATGATAGATACAAACAGTGATACATTCACATCCAAAAAACATTATGGTATTCGTAGAGCCACAAGCCCAGGGAAGCTTCAACATAATTTCCTAAGTCACTGCAGGGGGAAATCCCCCCGTGTGGTACCCACCACACACTGGTCATTACGCGGTGGATATTTGATACATTATTCAATAGCAAGCCTTAGGTCAATGTGCTCACCGTCATCCGTATTGATAGAACCGTACATCAGATCCATTCCTCGTCGAAGTAGGTTTTTCTGTGGGATTTGGGGGAAATAAAAAAAAAAATTAGTTCACCGGTGAGGGTTTTAAGGGCAAATTGGGAAGGGGGGAATGTGAATTAAAAGTCAAATAATAATCAAAATTGTGATTTTTGTTTCTGCCCTCCGGCCATTTGCAAATTGAATCCCTCGGTATTTTGGAGGTTTTACCACGATCTGGGAAATGCACGAATTTACGGTAGGCTTCGAGCCTGCGTTTGTAATTTTTTAAGGTATACATATATTTCAAATTTACGCAGACTAGTTATGTGCATGGTAGTGGTACTCATTGTAAATAAAGTGCCTTGAAATTGCTTTGCAGGTATTCCGTGAAACAAGATTGTCAGACGTCAGTTTTTTTGTTTACAGTACCGCCTCCTTTACGAGAGGAATTACTGAAGCGCACTTTACTTATCATTGGTGAAAGGTCAAGTACTGGACACCTTTCACTACCCACGGCAGCTATAGCTGTGCATAATGTTAGGATATGTTGGTCTGGAGAGAATGGAGTGCATACGGAATTAACGGCCGCGGGTATTAAATACTAAACTCTCGAATTTAATGAATATTAAATCGCCCTTCTTTGTTTGCTTTACGTACACTTCAGATAAATTTGCAGTCAGTATCATGTTTTGGGTATTATTGCCATTGTCAATAAATTGAACTATTATTGTACCACAGAGGGCGCTGTTTATGAGTGACGTCAAAGTTCAGACATGGTTTATGAATAGTAATCAAAATCTTGGCTTCGCCGCCGTAATCCTTTCATGCAGACAGATTGACTAGTACAAGTCTAGCCTAATCTCTTGGGGCTAGTTAGCATCGTGCAAGCGAACGCATGATAATTCCCAGCTGAGGCCCCTATTAGCCTACGTGCAATCGATATAGCCCGAGGACTGAAGGTGACACTTCATATATTTCTACTTCATTAATTGAAGGAGTTGCCTCTTGTCAATAATAGTAATACCATCAGAAATAAGGTCATTCAAGTTATTTCAGAGTATTATTTTCCCGTTCAGCTTTCGTGCATGGTAACTACCCGCTCGAACAAATATTCCTGCCAGTGCATCATTTTATTGTGCAGTTCATGTCAAAAGAGGAAAAATAATGCGGATTCAGACAGATAAAAGACGAGAAAAGACGGGAGCAACTTATAAAATAATTTGCAAAGAATGAAAATACTAATCCGTCACTGCATTTTCAGTAATGGTGCCACCTGCCCCGGGGGAGTGGGCGGATCATGGCCAATAACGGCTCATTAAACATGAATTGGAAATAACACCAGGCGGGTCAATAACACCCCCTTCCAATCAGAACTCGACTGCTATAAACGGACCCTACGGACCCGCAGGTTGATCACTTGATCTCATTAGGAGCAAAATAATGTTGTCTTCTTTCACGGATTTCATGTCTTAAGACGCAGCCTGGTGTATCAGCCATTATTTATTTTACACCGTCGGACGAGAACGAAATATGCAGTGTATATCATTTATATTTTGAATAATACCACATCATCAGTGGTACATGAATTGTTAAGGGCTATAAAGACCCGAATTCTCATCAAGAACCGTTTAGGAGAGAAAAGAAATGATAGAAAGCTGCTTGTTTACTCCGATCCTAAGAAATATGCAGTTCCATTTAAAGATATTCATGTATAGATATACGTTATGTTATGACTATTGTATTGAATAAACAGACTGAATGCACATGGGATGCCAAACGCTTTCATTAAGAATAAAGCATCAGCAAGGAACCTTTTTGCAAACATCCATCTCACAAAAACCATTCCCCACCCACGTCTCATCACTGTCGATGACAAGGAAGGCCTATATGCACTGCACAACGTCAACTGCATATTTTACAGTACATTTGCCATTTTCCATCATATATTGAGTATGTCGCAGTCACGCAAGCATCTCAAGCCAAGCATGCTAACAGATCGAAGGACGACAGAGTCTGTCGCAGAGACGGAACGAAATCGACCCGTTCACGATCTCTTACAAACCGAGGCTACATACGGTGTAAGCTGCACCAACGTGATACTGTAATACACAAACGACAATCTATTACACAATGTTAGGCCTGCTTTGCGTGGATGTGCTGCTTTGCTGCAGGCATGATACAGAGTAGCGAAGAAGGAATTTCAAAGAAAAAGATGCACACAATATTGATTATCGTATACTGCTACGGTATGAATTATATTAACATGCATTAGCCAAATAAGATAAGATATTACTAAGATTTGTGGTTATTGCACTCACGTGAATGAAAGCTGTACTTTATCATCATTAATTTGTTGGTTAGTAAATAAACAAAAAGGAATTATTCACAGGTTTTTGGACGGAGAGATCCAATGTATAATTCATGAACTATCCGTACAAAATATCAAATACAAATTGTGGAAATAAACCACGAATACAAATTGATTACCGCTGAAAGAATTCAACCAATTTTGTCAAGATGTCAAGATTTCAGAAATATAGGCCAAAAAGCGGTTGCCAATATCACAGAAACAAAATATTCCTACAAACACTGGTCTCTCTATTGTGTACTATTATCCCCCATTGGTAAACGCAGTATTAACCTGCACATGCCAAAAGCCTTTCTCTTTTCCTTTTAGATATAATCCACGGCTGCTTTTCCGCTTATAATTACATTCACTTCAACTTCTCAAACACTAACGAGTAACGACATTCTTACCTTGTAGTAATCTGTTATAAATTCACCGATTTCTGATTTCAAAGCGGCCCTGCAAATACAAAATAAACAACAGTCACGATACATAATATACACGAACCGCCATTTTGTTGAACAGTCGGAATCCGCCCAAACAAAGGAAGGTCACTGCAACAACTTACATCCAATCACGTTCGAGAACTTCCTGTTAATTTGCATACAGGACACCTGTGTTTGTTGCGCTTTCATTGTTCATTGGACAATGGCACATTCCGCAGCCCGATAATACCCGCGCTGCAAATGGCTGGCTGTGAATATTTCGATGTCTATCGCCCAATAGAATTCGACAATAAAAACAAGGTAAAGACTGACAAAACAAAGATGGCGACAGGACGAGCGGTGGACTTGCAACACTCCTTTAGAGAATGGGTCCACCAATTTGGAGTGAATTTTACTTCCAAGGTTAGTAGAACGTTAATTTTTTGAAAGTTTATAATGTTGAGACTTCCAGGGTGTTAATGATAATTGGTATTTGCTTGCAAGTAAGTTTTAAATACGTACCTGACTTGCTCGTTAAGATCGTCCAATTCCCCCGGAGCTAGTTTCCCGCCTCTGAAAATGGACAGCACCTTCTTCTGTACACTGTAATGAGGAAAACACACACGCCAAAACATCATTAAATTTGTCAAACAAACCTAATGTTCAAGAGCATAAGTCGCCTTCACTATATGTAGTAATCAATAAGTATTTGCTTTGAATCTTTCCAAAAACAGTATATGTCTTCCACCAGACTCACAGGTCTAAAATATCGCTGGTAAATGAATATCATAGTGTCATCTGCGTCAAACAAAATGTCAGTCAATAGGCCTATGTGCTCAAGTTTCGAAAACATTAATATTGTGCCCACGCTTCCAAAATGTTGAAAACATCGGCAGAATTTAAAGGAAAAATAATGTTTGCTTTGAAAATTAAATGCAATACAGAACATATAGTAATCTACAATTAACACGATTATCCTTTACCTGTATTGGACAATAAACTATGAATATTCAATGGTTATAAATCCTTTACATGTATATCTGACTTGGGTAATTAAAACCATGCATGTTCAATGGTTATAAATATTATAATAGCTTGGCACAAACACTTCCAAGAAAAATAGTGAAAATGACACAAACTAAACTGCTGTTCCACAAACTGAAAGCTTCAAAACATACAGGTAGTAAAAACGCGACAATTTAATATAAGGAGTCACAGCTGGTTACATCTTTAGTCTTTTTTCCCCTGCATGATATGGCACAAATTAAATTGTGCATTCCTGAGTGCATTTCTACACCTGCTAACAAACACCATAGTGGATAATTGAAATAAAAAGACTGCTTGATGACATTTACAGTCAGTGCACAAAAAAAAATCAAATAAAGAAACTGTATATTCATTTTTATCCACTCCTATTGCAATTACTATTAAAGGTTGTTTTACTTAAAAGCACATCAAGAATTATCTGTTTTACAATCTGAATTGGCTCGACTGATTGATATTTTAAATGCAACAGACACATTGACGTGCGGTATTTTTATTTAATATCTTTTTGTCAATATCAGCTAAATAAATTAACCTGGATATGTCAGTAAGCACTCAATCGAACCTATGAGCAGAATTCATATCGCGCAATTTCGATCGCCACTATCTCGATTTTTTTATCACAACATATCAAGGAAAAACATATCGTTGTCTTTTAGATTCTTAGTGTATGATAAATGTTTGATTTAGGAAAAAGGCAAAACTTGAATGATCAATTTCAATGCACCACGGGGGTGTAGCGCAAAATTGACGGGGACGTTCAGTATCCCAGCAACAGAAATAAGTGCCGAGCGTGCTCCTCGTATACCCACGACTGTTGCATGTCGATCGATTAACAAACGACGGTCGGCCCATGTGTACATAAAAGTCAGTTGTTTCGATCCAATTAACTATTAATACCGTTTTTTAAAACAATACCTTTTGTTATATAGAAAAGAGATTAAATTAAGAGATAGCTGAGTCCGTTTTATCATTAAATAAAATATTAAATATAGTATTAATTATTATTTAAATATTCTATCCAAAAAAGAGAGGACTATTTTCTTTTTGTCGGAGACACAAAAAGCATCCACTTGTATGAAGAAACAATGATGAAATAGTGTTTCGTTGACATTCGATTTCTTTGTCATATCTGTCAATTTTGCAATGTTTACCCAGCAGAAAATTTAGTGTTTTTAATACAACTATTTTCTGCCCATGCAGTATTAAAAAATTAATTGTGACCTTTTTACTTAATTAAGCACTCATGAGGGTAGTGCGAATTATGTAAAAGCATTACATTCACTGTGTGGACTTCCGAACAAAAGAGGTCCACATAAACCAGGTAGCAGCGACGTTGTGTGGGCTTGCCCACGTCCACACAGTGTTTTCCCCTCTCTGGAAAACAGGTTTAGAGGCATTTTGGGGTTAAGTTTATGGCAAAATGAAAAGAAACACTAAAGGGAATCATAGAAAAAAATTGGGTTGAAAGAGTTTTCACAGTGTGAATAAAATATGTTTTTTTTCATAGGTTTTTCTTAACTACACGAAAACAAAGGAAAGTCCACACTACGTATGTAACGTAAACATGTCTGTACGGATGCGAAAACTACCCTGCTTGAATCTTAAATAGAAACAGAATCAAAGGAATATCTAAGCTAAATATTTTATGATTTCACTAGGACAGTTTTATGCAACTTGATATCGAGCTTTGTGCATTACTGGGAGATAGACTGGACTAGATAGACTAGCCCTCGGGCTGACTAGCATGTCTATAGCATAAGACCTTCAGTGTTATCGCGGTCATTGTCAAGTCAATTATCAACAATCCTTCCAGGCAGTCACTTCCGATTTCAATTAGTGGAAATATTATGCATGATATTGCCTGGCTCGGTAGGTCTGATGGCTTTGATGATTATCACTGCCTTAGGTTCGAGTGAAGAGATTTAGCCTGTTCCCTTCCTCTCTCAAATTCTGCCCTTAACTCAACTTACCCCGAATTTTTATCATCGGAATACTTTTTTCTTTAAAGGCCAATCACTTTAAAGCTTATTTTAAAATGATAAATAAAAAAATGGTTATTGGTAAAACTTATTTGTATTCATATCATTTCATTTCAAATTCAACTGGCGTTTTATACTACGGAGCAAAGTCGAAGGTTCAAGGAACAGCGATGCTTCTGTACCTGTGTATTTACTTTAACCATGGATGTAAATAAAGATGCGATAAAACATGCAGATGAATGAATGGGTATAATAAAAACCTGCCTGTAGGTATAACTGCTGAAGATCAAACAAACAGATAATGGAATGACCAATGGGAATATAGGAAACAGGTGTACACACGATCCATCATGATAGTTTGGGTAATTTGATGAAATTGAATCATGCATGGTGGAAGAAGTTTAAAACTTTCAACTCGAAAAGTAACTATCCTACCCTGTACCCCTCAATTGTTTAGAAAATAATATTTCATTTCTGTTTATTTTGACCTTGACGTTTCGACACTACGGCTGTTTTATGGAGGTTATCCGTGATTGTTATACTGTTCTACGGGTTAAAAATTACGTCAGGAGGGAATATTTCAAATTCTGTTTGGAGACCTTCGACGAGATGTTTAATGGGGTTAAATGTTACATGAAAATCATTTTTCTTTTTACTTGAATTTTATGAATTTTGAGACCGAAACATGAAACAGCCGTCTATGATCCAATTATTCCTATCACGTACCCTTCCTACGTCGTAGTCTCCGTAAGTGCTTACTGCACGTCAGAGCAGACCTTAGACCCTGGTTTATGCTGTACTCACTGACAACCGCTGCTCGCTCTGATCGTCGATATTACAACAGAATGTCAAACTTGGCAGCTAAATTTCCCCATTTTCCTGTTTGTTACTAAGCTAAGATGTAACCTACCTGTTCCAATCATCGTTTCGTAACCCCAGCACCTGTTGTGATTTGATGGCAGTTTCGTCAGCCCGTTGCATGACAGCCATGGCTGATCCCCTCCGCGTGTTACTGTTCACTCCTTTGACTTTAGCGAAGAGCGCTCGGCTGATATCGCCTTGCGAACCCTGCCGATGACCTAGGCCGCTCATCAGTGACGATGGCGGAGCGATGTTCGCCAGTGACTGGCGTGATCTGCTAATCATACTGCAACTATTCAAAGTCCCGTATTTGAATAGATGCTCGGTCGCGTTTAAAAATAGCAACGCCCGCTCTATTCTTGGAGTTCTTTATTGTCTCTTGGTAACAATGGCGATTCTGAAGTCAGATCGGTGTCCGATAAAGCTGGAAAAGTCACAGTGAACTCTGTAAAAAAAAATCCAGAAAATATCACCGAATGTAAATTTCGGATTTGTTCAAGTACATGCAAGTCTGTGGACATGACTCACTCGTAATTAGGCAGTAAATAAGAATAAAACACCTCTTTAACAAATTGATCTTGCATGTCTTGTGAGATGGCATGATAGTATGGCTACGTGCCACGATCTGTTTGGCACCAGGTCGCCTAGATGTCGTACCCATTATGCACTCAATGGCGCCCGATACAGGTGCTTATTAATGACATTAGTTCTTTTAATTCTCCAGACGAACGGATGCGCATGGTCGAGCCTTTCCCTGGCGACATTTGGATGAAATCTCGCCAAGTGTCGAGTTTCTTATCAAATGCTCGGAAAAGAGCCGAGGGGAACGGACGAATTATGGAAATAGCACAAACTGCATGAATAAATGGAATACAGGGCTCTTGGGTTGAACAGCCTCATAGTACAGTGAGTTGGCTGTCAAGATGTTTACAGTGAGTTCGAGATCCGTCCCATTATTCAAAGAGTGGGTTGGTTGGCACGTTGACAGCTGGCAAATCAATCGATCCATAATCAATTCATCGATCAATAGCTTGGTCAAACAAATCGGTTGAGCGATGCATCCGCGCTCGCGTCCACGAAACAAAAACTTGAAACCAGTAATTAACAAAGTAATTTGATGCAACTACACCAGCCCCAACGAACATACATAAACAACGATTCAAACTCACGGCAAAACAAAGAAATAATTTTGAGGGGAAAACATGCAGTCCTACGAAAATGGCTCAGTTCATGTGAAAATAATCTCGTACATCGTTATTGATTGGGCTTTCGAACAAAAACAGCAAAAATTTTTGATGAAAGAATGATCATTGTGAACAAGGTAGAATAGCCGAATGAGCATGACAAAAATATGGCCTACCTTCTTCCGCTCAAACCTCCCCTGTTCGTATGATATAGGTCAACTTGTGAAATAGGCCTACGACTACTGAAATTAACAAGATATCGACAGTCTGGTATAATGTCGACCACCATCGACAATCCATGGACCCAGAATAAATAACCGAGATAGGATGATGCACAAACACAAAGAAACTGACAGGCTTAATTAAGCATACGGGTAATATCCTTGCAACGGTTCATAATGCAAGTTGGTTAGGCTAATACCTTCATTAGAAATACTCATAGTTATGAACGCAGTTGCTATGGTACCTTCTAGCTTGATACAAAGAGAGACGATTTTTATTGTTACTAACCAGCTATAGTTGCGCGCTTTGTTTGTATGACAGACAGCCAGGAAAAATCGTTAATATCGAAGAAAACATCGTTGTTGAAAGAGAGAGAGAGAAAAAAAGAAAAGAAAATGATGATATGAGGGACAGGCAGCGTCTTAGCGTCTTGCGTATCAGCCACCATCCCGGTCTATTTGCACAAGCGACTGAGTTTGTAAAAACAGGAAATTGCAATTTACTGACAGGGAACACTTGCAATTTGCATCGAATGACAGTTTTGGAATTGCCACGTTCCCTGCAGCGAAAAACAAAATCTGGCGGTATGTCGGTATCTGGATAGAGGGCGTGCTTTCGTTATACTGCTCGGGCACCGTGCGCGCGGTGCATCGAAGTCTGTGTAGTGACAACCATTGTGGCAAAGCTAACAATCCTCGCCTGAAATTTGTGCGCCAAGCATTTCTCTTATTTTTGTACACAATATGTATCATCAAAAACAAAGGAACCCCCATTGTCTACAAGTATTTTGTTATCCTGTAGAGTTTTTCCTTTGGGAAGATGTTGCCTAAATGTGTCACACATCCGCAATTATCGAGAGAGAAATCCTCTGAGATTTCTCTCTCGGATCCCTCAGTCCGGATACATGTCCGAGTTCATACGTCATGCTCTACTTGCTCTGACAGATCGTCCACTGACAAACAGAATACGTAGTATTCGCTGCTAACCAAACACAACTTCACCTGGGGATGTAAATGACAAGCAGTCGTTGCTACGCCGCGTACTGATACTTCAAATAATCCACGAATATTGACGATACGCATTTCGTTTGTTATTGTTATTTTTTGAGTTCTCAAAGCTGTCAAATTGTTGACTGATTCGACAACTCTTCAAAGGTTTCATGCTTAATGGCGTATAAAGTTATTAGTACGTTTGTGGTTATCTTCAATAATCCAGAATTTGAGGGAACAGTACTAGGCCCAAGACTGTGCAAGGTTATAGAATTTTAGAAAATATTGTCAACATGCTCGCATACATGTAATTCCCTCAAAAATCTTGGAGTAGAATTTAGAAGCCGAATCGACCCCTAACACGAGACGTTATTTCTGAGGATATTCTACGAGTTACGCGGTTGGGCAAATTCTTGATATGCTCAGAATCTGTCGAACCAAATCAAACATTATTTCTAAAATAAGGAAAGCGACTGCATTCTGGCATTTTGATCATTTCTGGCAAAATGTAATTAATTTCCCCCACAACGTCAATCGGATGCGTCTTGTTTGTTTTGGTGCACACGACAGAATTTAATTACAGCTGTGCAGTATTTCCATCATCCGTCATTTTCATGGGATACAATCAGAGATATATTTTGCAGGACAAGATTTGGGATTGAAACGATGAGAGAATAAAAAGATATAATCAAAAGATAAAATCAAATTACATACATGTAGACATGATGGAATAATTGTATTGTGGCAATACAAGGACACTTTGAAGGTCATTGAACACTGAGAAATAAATTAACATATCATTGGCTTGATAGAGTCCCTTTATATTGCGAAATGTTGTTATTATACAAAAATTATTCAAGAGCAGCCGAAATTTCATATGTACAAATATTACTCAAAGCACGACACAGCAAGTTGGAAGGTATAATTCTCTACTTGTGGACCACAATTCCTTCATTATAAGTTTTGTTCACCCTAACTCCATTAATAACATAATTATTTCTTGAATATTTGTTTTCTAAAAAAAACACATTTCAATTATTTTGTTCACATTTAGATTATGTTGCAGAATTATGGTTTTGTAATATCTAAATATTTAAATCTTTGTATTTCTGCAGGTCCTGCTACTGTGCACGCAATACATGCCATGAAACAAACAGGCAGCTATAATTATAACTTCAGTTGTTTTGCCAATTATTCCGATCATTATATAGGCATTATCTCATAGCCCTTTTAAGTACAGTTAATCCCAGGTATGACCGCAAACTTGTATGTGTACCTTTCCTGATACCAGCATATTTGTTACTAAAAATAAACGATTAAAATGATAACATAATTTCGCAACTAATCGCTTGTTCAGGGAATCACACACAAAGTTATATGAACAATCAAACAGCTGAGCTGGGTCACAGAATTCTCAAGGGTCAACATGACTCATTGCGTTGTAGGATCATGATGATTTGTTTTAAAGAATTTGGTTAAAGAATCGCAATACAGTTTTTTAAATTGCATATTTCACAAGAAGCCCTTTGTCTCAAAGCGTGCTGGTAACTTGTATTATGAAATTGACAAATAATTTACTGAAAAACACTCGATGTGATAAGACAGGGGTCCTTTTGGTGGGTGCAAAAGTCACCGATCATGTCATATAGTGAACTGAAGCCCTTTTTTTGCAAACAACACTTTGCACTTCTACAACATAACCTCACAATGTTATCTCAACGAGTTTCTAATTTGGAGTCAACGAGCAGCTTAATACTCTGATCACGAATCCAAGGCAAGGTTCATGGTATTCTACCCACCACCTTGCCATTACAACAATCTCAGCACAAGAAATTGTAATTCGACTTGAAATGAACTATACTAGCAATTTGAAAGAAGGAAGAATATCGAAAGAATGCACTGTCATTCTTCATATCGATGAAACAGTGCTAAGATATCTAGGTTTGCTTAAAAAAAAAAAATCAATACATAATACAGAAAGGTCCAAAATGATATTCAATTCCTGTTCATGGGAGGAATTTTCATTATGTTCCGGGGATGGATTCCATTTTAAAATCTTTGTGTAACTTTGCTTAATGGTGAAATGAGGTAAACATATGAACAGCCATTTTGACCTCTTGACTTGCATCCCAAGATTACCTCTCAACTAGTTTGTAAAAGGCATTCGTACACTAAACAAACCTCAACCCACGTATACGTTCCCCCGAAGGAATACTAAACTAAACATTAATTAAATCAAAATTTCACTTGCATAAATCCGAGCAGAATATTTGAATTTGCAAAATTTCGAGGGGATTCGGCCGGTAATTTTGTTTTACATTCGGGTTATCAAACCCATCAGATATATACCCCAAGACATGTGTTTCAGTGCATTATGTGTCACACTGATGAAATGTTCTCAAGCATCAAAACACCGTCCCGGCAGTTTCCATATTACGAAACGAAACATTACTCACAGAGATTTCACCAACTTCTCCGATCTTGACAGAACCTCGAATGGGATAATGTCATCTTTAGGCGGATGGTTCTTGCATCAAGTCGTGTAGATGAGCACCAACACTCACCTGTAGCCGAGCAGAAAATAACGGTGTGTTGCTCAGATGTAAGTCTCGAGTGGCAATGACGGTGAAGCACTCGATCACTAGCCGGCGATGTCCAGCTGGACAGGTATCTCTGTTGCCAAAGTCTACCCTCGCAATTCATTAGTCATTCCACGCACACTAACTCGGTGATTCCATAAGGGGGAAAAGTTTGTTCAGTTCACGAGCTCTCGCACCGAAGTTCACGATATCGCGTGCATAAATCACCCACACAGCCCGAGGCTTAGTTGACTATCTGAGCCTCTCTCTCTCGCTGTAGGAAGAAAAAAAATAATACATCTCGATTTTTGATTTGAAGTCAGATGTATCCTGCGTGTGATTGCCGTTGGGGGATAGTAATCGCCCTGAACATATTACCTTGACATCATTTCCAAAGGGATTTGTAATCACGCGCTATATTGTGTGTCCTTCTCAACCACTTTTTATCTGTTCTGACCGATGCACTTTGCTCCGTCTCTCCGAGACTTCTGATAACACCGTTAATCCCCGCGGGTTAATTTTCGTGCCGCCATTCCCCCATAATGCCGTTTTAGCGCGAACAGCGCAAACTCCCTTTTGCTTCTTTTGTCTTGCAGTAAATATCACCTCGGCCGTTGCCATGGGCATAGATGAGGAGTCGGGTAATGTTAGACCATCAATTCAGAACCGTATCAATTGATTATGAGCTCATATTGCATCGGCTAGATCGATGCCAGGCTAGACCTTCCGCTCTATATCCCACTTTTTTTCTCTCTCGGCGGCAAACTCCTTGCAATTCGGTCATGCGATGGGTGTCATCTGATCTCAACTATCGTTTTCTCCTGGCTTTCCCCCTCTGTCTCCCCTCTAAGATGAGGAATTTGCAGCGTCAAATTGTGCCAAGAGTATGCGATCTAATAGGAGACTATAGGAGTCATCTTTCTCCCGTTGCCTCCATCTCACTATTCGAGATGAGTGTAATTTCTCCCATCGCCGCGATCGAAAACCCATTCATTACGGCGCGACCACCCCATCCACATCAGAGACGAAACACAATCTGCCTCAATGATTCACATCACAGCCGGTGTCTTTCATGTATAAGAAGCAGTCGGTTGATTAATATCCACACAACTTGGGCCCAGTCACGTGACTGTCATTTCTATACTCGTCCTTGGCCTCATGATCTTATGAATGGTCGACCATATTCATCTTTTTGATATTCCTTTTCAGAACGGAATACAGTCATTAGCGTTTCGTCTTTTGAGGTTCTCGCTTCAGTAACCCCTTCTGTCCAGACGCTCCTATACATTATGCGCACCATTTTGTTCTATTGTTCCCCTAGCAACGAGATACTACAAATAAATTGTGCGATATGCATATTGAATTGTGCTTGCTTAGGAATTGAGGATAACAATGCATGACGTAAAATACAAAAATGAATTGTTTTATTTATTATTTCGACATTCTGCCTCACATTACTGATATTTTTCTTCAGTCCGCGAGACATTTATGATCTTGCGGTCTGTTTATAGTGCTTCGCATAATTTACCCCCCAAAATGGGACATTGGCTAAATATAAAGACATTCTATGCACAGTGCACGTTTTAAGCTCTGATATTGACGTTTTCTTAGACCAACCCGAAAAAAACGGGCAATGTAAAAGGTCTTTACTTTACACAACTATTTATGTGTCGATATTTTATGTGTCGATATTTTATTGAATGAGAAAAGTTAAATGCACCCAGATTTGCATTTTTCTCAAAACCAAACGATTTTAATGAATTGTGAATGTGAAAAGCGGGAAATGAACAAAACCATTTTGCTCAATGCATGAGAATTATGAATATAGAGCGCCGCGATGAAGCTATGAAAGGCTGGTAAATCGGACACTTGATGACACTTTTACGATGTGCATGTATTCATGAAGGGTTTCAAATTTCTGAAGATGGCATGAATGTCACCGATGCCGCCGATACGAGCTAGACATTTCTTTTGTTTGAGAAGACAAAAGGAATTGAATATGTGTCTCAAAATGTTTCATTGATGGATTCTTCAATGTTTATTCTATTAATATTACGAAAGATTAGGTGTTTGGTTCTAAATATACGCTTACTCGAATGGATTGCGTTATTTTTTAACACTGACAACATGAAGTTGCGAAAGAATAAGTGACTTGTGGATTTCGTCACATAAAAGAATACACACTCCTTTGTTTGCATTATGACAGGTGATATGCATATTTTCTACAATACCATTTTATCAATGCATTGTTAGGGGACTCAATAATTCTTTGGGAAATGTTTGTGGAGACCAAAGATTAATTTGAATAAGGGTCATGCAAGACAGAACAGGAGCAGACTATTAACTGTGGCTATTATCAATAATGGTTGTCGACTTGTCCTGCACCTGCGCCTATTGAACATAATTTAGATTGGAACACAATTCCAATGATATATCTCACCTAGATATCTAGTAGAATAGTTCAGTTGCGAAATTAGATGCAAATGGGCCATTATGTCAACCAACCGGAATGTCAACGACCAACGCTATAAAGATATCAGTATAATTATGACGGACTTATAAATTGTCGTTCGTGCTTTCTTTAAATATGGATTCTTCCGGCTGATGAATCAAGAAAAACATGATTGTAATAATCAAACGTTACGGATATATATTACTTCGGAATGGTTTCCCAAATACTTTACATTTACATTTCAATTTATTTTCTAAAGTACTGCTATTTATTGTCACCTTTTACATTTACATATTGCAATCCATGGTTGGTAACAACGTTGCGAAGCAAGATCGTGTCAATGAGAACGATGTTGTAATTAACGTATCTGCCACTAATCATGAGCCATTGTTTTGTTTCTTCTTTCAGTTACAAACTTGGGTGAAATCCCAAGGTCAAGAAGAAAAGGACATCAACTTGAACCGTCAGCATGCAGTACTATACCAACAATTTCCAACAACGAACTGATGATGGGGAAAAGAGACAGGTATCAGTAACTTTTCCTCTTTTTTATGAAAACGTAACATTCAACACTCTCTTTGTTTTGAATGAAAACGTATCGTTCAACTTCAACACACAAATCTATCGAGTGAACGAACATAAAATTCAAACAAGGAAGCAAAACGAATGTTACAACCATACACAAAACTATGCAGGATATACATTGCACTTTTAAAAGGTTTTTTGAAGTAGTGTTTCGGGCTTGTTCCTGTTGTTATAAGAGGTTTTATTCAAGCTTGGAAACTGAAGCCTGTCTGCATATTTTCGAAACGTCCGTTAAAATTAATAAGTAATTAGTAACAGGTGGATTTTTTGTTTCAATTGCGGGGTTAGACCTACTAAAAGAACTCTAGTTCGTGGACTGCAATATGCAAACCTCTTCATGGGGGGGGGGGGGCACAAGGAAATAAAGGCAAAGTATAAATGGTACATGTGATGAATGCAAAGTCGATACCTGACATTTTCATGTGCAAACAGCTAGAAGTAGTCATGCCGGCTCCATAGATCCTATGCTCAGAGAACTAGGAGTCCGTGAGGTCATAAACACATGACGCATGGATCATACAGTATTCGATCGGCAAGACAGGGTTAATGGGTAATGGGATGACCTTTAACGGCATGTGTGGTAGCATTTCTTGTTCCACGCCGAGAAATCAAACAAGAAAATGACAGCCGATATTGATGAATGAATCTTGCTGGCTCGCGTGTGACAGACATGCGATACTCTGTGGTGTTATTATGTCTTGGCTTGAGCGTCGTGTTTAAGACAGAATTGTGTTAACTTGTCTTGTGTGAGCGCAAGGAAGAGGCATTTTTATCCATGACAAATGTCAATCAAGAGAAAGGAAACTAAAGATATTCTTCCAGCCCGAGGGCTGTGTTGCTTGATACCTTTTGGCGTTAAAGGTTTACGGTATGCGTAACTAAGATCAGGCACCTCAATTTTTATATGATCTTTCTTACGACAAAAGAAAGATTCTTCAATGAAAGGTTCAATAAAAGTTCAATCGCTATCTATTAGCTTTTCATTCGTTACCCATACCTCACATGATAAATCCTCTAATAGCATGACGATCGCTGTTGCTGATCTAAAAGTGCATGGTGATTCGAATGCAGAAGAAATACATCCATAGGTTGGCGTATGAGAATTTCCAAAAGATTTATCAAATGACAACATTTCGAAGCCATCACCAAATATAAAACTCTATAATATATAGAGTTTTGGTGCATGCACCGACCGAGGTGTCACGCGCGTCCTGCAGGTGCGACGGAGGGCGTGAGCATAGCGCAACCTCAGATTTGGCAACCCCTCAGTACATTTATATTCAATTTCAAAAACAAGAAACTATTTTGTCCCTGATCCAAAGGCAAGCGCAGCTTGTATTACCTGCGACACTACACTGATCTATGAAATAAGCTCTTAACTCCATCCGGTAACTTCTGCCAAAATCTTAACCACAAACCATCTGCGTACTTGCTAAGTCTTAAAGGGCCGTGTGATAATTTTTTTCTGAGCAACACATTTTGTGCAACTGTTTAAACCTCTTAAATATATGAAAACTAATTGACATCCCTTTTTGGTTAATTTTATTGAAAGGTGCACTTTTTAAACGTTTTTTAAAATATTCTATTCTTTTCCGGACAACTGAGGGCGCTGTTGCTGTGGTGCAATTTCAGAACACTGTTTTTTGAGTTTCTGTTCGAATTGTTAACCTGCATTTGCTCATAGTTTGTGAGAAAGGGTTGCTCATTCAGTGTCATATACTTTCACAACGAATCACCAAAGAAAAGAACATTTATGACACCAAAATATCCATAATTCTAGCAACTTATTTGGGCTGAATTAACTCTATTATAACATTGAGATTTCTGCCCGGAATGACATCACAAATTCACTCATGAATATGCCAATTTTCATTAGCATAAAAACCCCAAAAAGGCACCAAAATACCTTCAAAATTTCTTAACGAAAATTGAAACTAAGGTTTAATGGACACAAAGGTGCACTTTCAAGGATCGATTCGAAAACGAAAACAAATACATTGCAAAGGCCCTTTAATTTATGATGATTATATACGCCTGAGGACAAAATCAACATGATCAACCAGCTGCTTTTTTATGAGACATGCCATGTAATGGATTTGTAAGGATTTATTGGGATTTTAGTGTGCGCTCGGTCAGGTTTTGTTCCAGACAAATCCATCAACTATCAACACGTCATTCATTGTGAGTCTTATACACGCCTGACTGTGACTGTGAGACTCCAAAGTGAATCATTTGGTTACATCCGGCGCAAACGGATCGCAGGATTTCTGTAATCAAGGGTTGTCCCGGCCGACTCACTATACACCTCGGTCCCTACCGACTCAGCAATCGGCGGTGCGGGGACGTGTCATTGAATACAAAATGCAAGTTATGTGGACAGTACAGAAACATGGGCGTCGCTGGTTTTTTTTTCTAGAGGGTGGCAAAACATATTTTCCCCCCAAAATTCTTGTATTTCTCGACATATTCTTGATTTATCAGTTTTAGAGGGGGAAGGGACATTTTGCCCCCCCCCCATTAAATTTACACCACTGTGGCTTTGCGCCTCTTTTTTTCTTCTTTTTCTTCTTCCTTTTTTTTCCGGGGGGGGGGGGGGGCAAGCGCCCCCTTGCCCCCCCTCCCCTCGCGACGCCCATGTACAGAAACATATTCAAATTTCTTGGCGTGTTTCGGGACTAAAAGACCTTAAATTTCTTTAAAATAGAAAAAAAGAAGAATCATGTTGTGGGAGAAGCTAGGAAGCAAATCTGACAAAAACGCTCTACGCCAGAATCAACCCCCCCCCCATTAACCGTCGTACTTATGCAGTATGCTGACAACTTTAATTTGTAAAAACTTTAATTTTACGGGCAATCACAATCAACAACAGTTTCCCACTTTTAAGCATCTTTTTGAGTCCAGAAAATCATCCTGCCCTTTATTTTTCGAATAGTTTATCAGCACATGCCAGCTCACTTTTCTCCCGAAAGTTCTTTGATTCGGATGGATAATTTGAATTCGTAACACCGAGTTGCTATATTCACAGTCCAACCAGAAGAGGCTTGAGTGTGACAACTGACCGAATCTATAGGGACATCCCCGAGGGTTTGAAAACACGATGTTCCACCTCTTATCTATGCATTTCCTAATGCAACTTGGAAATAATAATCAAACAAATATGATTGAAAATTCTAAGTCTATATGAACTTACCCAGCACAATTAAGCAGCTCCTTAGAACATCATTTCCGTTACTGACGACTCGCTCGGCTGCATGCTACAATAGCTATTTCGTCGTGTCTTTTATGCGAGGCTCGGTTTTTGCTGATGACTCTCTTGTGATCATAGTGAGATGGAAAGCCTTGTTAGCAGCCGAAGCACACGTAGTAGTAGGCCGGAATGGAACTGCGCCTAGAAATCTCCACCGCAGGTAATGTACTCCCGCAGCGATAATTGGACTATTAGCAGATACGCGCCGAGCCGCAAGGAAACTTTTTCCCCCTTTTAGTTCAGAGTAGGCGGCGCGCAGTGATGCTGTTTCTATGGCAACGGCCAGCCACTGCCACAGTGAATTTCGATGTTTCGCTGCAGTTTAATTTTTCTGCATTGGGTCTTTGCACCCACTAAATTTCTTCGTTTTGGAGAGGATTTACAAAAGTCGACTTGACTTTTTTTCCAGAAATCCATTTGCACGGATAACTTGGTGCATCTCATGCAAAGCGCACTTACCGACAGACCGACAGTTCTGCGGATGTGCCGTCGGAACGTCTTGCTCTTAGTTTTCGTTAAGCAACGCAGTTTGTAGAGGCCCCTTAGGTCCAACCAATTTATGATTGCTGGCATACTTATGAATGATTCAACAGCACACAGCTCCCTGCACGGAAATTAAAATATTGCACTGGAAAGCAGCAACTTAAGGTGTTCCAACCCGTGCACACGCGCGTGCCCCAAAGGCGTGTGTGCTCCTTGTCATGATGGTCACTAATAAGTAGTTTACTGCCGCACTTTCTGATTGATAAACGGTGGTTAAAAATTCAAGCAGTTTTTTTTAACCTGCACAGGTCTATTACTTTCATCATCCGAACTATTGTAATGAATCTTCACAAAATGCATGAGCACGGCGAGTTCACCATGATAAGAACATCTTGATTTCGTACACGTATAAAGCTTTAGATTTGGGCTCTGGAAAGGTGGTCACGTGTTGCGAATTGTGTCTATTTGCTTTAGCTTCGGAGAGGTGGACTAATTTGAATGTTACATGCGTGCGGCAGGCGTTCGTTCTCTCGGTTGACCCTTAGGAAACTATAACACATCACAGCACAGTTACATAGCATATATGGCCCCTTTTGAGGTTTCTATTTCTAGAATTTTATGCGCGTTTGTGCAATGTCCTTTCAAAAAAGTGCGGTATATTACCTTAAAAAAATACCCTTTTTCCTCTTGCAAACGAATCATCATCGAATATTCAGAATAATACAATTCGAGATCGTCAACCAATTGGCAGAAATGAGTTCATATAGTCATATTTTTTTATCATCTTTGAATGATGCAATTTGGTCTGAAAAACAGATCAAAAGTTAATCGCATTCTGTTAAAATAACCAACATTGGAATATCTAGTTGAGGGCCTATATGAAGTTCAAACACACTGGTTTTTATGTTAATTTTGTATCCCTCAATAATATCAAATAATATATTAATTATTGTTTTTGTGAGGAGGCCGCAAATCATCAATACAAAAGGTAATCTTTTTGGCTCAAACATTTTCATCGGCACCTCAGGTAAATCTCATTTTATACCAAACGACAACACCATACATTGATTGTGGAAGCCGAGTCAAATTTTGCGTCTATTTTGGGGTCGCTTTTCGCAGTGAGGAATTAACAATGCCAGTATGGTATCTAAAGAATGAATCAACAGCGAACGCAATGAGCTATACATGTATAAGTCGTATAAGATGTCTTTTCCAGAAAGGCCATCCGTTTTCATTTACGATGTGAAAAGCAGGGGGCATACGATCTTTCAGATTAGTAGCATCCATTAAGTCGGCAGGAAATTAGCTATAGCGTCTCTTCCTGTCCTCTCTGGTCCGTCAGTTTCTATTCTCGTTTCCTCTTTCTTCCTTATACTTGAAGAGACTAGTTGTTTTGCCAACTTAATCTTCATCCGGCCGAATCTGTTGCCACCGAGACGATTTCTAGTCACAGAGAAGCTACAGAGAATAATACTGCAAATTTAAGTGTAACCAAAATCAGCCGAGAGCCATGTAGTAAAGACATCAGGCTTTGTTGTAAGAAAAATGTCGGTTTTGAATCATTTTTTTTTAAATCGAGGAATAGGGTCGTTTTACCTTCCTTTTGTAATTGTAACGATCGTCCTGCAATTCGAGAGATACAGAAAATCCCGTACACCCCCGGTAAAGCAATCATCACCAAGAAAGTTATCGAGATTCAATGGGATAGTTTTATAATTGAAAATTTATTCTTACCTTTTTTCGGAAATAGCAAAACTATAGAATGGAATTTTAATTCAACTTAACAAAAGCACTAGTACAAATATTCACAGATTCACAATAATGATGATTTAAAGATTGAAGTGTTTACAACAAAAGCTTCTAAAGATACTATGATGCTCAAAGCATCAACTCTAAAAAATAAGAGAATAGCAGGTCACCACAGAAAACTAAAAACCCAATCTGCTAATTTAAGTCCCAACTGTCTAGTATAACTGTCCCCTGATCCAGTGACGAATCGGACTCCTTTCCTGCACCATTATCTTGCAAGACGACTCTTCAGAGCACCACACGGATATTCATTACATGGCAGCCAGTGATTAAAGCCACTGGCATTGAGGTAAAACCGGAGGGGTGGATACTGCAAATGCTGCATTTCTCTTCACGAGAAAATGAAAGCGGCGGCAAGGCGCGCGTGATGATGTATGGGACATGCTTCAAAGAGAAGTCTTGAGGCTACCGGGGCACAAAATAAGGAACAAGCCACGCTTTAAGCAGTATCCTTGATATCCGATTTCTTCAATAACAGATTCGACATCTTTAACAGAAATGATGATTAATAAAGGTAATGACATTAATTTATGACAATCTCTGATTTTCTGTTCAGTGAAACTGTATTTAGTTTGTATAAATGCAGCAGTTCCCTGCTCACTGCAAGAGCCTTATAATTGTACCAATGCAAGTATCCCTTTGTCTATGTGCATGTGGGAGCGTGAAGGTATAAAATGATCAAATATTTATTCTTAGTCACGAAACTCCCGAAGTAGTAATAAGTACTGGACTGATAAGCAGGTGGCTTGTGTCTTGCATGATTAATTGGGAGTGTGTTAGGAATAAATGGATTGGCAACATCTACTTGCACTACAGACTTGTTGGGATTAAAGCTCGACTTCTGTCTATTTTGCTACAGCAATTAATGATTTTTCTCAGAAAATTGGTAGATGGTTTACTATGAAAACATTTGAGAATGACTTTCGTCTGTACATACTGTTTTTCCTTTTTGATTTTTTTTCTTAAATTGAAACTCTAATCTGTGTTCAAAACGCTATGGCAAAGGCAGTTATGTATATATCTTTCACACAAACAAAGTAGCTTAATTTTGCATTTTAAAGCGAAGCGGCAAGCCGATATGAAGCACTCATCCCATTTTCAAGCCAGAATTTGCGAATCAATAGCAGCAGGTAAAGCAATACAAGGCGATATTTTTCCTAGGCATCTAAATGAAATTTGGCATTGTTTTATTAAGATCTGAAATAACACAAAATAGATCACTTATTTCATTGATGGTGCAGTAACAATGCCTGTAAACGAAATTATTTTTTTGTGAAGTTTATATATTTGGTCAATCTACTGCAATCGGAAACAATATCTTAACAAATTAGTCATAGACAATAGCGTGTCTAAAAAAGTGTTTACTCCCAAAATGTCCAGGCGCTTTTGCACTGCTTGGTGATAGCAAGGATGTACTTGCAGGTTTTGCCTACTTGAATGGATTCTTAGGTAATAACTTAGTTACCTTCAATGTAAAAATGTGAATGTTTTTCTTTTGCAAGTGTATTCTCACTTTCGTTTTAATATTACAATTCCAAACAAAGAGCAAAATGCAATGCAACCTCAATTGCTTAAAAATATATTATTGATCCAAAGGCAATTTACCTTTTGCATCTTTCAAATGTCATTGAAAATAATCTAAAGATGTCGGTATGACAGACAAACAATTATTAAAAATTTCTTCCAAATCCTTTCCAATATTGGTTCTGTAGACAGAGTTGACAGGGAGGTGCGTCTTAGAGAGCCACTCAGTCTAGCGGTGTAGCTGGGATGGGTTCAACGACCATCTTACCAGGCTCATAACGACGGAATAGGATACTGGAGCCTCGCTTCAGAAGACCCTGTCAAGACAAGACAGAACAAATTGCACTTGAATATGAGGTATTTATACAAAAAAAATTCATTTGTGGTGGGTGCTTTAATATCTTTAAAACTGTTTTCTAGGTTTTTTTTTTTTTTGGGGGGGGGAGGTTTTTCTCATAGGGGAGACTTGAAATCGCCATTCCACCTAAGACCTTTGTTATGGCACAAGCAATAGTAAACATATTAGAATGAGACACTGTGTGTATATTTCTGTGTGTATATTTATAGAAATAATTCAGTTGGGTAGCAATTGTTTAAATCTGCTATCAGAGTTTATAAAACCAAAATGTTCAGCGAGCTGAAGTGCATCAAAAACTGTTCAAGGAAATCATGCACCTGATGTAATCAGTTTCACAAAACTGATTAGGATAAGCAACTTTGCTTACCACGTATCCCAAGTTAACAACAAAGTATGCATTATATAGTACTTGGAACTAGTTGTCTGTCAGCTGTGTATCGCTGCTATGTAGATTTGCAGATTAACAGCAGGCCATGGATCAATTACGTTGGAACACTTACCTTGTGGCTGAGATCTCGCCAACAGTCTGTCCAGCGGGAATATTTGGGCATAAACGGTGGACTACCAGCAACCAACCTACACATGAACAGAACAAGAAAGCACTGATAAGCAGGAGATTGTGGGTTCGAGTCCCGTCTCAGCAAGCTTACAAGTTTTTTCTGACAAGCTTTCAGACAAATCTGAGGGTAAGGGATAAACCAATTTTTTTTAAATAAAACAACACAGCAGCATCAAACAGGTGGATTTTATAAATGGGATTGGTGACTGGACTGGGAGGCCTACACCATCTACAGGACCCAACAGCTGTCGATGAAACACCTCTCAGCATTTTTTACTGATAATTGTTTGGACAGTTTCCTATGAAACACAGACAAATCTGCAAATAAAACTGCAATCAATCACAAGGGTTTTTTTAAATTCACGTCCTTCAGAGTCATAGAAAAATGAAGAAATGTTTACTAAAACTTATCTAACAATTAAAAACTTCTAGTTTCCACACAAATAATCAAATTTTAAATCCAACTGGCTTTTTTTCCATTACATTGTTACTCACCCAGAGTCATTAACAGCCATCATGTTGCTGACAAGACCTAGAGGATATGTCACTATTCCAGCCAGAAACTGCAAGCAAGTACATCATGGCAATATCAGAGTGATTTCAGAAGGTTAGTGGGGATTTTGTAAGTCGTGAAGGTTCCCATAAAACAATCAGATGAGTTCATTCATATTGTGAAGACAAACTTTGGCCAACACTTCATGTAGCTCTGTAGCAGAAAATGTTTGTCAGTAAATTTATGCGCTGAGCACAGATCTACAGGGAACCAGTCGTGAAGATTGCATCACATTACACTGAGGCTGGTAACCTATTTTTGCTTAACAAATAGTTTCGGCCGCTTTTCAGAAATTACCTCCCGTGTATCAAGTCTCTTCAATAAAAGAATCTGGAGAAGCTCCTCATTAAATCTCTAAATTCTGCATTTGAGTGACAGGAATATGTCTACGGAAATCTAAAAGTTAACTTACTCCAGTGATGGCGTATGCGTAGCTTCTCAGTTCATTGATGTTCACCATCTGCAAGAACAAAAGCATCCAAGGAGGTAAAAAAAACCAAGTGTAAAACGGGGACATTTTTCTCCAAGAATACCATGAAGGAAAACTCAGTCACAGGATGAATCTTAACTGTTACAAACATAAATTATTAAAGCTCTTTTGAAAATCTATATTTCCAAAAACATGTTTAAAATCTATAAAATGAATAGATAAAAACCCCAAAACAGAAGAGAATTGTATGTCATCTCAAAATCCTTTTCAGATATAACAAGGCAGCTTCAAGTAATTTAATCATGAGAATGAATGGATTCCATCAACAGGCAAGCTGACATCCTTTTCAGGCAATACTCCTGGGAGATGTTAATTTAGGAGGACTCGAGTATTGTCCATTGTGCAAATGTCAGACGTCTGTATTTGGAGAATCAGACGCGCCCGAATTCTTCTAAGTGCCTGATCAATCAGAAAGTCACTGTGTTTTGACAGAAGTTGTTAATTAACTTCTCAAACAAACCCGCGTTGTGGGCCCAAATCAAACTTTATAATTTAATCCATGGAAAAAGGGAAGTACGAGTTGACGCTACGCTCGTTGAAAGGTTATGTTGATTGCATGGCACTTGAGATTTGAAGGGCTTCATGTGTGTTACATCCAGTATCCTTCACAATAAGTGGTTACAAGACATGTGTCGTTGAGCAAACACTACAAGCCACATATGGAATTCATTAATACGGGGGGGGGGGGGGAGAAGTAAAGAGTGATATATTAAAACTAGAAGTGTTAGAACGTGTAAGGAATTGAAGATAGTTTTTCTGGATTGAATACTCCTAACAAAATTAAAGATGAAATTAAAAGACATCTCACTTTATTCTTGACCTCAGGGTTTAGTTCATGCTCACACTTCAAAGCGTTCAGGTGTTTAAAACAAGTTGGTTTTTATCAAGTGTCGCCTTCAGGCTGAAATGTCAGATTTTTTGTGTACATGATTTTCATCACTCTGTTATTCAACATACTGTCCATACAAGATGGGAAAAAAGTAAAGAAAAAGTTTCACCATTGGCAGTGTTCAGACTAGCCTCTGTTTCAATAGTTACGCAATACTATGGATAAACTTAACTGAGCAGGATGAGGTGTTTTCACTTACCTTGTCGCTCAGAAGAAGGTTATTGAATATTTGAAAGAGAGTCCGAGCTAGCCATAGGGTCATTACGTCTTGAAGGAGTCTAGGAACCAGACCTCTGTTGAAGACAAATTAAAGATGAAGGTTCATCCAAACAGATGAAGGTTCATTCATATATCCATAATCCTTTGTGTTCCTGCCCTAAATGGCTAAGGAATTTTGATGCGGCCTAACTTTGAAAACGTTCAAAGGTTACTAAACAAATCTTTAAAAACTGATATAAATGCAGTCTTTATGTGCACTAAGAAACAAAATCATCAAAGAAAATCAAGATACTTACACAAAGAAGCCCTTGATCCCGCTGTCGGAATATACTTCTCCATATGGCTGTAGCCAACCGCTGTGAGGAATATTATCAAGAAAAGAAAACAAAAAATTAAAAGTTACTGGAGAAAGTAAAGAAAAAAATAACGAAACAAAAACATCTATCAAAACGGGTTTCAGATACTATTTATTATTTGTTTTTGATTCACATTGTTTTTTATAAGGATGATCTACCATGCAAGGGTTATCTTGTTGACATCTGTGTCAACTTCCGTGTGTACAAATGTGATAAACATAAAAACCATTTACAAAAAACACAGTGGAAATTTAAAAATGTATCAGTCATTTTAAATATCTCTTAAAGTCTAATCCATTAAAAATTAATACATCAATTTTGCCAGTATGAAGCCAAAATCCATTTGGGTTCACCTGAAAGTTGGTGTTAATATTCTTGGTTCGGCGACCCAGAAACGCCAGTTTGAAATTGGCTAAAATAGCCTGGTTGACCATACCTGTACTTGGATTCCCGTCCTATAAACTGCACCATTGACCTAACAGCGATGACATGGAAGGGATGGGTGACAATCACTGCACAGCTGTGAGAGACAGTCATTTTACAGGTCTGGTAGCAACAAACAAACCAAATCAATATTTAGACTGTACACTGTAAGTTGTGATTACATTAATTTCCACGGACTACATGTATGTGCATGATTGGGTTCATCAGAAAAAAAATGAGAATGCCAGGTTTTTCTCAAATTATGTAAAATGATACAGAATTAAATTGAACAGATGAATATTTCAATTACATTTTTAAAATTAGAACTAGAGCTTTAAATTATATATGTTATTGTTCTTAAAAGAGTCTGTGAACAATTCAAGATATTCAGAACTGGAAATATAGAGGGCGCTGTTTTACTTTCTTGAGTAACTCCCCTGCTTCACATGTATTCATCCATTATCATGAGCAGCGATGGGTTGTTCCTGGGCCTTTATTCAAGATTTTGAAAAAAAGGGCAGACAAACAGCTCTCCAAAACATCTTCGACTGACTGTAATGTTTGTGCCTTTTCAACAGTAAAGTTCTTTGTGTACTGAGTTGATAACATTAAAAAAATAAATCAATGCACCGTCTTAAATTTCAATTTAAGACTAGAAGTTGTAGGAACAACCACACGGTGTTGGGCCATGGATTACCGCAAGTTTTGCCACACACATCAACTCAAAATGCATGTTTAAATCCATATTTGACTTTTCAACGTGCCGCCAGAGGGCACTCTAACATCTGATGACGTCACCTGTAACATTTTTGTACAGTACTGCCTAGGCAGACACTCACATCGTTAAAAGCAAGTTCGCATCTTCTGCCAATTTCAAATAATAAGGCAATTCCGGTTTCGACCAGAAGGAAGGGTCATGTGATTTTGCACTTAATACCGAAAATGAAGACCCTGCAATATTGTATCGATTGCCATAAAAAACAAAATTAAATCTGTAGCAGTTGATTTTTTATTGATTTTCAAAGATTAAATCTAGAAATCTTTGATTGCTTGTAATTTAGTACTTGATGACGTCATTGTGACGTTATTACCAAATAGTTCAAGAGCTATGTTAACTGTGCTATATATAGCCAAATCTTGATCCTATCTATCACTGTTGATTTTTTAGCAATTTTTGAAGGTTTAAAGGTCTTTGTATCGTAACTTCCGGTCTGATGACGTAATAATTTTTTTTGCGCACAGGTCTTATCTACATTAAGGTCATCATGCATACTAATTTTGAAGCGATAACTGCAAATTTCGCCACAGACATCAAGTGAAAATGCGTTTTTGACGTTTTTTTAACCTGCCGCTAGAGGGCGCTCTAACATTTTCTGACGTCACTGATCATTTTTTTGAAATGGTCAGCCCACCCACGGACTAAAATCGTTGACAGCAAGTTCATATCTTTTTCCACTTTGAAATTATTAGGCACTTCCGGGTTCGACCGGAAGGAAGGGTCACGTGATTTTACGTGCACAAGGTAATATGAAGAGCATGTATTATCATGTCGATTCCCGCAAAATTCAAGTTCCGGTCTCTAACGGTTGATTTAATATTGAATTTCAAAGATTAAATTTTTTTATTTTTGAACTGACGTCACATGACCCATGATGACGTCATGATGACGTCATTGCAAAAAAGCACATCTTCAGTGGGTTGTGCATTCATGTATTGACAATTGAAGTTCACATGTTTTCATATTGACAAACTGTTCTGGAGAAGAACTTGCTGAGGAGAATAACAAAAACAATAGTAAACTCATAGAATAACAGTAGGTTTTGGGCTCTTAGCCCAACACCTAAAAAGAAAAGAGGCCAATTATTTTTCACCTCTAGCACAAATGTTGCATTTGATACTTGAGCAGTTCCCTTAGCTTTGCCCTTCTGAGCTTCAAGGTCCTTCTGGTCTGTGACTGGGAAGAGCTCATCGAGTTTCTGTGACAACGCAAGAGAAAATCAAACAGATGACAAGATGAGATTACGCATGCAACAAAATAATTTGATTTGATTAAATTGTACATGTGAGGTATGCACAATTAGTTTGCTTCATTCTCTGACATCAAATAAATATTTCTCTTTGGCAGTTTGTCAACTTCCAATATCTCATTTGAAGTATAAATAAGGCCATTCAGCATCAATGGGTATGCTATGTTTTATTTTATTCATATTCAAAAATTTAAAGAATATAATTTGGGTAATCGTGTAATTTAGGACCCCGTTCCATTTAAGAGAATGAAAAGACACTTTTATGTTATGGAATTTGTCAAGTTTTCAGGAAAAGCATACAAAAATCCAAACCAACCCACCTCCGCAACTTTTGTGGCCACAGCTGATCCGGTGATTGTGCTGCAGAGACGCGGCACAAAGCCTCGGTACAGACCAAGGAATCCATCCACTTTGTAGATATGACGAGCTGCCAGAAAGAAATAGTAATCCTGAATTACACAAAAACAATTAGCATAAAGGCATAAATGTGAACACAAAATAGTTGGCAACCATGTGTTTCTGCCACATGTTGGGATAACTATTACATGTGGAATTTTATTGACTAACTAAAGGCCAACTTAGGCCAAGTTCGCGCAAAGACCATTAGTCGACTAGTGGTTGATTTGTGACGTACCTTACGCCTGCGCACTGATAGCAACGTGCGAACGTCTCTAGTCAAACGCTGGTCAAAATGTCCATCGCAAAACTTCTGGATCCTGGCTCTCTGCTGTACGTTATGAATGCGCGCGGCTATGTTACCAGCGAAGCAACCAACCCCAGTAGGCTGGTTCCAAATAGTCGACTAGCGTAGTCAACCATCGTCGACTAGACAGAGTTCGGGCAAGCGTTAGTCGACCAATGGTTAACTATAGTCCTTGCGCGAACTTGCCCATTGCATTTCAAGCCGAAGCCAAATAATTTGGATGTTGTATAGACTATTGGTAACAGTCACAGTAAAACAAAGTTCATGAAGACAAACATACAGTATGCAGCAACCCCAGGTAAGAGCAGTGTCTTGCGGAAGAACACATTCCTGCCAGGGCGAGGAGGCAGAGGCTCGTATCCAATCTGTAGACAAAATGTCAACAAGTCAGGAACAACATGAGCATAAGTTATAAACATAAACTCTGCTCATGAAGTATTTTTGTATATCAAGTTATTGCTAAAGTAATGTTGCTTGGGTATTTTGCACAACAACAGCCGGAAGGTCCATGTAATGTAATTGTTCATGTAGGCCTAAATACCGATGCAATTTGTGCAATATAAATGTATAAATTGTTATTAGGCCTATGGGAAATGTCGACAGCCGGGCTAGAATTGTATAGAACCAGGGATCTGCCGCTCATGAGACAGACACTATCCACCAGACCACAGCAGTGCTGCACAGACGATGGTGGTAAATTAACAGGGGCAAATCCAGGAATTTTCGCTGGGGTGGGGGGGGGGGGGGGGTTCATCGGTAAGAAATTCTGAAATGTAGACAGGGTTTTGTCAAATCAGACGATTATCACTGCACTGATTATTAACAATAGGGCCTATATTACAGAATCATGAGAATAGTGTACATAACCCCCCGAATCAAGCTGGCTCTGTCCGTATTGGAAAGATTTCCATATAAGAAGTTCACTCAACACCCTGTGTACAAACCCTATGAGAGTGGACTGGAAAATTCTAAGTGTTTTCTAAGAAAATGCTTGTATTTTCTCACTCCTCAAATTGACTTTTATGACATGAAATTGCTATCTTGGGGCTTGTTAGTCAATACAGAGGAAAATTAGTGAACTTCGCATATGGTAATCTTGCCATCCGTATTTTGTGCAAAGGTGGACATTATCACCAGTCAACATTTTTTGGTTGTCAAAGGACAAAGCACATGATGAAGCAGGGGGAGGGGGAGGGGGGGAGATTTTCGCTGTTTTCATGAATTTCTAAATTCTATGGCCTAGCTGCCTAGCCTAGGCTAGGGAAAACACGTTTAGACAAAGCTACTTTTATTATTGTTTTTTTATTTTATTGTGTTGGCGCATTTTAGTAAGACCCACTGTATGTATTTAAAAAGATAGTGGATATTTTGCCGGAGGTAATGACGGCAAACTAACGTTTACTAAAGGTTTGCCGGCGGCAATCCATATCAACAGAGGGCGCTGTACTCTTTAAGATAGGGCTGAATTATAATAAGATGTATTAAATTCCCACCAAAAGTTGTGTAGCACGTTTGGTGTAGTGGTTAAGCAAAAGCTGTAGTGAGCGGGATGACTCGGGTTCGATCCCGATCCCCGCCACATTTTTAAGTTTGTTTTTCCCATCCCCAAATAAATAAGAATATTCTTCTTTTATTATTTTAACATATCTCAAACAATTTATTGCAGATTATTACATTTTCTTTTTCAGATTTGTGGCTCTGGAGGATTTTTTTTTAAAAGGGAAATAAAGTCCGAAATTATAAAATGGTCTGAATCCCATCTTGTGAATACGAGGTTACAACGATTAATATTGGCATAGACTCGGAGCCAGACTAAAATTTGTCACCGAAAAAAAAAAAAAACAGTACAAAAAAACAGTAACTGCGCATGTTCAGTGCATATCCGGCAAACTAACGTTTACTTAAGGTTTGCCGTCTCCGGCAAAATATCCACTGCCTATTTAAAATTAAATAATGTATTCATGCAATTTCTCACGAAATAGATTAAACACACTCCGCAGGACAAATGGAGTTTGATCAAGCAGTGGTGTCGGTCACACATTAAAACAACAACAGCCCAATCTTTGAGATTTTGTTGATGCAATAATTCATGTATACTCTACCTGGATCAGTGTTTTCACATAGCCCATAGGATGAGCTACGGCAGTTAGCCCAACATTTAGAGCTAACTGCACCCACGGATCTTTACTCTGCTGGTCGTGTGCCATTTTGGAATGGTTTACCTTTGGAATATGCGATTCGATGTCTTTCTCAGTGGTAAAGTACAAGTAAAGATACTGTTATATGAGCCATAGATTTAATGTGGATTCGAGGTTGACGTCGTTCGCTGAATACCTGAAGCAGACGGCTGTTTAATTATTCTTAACATGGACGGAATCGTGGCATTACACTAAAACATGAAAATTATTAAGCTGACTCTACAAAATCGGAAAGGAGACTTTCCATGATCTTTATTGGACTCCTAACTCCAACATAGCCAATTCTCGTCCTCCCACCTCTTAGACAGGCCACAGGCTTGAAAGTTACAAACTTAGCATATCGAAACATAAAACAGCTAAATATAACCTACGGATAGGTCTTCGCTGGTACTTTGCATACAGTACGCTTCAGAATAATGAATTTACGTACCAGTCTCTTGCACAAAAAAAACTTTAGTCGTGCGTTTTCATTCGTGGGCAAAAAATTTCTCATTATTTTGGGATTATTTACTTAGTAAATATGGGGACACGTTTTCTGATCAGACGACAGCATGTAGACTAAACTGTTTAGTATATACCGCACCAGTCAGATCTCTGGCACATGTTGCATTTTGATAGTTCAAGCCAAAGGTTGGAGTGAGTTTTGTTGTCCGTAAAATCTTCGGGTCTGATGCGAGTTCTCGGACGAACGGTACGGGTGCTCAGGTGCATTTTCACGGCGGCAGGTACGCTGTGGAAGCTGGTAGGATTGAGTCGTGTGGCGTTGCATTCAGCCCGCCCTTCACATCATGAGGACCTGGGCAAGATATACTGTTCTACTGATCATCATAGGAGCAGCTTCTACGCTGTTGTACCTCAGATTCAGTGGGGAAAGTGAAAACGATATTGAAACTGTTGAAGAAATCAAGCGTGAAAAGAGGCCAAGGTAAACTTTGCCAACATCATCATATTCATAATTAATTTTCTGTCTGTCAGTTTTGGTACGTTTGTGTTTAATCCCTGAAAATACAGTGATTTTCAATCTCTCGAATCATCAGGATTTCCTAATTAAAAAAGCTTGTACAAGCATGAGATTTTCAGCTTTTTGGTCTAAAATCAAACTTTTGTCATGAAATTAGACATTTATATCTGAAGAAAGAAATGCATCTTTCAGACCTTAGTTTTATCCAATTTCCAGACTTTTTTTGAACGAATGTACTATAAATTATAATACATTCGTTCAAAAAGTCTGAAAATAAAACTAAGGTCTCAAAGATGCATTTCTATCCAGACGCCACTTATGCGGTTGTCTACAAAGTCTATGGAGACTTGGAGAGTCAAGAACATTTTTGAAGTATTTCTGTACAAAATTGCAAATATTTCTCAGGATGCAACATTCTTTCCTTTTTTATTGACAACTTCATCCCTAACTTTACATAATTGTTTTTGTGCAACAGTTACATTGTGATCCTGAAAATCTTTAACCACTTGACGATGGGATAATTTTTTTGCCAAAAAACAACATTTTTGAAAAAGACTAAATATGTTGGCCAAATTTTTAACAGTTACACCACAAATACTGACTCTTAAGAGTAATTTGTACAATATATTTGATACATTTCAATTTAAATTCAAATTTTGCAACACTGAGGCCCCACCACGGATTGATATTTGTTACGATGACAGGCCATGTACAGCGGCCAAGTTCAAGTTCTACACACTTTGTGTTAAAAAAAACCAATGGGAATAAATGATGTGTATGCACGTCCACTGTGGAGACTCGAGGGAAAGTTTGACGATTTAACCCGTCAGCCGCTCCTAAAAATGTACATTGCCAGATCGTATTTATACGTGCTCTGGCGTGAACTTATTAATTAGCACATTTTATTGGTTTTTTTTGGTGTATGATGTTAACATTTTTGCAGCAAGCAATGCTACTGTTTATAGTTTAAAGTTGGATTTTATTTTAATCTAAGAGAGCCGGTAAAATTAAAAGCTTCTGTCAGCCTTTATTTCCAATGGCTGGAAGGTCATGCCTGAAATACTTACCATATTGTGTTTGTGCCTGCTGCGCATGCAGTGCATGGCTTGGTCACAACTCATTGCACACAGCCCTAATTTGGATTTGCCTAACTCACTCTTTTGAAATTTGTTTGTATCAACTCAATTTTTTGATCTTTCTCAGAAATTTAACTTGCCTATTGTTCAGGACCCATCATGCCACGTGAATTATTTTTTTAAAGAAAAACCTAAAAACTATTTTTTTTTTTTTTAATCATCACCAATAACGTGGGAACACCGGCACGCGCTCAGTGTCCAGCTGGGCATATATTTGACATTTTGTAATGCCAACAAAACGAAACAGTGTGCACTTCCATATGTTGCTAATTTGTTGACATTTTGCACAAAATATATAATCTTCTTTGTGTAAAAAAGTTAATCATGCATAACTCAATTCAAATATTTGTATAGATTAGTTTATTAGATTATAAATTACCATTTAAAGTGGTTAACGTTTTCATTGTTTTTAAATAAAGTAATAAGTACACACATAGTACTCAACCTTGCTATTATTGGCATTTTTCTTTGGAAATGTGCACTGAACATATGTTATTGGTAAACATTTATTCCTTATGTATGATAATAGCGAATGGAATTCAGTGAAGAAAGAATTCAGAAAATTACACTGGATCACTCTCCTCCTTTTGAAGTTGATAATATAAAAATGTTGGACCAGGAACAAGCTCGGTTTTATTTCATTTTAAAGGTTAAATCTTTTCAAAAAAGGAATGTACGTATTCAAACTGATGATCGGGACACTTGCTTTACTTGATCTGTAAATCCTCCACTTACCCTTGCTAGATTTAATAATAATAATAATAATACCGAAGTCTTATATAGCGCACATATAGATGTACCAACAATTAGGTATTCAAGGCGCTGGAAATTATGTCTATTATTAGAGACAGGTAATTGAAGTACATGAGAAATATGAGAACCATTATGTAGCACCTTAATAATGGTTTACAAAAAACACCTTGTTCCTTCATGCATTCAATTATTAAAAACAATTTTCTTTTCTTCCTTAGGCAGCGCCATCAGCTTGAACAGGACCCAAACAATGGTAGAGGTCATGACAACCACGAGAATGAGTATCCCAAAAGACAGGGACTCTTTCAACTTGCTAAAATGCGTAGGAGGGATCATGCGTGGAATGGACCAGGGTTTGTCAATGAGATGGAGAAATATCAAGCTGCATACGCTAACGTGGACAGCAAGCAGGCCGGTCGGAAGACTCACTTCCAAGATAAGACAGTGTGTAAGCCACGACACAACATCACTTTCCTCAAGGTTCATAAGACAGGCAGTAGTACTCTGCAGAATATTTTCCTACGCTACGGTCAGCGCCACAAGTTGACCTTTGTGCTACCACCACAAGGTCACCATCTTGGATTCCCTGATTTCTTTGATCATCGTCACATGCTCCCTGTAGAGAATGGAGTCTACAACATATTCTGCCATCATGCCCGATTCAGTCAAGTCGTCATGGACATTATGCCACCCAACTCAATCTACATCAGCATCTTGCGAGATCCCGTCCACGTCTTTGAGAGTGCTTTTACTTATTTCAAAATTGACCATCGTATCGGTATGGGAAATGACCCTGATGCCATGATGAAATTTGTGGATGATCCTGCCGTGTATTATGAGAGTGCCCCGAGCACTGTGCACATGCGCAACAACATGCTGTATGACTTTGGGGTGCCCACCACCAAATACAACGACCTCGATTTTATCAAACAAGCCATTGAACTGATTGATAAGCAATTCTCACTTGTTCTGATTGCTGAGTACTTTGAGGAATCACTAATCCTGCTCAGAGATGCCCTTTGCTGGCGGACTGAAGACATGGTTGTGTTTAAGATGAACACTCGCAAACAGACCGCAGTGGATGCATTACAGATAGACATGCAACAGAAGATCCGCCACTGGAACAATGGAGATGTCATGCTGTATGACCATTTCAACAAAACACTTGTACGCCAGATTGAGGAATACGGACGAGATCGAATGGCCAAAGAAGTCAAAGAACTACGGAAATTGACGGAGAGTTATTACAAACTCTGCATTGAAACAGACACAGCAGATAGAAAAGAAGGTGTATTTGATGTATGGCAACCACCAGGGGTCAAGATTAATGCCTTTGTACTCAAGGAATCTGCCAGCAACAATCCTATCTGTGAGAATATGGTCCGTCCAGAGATGATCTACACGGCTCAATTACGAAAGGCTCAGTTTCCTCATCTCACCTTTCGGAAATTTCAGAATAACAGAAGAGGACGAATACCACCGTTACATTAGATTTTGAGGATTGTGTTAAGTGCTACTTACATATTTGTGGGGTTTTAATTATTGGTCTTTTTGTCATTGTAGTGGGGTCATTGGTCCTGTTTAAATTTTCTACAATCAAGTTATGTTTGAGGGATAAGACAAATACATGAAGCCTTTATATGAAGCTCTTGTTAAAGAAAATCAGTTGATTTATTTATTTTTGGTCGAAACAGAATAATGATGAGAAAGTTTCTTGTGCTGTAAGCTTATGTTTACATGTTGGCCTATGTATATGTTGTATATTGTAAATGCTTATATCCATGAGCCAAATTGTGCTAGTCCTTGTTGAGCATACATGTGCCAAATAAATTAAAGATACATGTAATGGACACATCTCATTGCTAAAAGGTTAAAACTTTAGTGAACAATTCAATGTGTATTCTGTTCCCAATATCATGGATTGGCCAAGCACAGAAAGTATATGTGCTCAGCACACACGGGTTACAGATTGCTCAAGTACTGAGCAAATTAATTTGCCGTTTTTTTTCTATCATTATCTCCATAAATTGTGGCCTTGATGGAGGAACAACTGGAAATTTGATTCCTATATTTCAACAGGGTACATGTGAAATGCAATGTTCTTTGATGCTAGGTTTCATTAATTAAATGGCCATGGGTAGGAGTACGCGGTGAACAAAAACGGAATGTGAAAGTGCGGATATTACAGAAGTGTAAACCAACCTTAGATTTTATGTACGCTAAGGTTTATTGTGATGTCTTTATGTTGATGTCTGTCAGTATTTCTTGAGGAAGTCATTATAGTCATAAAAACTGTTTGCAGTTCTATTTCTTCATTCAGTTTGTCTGGATGGGTTTTTATGAACAGGGAATCACATTGCTATTTTTTTTAAATTCTTTTTTGAAGTGAAGGCAACTTCTTTTCGAAAGGAGTTTATTGTTTGTATGTGATATTGGCATTATTTTTTGAACTGTATTGAGGTGTTAATGTAAACATTGAATGAAAACATTCAATAATAACATGTATGTTATTAGTACATTTCTTATGTTTGTTCTTGTTAGTTTAAACAGAAAAGCATTACTTTTGTGCATTTATTCCCAAAGGAAACAAATTACATATTTTTTATATACATACGTTTAAGTGGCAGGGCTGCCTTTGTGCATTAAGTTCCAAAGAAAAATATATTACATAATATTTTTGTACATGTATGCTACAACAGCTGGGCCTATGTCAGTATTACATGAACTTACATTTATGTGTTGGTTTTGGCCTACCTGCATCTGGTGCATGCTATATTATTAGGGGGTCCAAAATGAGCGTGGCTTTTACTGACTCAAAATTGAATTCACATTTTGTACAATTTGAGGGTCCACAATGAAAAATGTCAGACCTTTTGCCTCATTTTTGTCGTTTGAATCGCTTTTGCCTGATTATTCTCTGGATTTCATATTACAATGTACTTAAACAATGTGTAAAAAATGTCCTTAAAATATATATATATTGAAAGAATATTACACTAGTTAGTAGATAGAAAAAAAGGCTTTGATCTTGCATTTAAACTTTTGCAGGCATGCTTTTGTTGCTTCTTTGTCATTTATGTTGTTTTCTTTATCTCCATGAGCTTTTGGGAAGCTTGTTATTTTCATAAGATTTCATTTCAAGGTGCATGGGTTAATTATCTCTTGGTGAAACACTCAAGTGAATATTTGCATACTGTTGTAAAATGTAACCTTTTTACATTTTGTCTGTTTATCATTTACATCTACAAATTGTTAGATACATGTATACCACATTCATTTCTGTGAATCGATCAGAAATACAAAATCAGAATTTACAATTGCATGTTGCTTTTCGTTTATTAACAACTGGATATTTATTAACATTTCTTACATATTTGACTGATTCTCTATAGCAGCTATAAACAGCCAAAAAGGTTTTTCGTTTTGAAAAATAATACTATTTTTGATGAGTATTGAAAGTTTGCATGGTGAAAAGGTAATATGATATCACCATGTGGTAAATCTCTTTTGTGAGTATGTGTGGATCCATAAAGAACTGGAGGGAGTTCATGGCAAACAACTTATCTTAATACTATTTTTAAAAACAACTTATTTTCTCATTGAACAGATGCAAACCATTATGTATCCTTATATAGATTGCACAAACAATATATTCCAAAATTAAACATCGAAGTAGAGAAAGATATTTTCATTCCTGTTGAAGATAAAAAAAATACTTAGATTTTCCTGTCTAATATTTGTTTTTGCTTAATGCGGAGTGGGTATTAATAGTCATCATTTCAGCCAGATTTTGTTCCACATTTTATAACAGGTTTTAAAGTTAAGAATACGACCACCATTAGAGCGTATCCCAAAAGATAACTTTGGAAACGTCAAATACCCTTTATTTTTTTATTGCTGCGCTTTTTTTTGAAAATAATTGTGCTATTCTGTATACATGTAGTAGGTGCAATGGCCACTGATTTGTGCATCTAATAAACTCTATTAACATAAACTTAACGTGTTGTTTATTTCTTCCTGTTTCCATGCGATTTTTAGCACAAGTTTCCACTTTATGTCTGAAGTTACCCTTCGATTGCAATTTTTATGTTTGTTAAAGGGAATATACATCATTTGCTTTTGCTGTAATTTTCAGAAATGGGTGGAATTGGGGGGTCGGAAATATAAAGCAAATATAGTTACACTAACTTTTTGGAGGTTTTGGGTTCGAAAATGCTATAAAAACCAAGAAAAACGATCATTTTCCTGTAGTCTGGTTCCCTGACTCCATATAAGAAGAAACAGAGCAGTTTACATACATTGGGGGAATTGTAAGGTCAGGGAACCAGTCTAGCTGGCTCGTACCCGTTTATAGGTTTGTAATCGATTGCAAACAAGTGCAATGGTCAATTGGGGCCAGTATTTGATAAAAAGCCAGTTGTTTCCAACGCTGATCGGCCGATCAGCGTTGGAAATTGATACAAAAATACCACTTTTCTTGAAAATGACAGTATACCAGGTGCCATAATTTTACAGGATGCTTTAGACTGTCATTTACCAACATCCTGTTAAGGTATTTCGCAAAAACTTGATAGTTTTATTTTTCGTTGTTTGCAAATGTTGTATATTCCCTTTAATATGGCAGGGAGGTTTTCATAATTGCCTGCTGCATAATATTGCCTTGTGCATTGTCAGCAGAATTCTGCTGAGAAAACAAACAGAGGGCAGTACATAACATTAATAGTGCAGATAAGCGACCACGGACATCAACGCAATCTACCGCAAAAGTTATCTGCTGCCCTCTGTTGTTTTTTTATTTTATTTATTTATATATTTCTCTTACCATATGCCCTTTTAAAGAGAACTCGATTCTGGGGATGGGAGGGGTATCCAAGGTGATATTTAATTTTCCTTCCCCAATACAATAAAAAAGCTAACGGACTTGAATCCCAAGTGTCTTTATGCTTAGAGATTTGGCGTATGGTTATTTATGGGGGCTACAATTTTTAGTACAATCTGCGGAACCTTGTCGGTGTTCCTCTCTTTTGTTTTATTCAAATAATAAATTACCTGGGCTTTCTTAAATCTCATTTGCTTCGCGTTATCAGATTTTCAAAGCATAGTGAGTAGCTATGAAATTCGATCAGGCAGACACTGGTGTCGTCCACGATGTCTTCCATGAACTTGATGTCTTCCACGAATGTTATGATTTTGTTAAATGTTTATATTGATTACCAGTAGCAACTTGGGCATATTTATCTAATCTACTTTTTTGTACTGCGGCATGACGAAAATTGCTTATTTCTGGGACTGTAAGCCTACAACTTTTTTTTCAAATTTTAGGGGGACCTTCCGATACCCCAGAAAATGATTAAATTATTATTTCCACAGCTGATTTTCAAAAATATTTAAGTGGGCGTCACTCAAGAACAGCGATATACCTTTGATGTTGAAAAGTATAAATTTGTGGAATGTTAGTCTGGTGTCTTCGAGTAACACTTCAAGACGTTGACATACAGTCTGGTTCCCCAGAGCCACCACAGCGGTACATCTATATAGTGCACCATTTGATAGTGCATGTTTACACAACGCCTGACAGCGCATCCGCGGCGGCCGCGCACATTATTTTGTACACTACGGTGTGTACGATAATGTGAATGAACGTCTTCAAGTAAATCGTCCATTCATTCATTTATCGCAAGATGTCTGCCGTGTGCAATCGTGGCGTTGTAGCTGAGGTGAAGGCCGCTTTCCAAAACGACGCACTGCCTTGTCCCAGGTGAAAATCATCGACCTGATGATAGTTCCAACTCAGCCGGGAATTGTCGTCTTGACAGGTTGGTTTTGATTTGGAAAAGGTAGATTTAACTGCGGAGATTTTGCTCTTGATAACGCGCGTAATTTTTCATTTTCATGTTGTAGAAGCGCGACCCTCGCCATTGAAAACACCCTATTCACCCGCCACAATGCGGTGGGCTCTTGACGGAAGCGGGTAACAATGGCTACCGGATAAGTTGGCCAACCGTGAAACTACTTTGTAGGCCTAATTATAGTATTTGATGTATGATTGATGGTTACTGGTGTGGTTTCTAAACCTGTCATGCTACTGAAAAAAAACTACCACTAAGCATATTCCTCCATGCACTAAGGCAGGAAAGATTGAGATGATTTTCCTATATCTGGCCATCACTAGTATTAAACTGGTCTGAAAATTTCTTAGTGTTTTCTCAGTAAATATTTCAATATTTTCCCTGCTAAATTTGACTTTTTAGTACATACCGGTATTATCACTTTCTGATGGCTGATAGTGATAGGTCACTGTTAGGGAAAAATTAGTGACGGCAAGATATGGGAATCTTTCCCAGATGTATTTTAGATGTGCACAAAGTGGTTTTAATGTATGCAAAATTGTTTTAATGTCTTGAAGAAATAGTGGCAATCATGTAGTTTAGGACATCTTTTTTTTTACTAGTTCCGTTCAAAATGACTTTTGCAAGTGACTGTCAAATTTTCAAAAAAAACCAATCTTTTATATTTAGGCACAATTGCAGAATACCCCGCCACTCGATCTATGCACCTTGTAAGTTGTAGCCGGCTACGGAGTCCCGGTTGATTGCCCTCAATAAACCTCAGCGCTACATGTGTGTACTATGCGTCACGCTCCACTGCACTCCCACTTCGTATCCGTGTAGCCGGCAACAACAGGGCAGTTGGTTTGGACTTAGAATTTTTTCAGCAACTCCCATTCATTTTGTGTTGCTTCGTTCTCAAGGAGACCCCCACTCACTATCTGCGTAGCTGGCAATGGACTTGAATTGTTTCTTTCAAGTGATTCCAACCTCGTAGCCAGAGAATTTAGGGGTGTATTTCCGAGTGGCGGGGTATTCTGCAATTACTCCTATATTTAGATTAACCATGCAAGATTTTTGTAATTTTGTTCAGCAGGCCTACTTTTTTTGGAAGAAAATGCGACTTTCTTACCTGTTTTAGTAGTTGGAGACATGCGAGTCAAAGCAGTTAAAGCGCTGTCAAAAAATGTCATCATTTTACCCATAATTTTCCTCCTAAATCAAAACACTGCCCTTCTACAAAATTAAGCTTGCTGATATTCAACTTGGTATCTTAGCAAACTAAAAACCATAAAGTGGTTTATAAAACTTTTTCTGCTGGTATCTTTGCCAACTATTTATTAGTCCCAAAACATGAAAGTCCATTTTCGAGTTATCGAACACAATTACCAAAATATCCTTACACAACTAAGGTATGTTGATGAATATACTGCAAGCTCAAACTCAAAGGTGTTTGGCCTACATTAAAGCATAGAGCAAGGAACAGGAAGGTTTGGCTTGAGAAGGTTGTGGACTCCTGCAGTGAACATTTGACACCATGCACAGACTATGTCCAGTAACAGCTGTTACACTGAATGGTATTTTGACAAATGTGCCAAAAGGTCAGTTGCAAGTCCAGACGGTCCAAGAAATTGTAGATTTATGGACCGATAGTAAATCTGTGAAAATGAGCTCTGAAAACAAGTTGATTGTCTTTGTAGGTTTGGTTGACTACTCTCATTCCTGTTGATATTGAAATATTGCTTTTTCTGTTTTAATTAGGGTATAAGAAAAAGAGAACACAAAATTAGCCCTGGTTTGTGAGGATGAGGAAGTGAGGGCAATTTCTAGAATTACAATTGGCCAGACTTGCTCATTTTGTACTTCAAATAAATGTAGCACATTCAATGTTGTGAATAATGATTTAGTGAAAAAAGTACATTTAGCTTTTTTGTATATAATGAATACTCCAGAATATTCATGTATAGTCTGAAATATAAATCACTAAATAGAACTGACGGTAAAACTAAAAGCCGCTTTTCTGCCTAAATATTACAATTTCCATTTCCAGCAATAAAAATTGTTATAAATGCTAACTGAACTAGTTCTAATACTCAGATCTTTACAGTAGACAATGCAGTAAGGTCATGATTCATTGTCTGTGATACGAAGTTGGAATTCTACCATGGTGAAATGCCAACCTATCAAAAGTGGTCCTATCAATTTATGGCATGTTGAACTAAAAAGCAAATGAAGTTCAGTATTATAAATTGGAGATTTATACAAATAATGAATATTTGTGAGTGCAATGGTAAGAATAATTTTATGAGGTGACAGATGAATGTTCCACTACGAGGCAAAGCCGAGTGGAATGGAACATTTACCTGTCACCGAATGAAATATTTCCTTCCATTACACGAATGTGAACCATTCATTATTTGTTTTATATAACACTTGAATAAATCCTCGTCATCTGATTTGGTCAAAAATGACTTGAGAAAGGTACTTACATCAATGTTCTACTTTTTCAGACAAACTGGTGGTTCGGTCCAATATCCGATTTATTATAAACTGTTCGTCAAGTTGAGAAATATACATTCAATTTATCGCGGTCTAAAACTGTTCCACAACCAGGTTCAGAACTTTTTGTATTTTAAAAACTGTTCTCGACAAGTTCAGAACTACCATATTTAAATTTGTCTAATCATTTTGCAGCAAATGTTATTTGCTTCTTTGTGTTAGCATCCTCAGCATTTACATTGTACATACCGGTAGAGTTCCGATATTTTCGGAGAACAAACAGATTTCTCGCGTATCGTCTGCCAATTTGACATTCTGTGAATCAGATTCGTAATACAGCGCCAACACCGGCAGTCATGCTGCAATAATAATAATAATAATAATAATAATAATAATAAAACAGCATTTATATAGCGCAATATGATCAAAGTGCTTAACAGTAGTTCTAACGAGAAACTATGAAAAATAATATCAATGATATCAAAGTTATCAAACAATGAAAAATAATATCAATAATATCAATGTTAGGCCGGACCAGCTGTCGTCTTATTAATGAAATGTTTCCTTATTATGTTAATAATGTCATCACAGTGAAATGGTAATAGTGTCTCTCTTTTTTCATCGTTGCGTTCTTCCTGAATGTTGTCTACCTGCAGACTTTTACGACTCCCATATTTTTATGTGCAAAATATATTTGGATACAATTTAAAACTGTGAAGGATTTCTTCACTTCTGCAGATTTGAAAAATCCACAGTTCAGAGAGTGTGAATGTTCTGGTGAGTGTTAGGCCATATAGCTATCCCTAACAGTCCTGAATCCTCCAATTTCAATACGATTTTGCATATCCCCTAGGGAGTCAGGATTAAGGCCAATCATTATTTTTAAAATGATGAGTGATTTTTCAGGCCTTTTCTCTAATCAAACTCTGTGCCATTTAAAAAAGCTCTAGCTGTTTTCATGTAGGATTTAATAGTTCAGGACAGGTTATACCTTTGTCCTGTCTGTGGTTAATATTGCATAAAGTGTAGTCTCAATCCACTTATTTTCATAAACTCTAACAGTAACACTAACAGTCTCTTGAAAGTCGTATCATGTGATTAATTTGCTGCTCATTCATATTGCATTCAATATTGAAGTGAATACATGTAGGTCAGAAATAACTCCTTACTTTCATTTTAAAAATAATAGCTATTGAGGTTTATTTGGAGGAACACATAGTTTACCAATCTGGGGAAGAAATTAATTACATAGACTGTGACCTCAGATTTATTTGTTCACAGTCTTTCTTAGTAAGCATGAGAGCAGTTGGTAAATAAAAACAATCACTGAACCCAGTAACGGCATTAGATGATTTTTTCTGGAAATAAATGTGAGGTTGTTTTGTAATTGTTTACTACATGTGTACCACAACGCAACATAATTTTTTATGCAGTAAAAAAACCTTAAGTAGAATATAACAGGGTTAAGCCCGGTTCATACTTCACGCGAAAGCGAAAGCGAAGCGAAATTCGTGACGTCAACAATACGTTTGAAGCGCGTCCACCATTGTTGACGACATGAATTTCGCTTCGCACTTGCTTTCGCGTGAAGTATGAACCAGGCTTTACCCGTGGGAGATAAGAATTTGCAAAATTGTTTTCTAATGTCATTTTCACTGCCCTTAAAGTTAAAACCATAACAACTGCACAGATACATGTATGGGTAAGCAAATTTGCGGACGCATATAATCTATTGTACTGTATCGTTTCTTTGACATCAAGTGACATACCGGTACCATTAGTTTCATGTAACAATTAAAATGCAGTCTGTCCAGTAGGGCTTCTGCCATACAGTCTACATTCAAACAGTGTGACAACCTGAGGACTTTAAATTAAAAAGTTGAACACCACTCAGATATATGCACAGGAAGCAGTGTGTAATACCAAAACATCCTTGGAAGGAAAGCCACTGAAGCTGGTTTAGGAAACCATTCATTGCCTTGACCCTGTCTTCTCAGACATGTCTGTTATACCGGCAGTACTTGACCCCTTGCTTGGAAGTAATGGAACCTTCCTGTAGTTGCTAGGTCGGTTTACATATTTCCTTATTATCACCAAAAATCCCTTAGATTTCATTCTTATTTCTGTAATACAAATAACAGAGATTAAATAGTGAAGTAGCCTTTAATGGCGGCTGTAAAGTTAATACTGATGAAGTGTTTCTTTCTCATTAGTACCTCATGTCCACAATATTTGTCTTAGCTATGTCAATTTGTATTGTACTTGAGGATGGTTATGATTTTATATTGCTCAGTCTGTACACACTGTTACATAATTGTGCAAACGATTGGCACTCAACACTGGTGCACAAATGTACAAGTACAGATCTCTGGGTAACCTACGGTACAGGCAGAAAGTCTGTTAGTAATGCAGGGTGTTCCTGTTGTCTATAATGTTATCGGTATTCCTCACCAGTTATTGATGTGGATGTGTCACACTACTAGGTTATGGGATTAGCCCAAACAGATTCTGTGATGTAAATCACAAGTTGCTTAAATGGAATATACATGTACATCATGTGCAAACATCGAAAAATAAAACTACCAAGTTTTTACGAAATACCTTACTAGGATGTTGGTAAATGACAGTCTAAAGCATCCTGTAAAATTATGCCACCTGGTGTCAAGTCATTTTCAAGAAAATGGTATTTTTGTATACATTTCCAACGGTGGTCGGCCGACCACCGTTGGAAAAACCTAACTATTTTTCAACTAATGCTCCAAATTTACAATTTTTTTCAGTCCAAATTTTGTTTGCTATTGGTTACATGTTCATGACCGGGTGCAGGCCAGCTAGACTGGTTCCCTTACCTAACAATTTTCCGACATCTATAAATTAATCCATTTTATCTTTAGTGGAGTCAGGGAACCAGACTACTTAGACATTTTTGTTTTCCTTGGTTTTTCAAGCATTTTTGAACACAAAACTTCAAACATGTCAGTTAAACAATAATTGATCCATTATACTAACCCCTCAAATAGTTCATTTCTGAAAATTACAGCAAAAGCCAATGATGTACGTATTCCCTTTAAGTGGCAGGTGACAAGTTGCTGGTACATGCATATGTAGGTGGCAAAATGATTGGTTTTTCACCTGTTCATGATGTTATATAAAAACAAAATTGAGAGTGCAATCAGTTCATTCTAAAACAATCTCCCAATTAGCTACATGTAGGGTTACATGTGACTTGTTGTTTTGAGCAAGATGCAGGTACTCCGATAATGTCGGTTATCAAACTTACTAGTATCATTTGAACCATGCAGGTAAATCAAGGTTATATTACTAGAATTCTGGAAATATGAGACAAAATTTGAGTAGCTTTCAACAGTGTGCACTGTGATTGTTCTGTATTCAGTGGAACTCTGAACACGGCCATGTTTGTCTCTGTGTTCCAGCTGGAAAGAAATATTAGGACTGAGTGTAAATGATGGTGGTTCCAACAGTGAATCAAGTTACCTAGTGTGCGTTATTTTGCCCTGCTTCAATTTCCTTTGTGTTGCTGGACAGGATATTTTGTTACATTTCACATGTACGCCAACTGGCAGTCAGAACTCTTAAGTACTTCTACTTGGAATGTTTAGGCCCTTATACAAAATGTTTGTACATGCAAGTCTTAAAGTGCCTTATGAAAGAATGAAATGTTGGCTTTGTAGTACATGTAGTAGTTATTCAGAACACTCACTGTAAACAGTGTTGAGTCAAGTTGATCACAAGTCATCCATTCCCAAGTCAAGTCACAAGCTATTCAAATGAACTATGACAAAGGCATTCCTTTACTGTTGCTCATCACCAGCTACTTATAACCAGAAATGTGGATGGTGTGGCAGAGTTCCTTGTGACTGGACTTAGAACAGGCTCAACTACAGCACTGCATGTAACCCTTAGTTACAGTATCATTATTATTATTATTATTATTATTTATTATTATTTATTCGGCATTAAAAACACAAACAACAAACATTCACAAACAGAGAAAACCAAAAACCAAGAAAACAAAAACGAACATGACGAAAGCCAGGGGCATTTGCCCGGAATTAAAAAAGTTTACCTAAAAACTGTGGCCCGAAGGCCTTCAATTCCAATACCTCTGGCTACATAAAGAATATATATAAATCTATAAAAATCTATAAAAATGTGTTAACAAAAAAACCATATATTAAAAATGGCAGAGGTATAAATGCTAAAAAGTTATCGTCCCCTAATATTAACATCAAAATACCACGTTGAGAAAAAAAACAAGATAAAAAGCAAAAAACAAAACAAAAAAAATAGTCCAACAAAAAGAACGGGTAAAAAAATGTCCCCCCCCCCCATTATAGTTCAAAGACCCAATTATTGTGGATGTCCACATTAAACATTAAAAAAGTTAAAAAGTTTCAATACACGCAATAAAAAAACAAATATTAGAAAAAATAAGGAAAATAATTCCACAAAACATGAGAAAAATGCCACCCCCCCCCAGTAAAAACAGTTTCATTGCAAGTAAAAAGACGTAATATTACCCTGGAGAAAAAAAAAAGTTGAGAATTAGCAAACAAAACAAAACAAGCACGACAAGTTCTTTTTAGAACTAAACATCTGCAGAGCAGCAGTTATCACCACATGGTGTTACTGCAAACCGAAATGATACAAAAAACCCTATTAAACAAACGATATACGCCTTGAAGCTATGCATGGCAGCTGGCATTAAAGTGGACAGAATCACGGGCAATGCCATGTGGAAAGAAATCTCTTCCTGGAAGAAGTATGGTTCTGAAAAGAACCGGTTTTCAAGAAGAGATCTCCCTCCACACGGCGCCATCCGAAACCCTTTTCACTTTTAAGCAAGAGATGAGAAAAAATGTCAACCCCCCCCAAGTTAAAAATACACAAAGAACTAAAAGGACCCAGTACAGTTACTGTGGTCGGCAGAGGTGGCATCTTAGGGAATTGATCCAGCTATTTAACGACATTTCAACGACGCCAGACCTCAGAGATTCCGGTAGCTCGTCCCATTCACGAGCAAACACATTCACTGCAGAGCCGTGAAGTCTTTGTGTGCGAGCTCTAAGATGTCAAAACCGCACTGTTTCTGTGTGTCGACCGTTGACCACAAATTGCCTTGTCTAACAATGTTACAAGTAATGAGGCAATGTTACAAGTAATGATATCCTCTTGTTGTTCTCCTTGTCATTTCAGCAGACGTCTTACACCACATGCATCATGGGTGTTGTGATGCGCACCTACATCTTTGTCTGTCTGCTTGGCATCATATCCACCATCTGCATTGTTCTACTGACTGTCTCCAGTAAGAACACTCACAAGATTCAAATCAGTAAAGATGACAGACGGGCAACGTGGAGGCAACAAAGGAGACCACACCTTCATAATCAGTAAGTCTGGAAGTTTTAAGACTGTGTCTGAGTTTGTGCAATTTTCAATTGTAGCCAAGTACATTAATTCAAATGTTGCCTACATGTAAGTTCTGTTAAACAAATATACAGAAATATCTTTCTCCCTTTTGCCAAAACATAAGTGGATTTTTTTCTGTGTTGTCTGTACAGGGAGACCCTTGATGTTTCCTTTCTTGCAGACCTTTAATATAGCTAAGCACCATTGCGGTATGACCCATACTCAAAAGCTTCAACATGTACTGATGTACAATGTCTATTTGTCAAGTCTTTAAGGTCTGGAATTGGCTGATTGCTTCAAACAGTTTTAAGATTTATTTGGCTCCAGCCTCCATTGGCTATTAGTATGCCGCCTGATTTTTTTTGGCCAATGTGTAAAGTGACAAGTAGCTTAGAACATTGCAGTTCTTCAGCGAGTAGCGCGACTGCGCTCGTCCAGTGAGGTGTGATAAAAATGAGAGTGAGAAGACGCACTCTGTCTGAAGCGGCACGGCGCTGAACTTGATCTGACAGGCCCAAATATAATTATATGACATCATTTATTCATGGATTCCTGATTACAAATCCCAAATCCCAGTTGTGTAAACAGCCATATATAAATGTCATGTGTGGTGTGAGATCTGTAAGGGACGGAGGTCCTAGAAGAGTCACTGTGTACACATTTATGCATTGGCAAAAAGCTGTGATGTCTGTGTGTGAAATTGGAAGGAAGCTAATGGATTGAAGAGTGCACCTTGACGGAATGAGTTTATTTGTACAGGTCTCTGGTTTTGTATTCTCGTACTGCACTGAACCTATCTTTCTACAAGTTCATGTTTTTGGATGCACCAGCAGCAGTAGTAAAGAGGAATTTCTTTGTTTTTGCAAATCCTGTCCTTTTTTTTGTAAGCTTTTTCAAAAAATAAGAATGCTGTTGGGTTAAAATGTGAATTTAGGCTAATCTACTGAAAACATTCAGATTTGTATGTGAAGGTGGGTGTTCTCTACAAATTTTCACAATTTTAACATTAGAAGTAGCCATACTGAATGTAACAGAGTAGGTTGTAGGATTGGGCCCCCCCCAAAATAGTTCAGCTTCCAATTACATGGCATTCAAAAATAGGGTAGGTAGGTAGGGATTTTTTTTTTGTGACAATTTTTTTGTGTACGATCGTATGGAGGCGTCTGCGTGTAGTCAAGGGTAAAGGCAGAAATTAATGGTTTTGGGTGTTATTTTCTCATTTTTCCAATAAAAAAATTAGGGTAGGGGCTAACAAACTAGGTTAGGTAGGGAAACCGGAAGCAGAACTATTATTTTATTTGGCCTTCTGTTTCCGTGACACTGCAGCACAGAATGAAAAACGATTGCAGTGCTCCATGATAAATTGCTTCTTGTTAATGGACAAGGCAGTGATATCTTGTGTTTTTTCTTTAACTTCCTCAGATACTGATTGCATTTAAAATTATATGTTTTGAAAGGTCATTACATGACTTAAATTGTAGTTGGCTCAAATGGTGTCATTACAGAAACCTCAAGGGTATTTGAGTGATATATGTGTGATTTATATTTCCAAGTCAGTAATAACATGCAGATAGCTCTCAGTGGTGTGGTGTGAGTGTGATGTGTTACATTGGCTCATACATGTACTGTGATTCGCTGATCGTAAGTGGTGTTTGTAATCTTGCAATCACATTGGCTTTGACTTATTTCATGAATGAGGAATTCTTCCGGCATGATCTTGAATAGATGAGAAAAGTGCAGCACAGTTCAGCACTCGTGTAGTTGTACGGAATTGTCACATTGAAAAATCGTTTGAATTAACCATGCATTAAATTGTTTGATAAGTCACAGACAGTCAAACACTTCCTCTGCCATGCATTCCTATAATGACTAGTAAAAAACCCCAGTCTGATCGCATTCGTGTAAACACTGTGACTACAAATGTAGTCAAATTCCATTGACTGACAAAAGAGCCTAAAGAGGTAAGTTGTAGGTACAGCTGGCATATCAATCACCTCCAGTCAAAGCATGGTTATATCAAATTAAAAAAAGAATTCTGAACTTTTGAGAACAGTCACTTGATTTAGTTTGACTGTGACTGCTGAATCTGCCGGCCAGAGAGGCCAGGTTACCAATAATATGGGCCAGAATGTAATTGAGTTTTCCGATTTCTACACGTACGGGTAGGGCACTTTTCCTGACTTGCACGATAGTTGCATCAATAAACTTCAAGTTTACTTACATACTTTGTTATTATAAATATGATCTAATGTCATCAAAGATAGGGCAATGATGGCCTGTATTGGTGGTCTCTGTATTTATCATTGGAAGCTCACCAGAAATCATGAAACCTGAAACTTGTGTGAGCCTTGTAGCCAGGGATCACATCCTGAATCGCAAAATATGCTGCAAACCTAGGAAAGTCAAATATGCTGAGGATTTTTATTGCAGCATTGCTTATAAATGCTGCTAGTAGGACTTGAATATGATCCCTCACTAATTTCCCTCGGGTATTTTCAAACATACACAAACATTCCCAAATGTGCTATACTGATCATATTTCATTTCACTGGTTCGTAAAAAATGAAAGAAATTTCCGGACCTTCCCCATGAGAAGAGCTGTGTGATTTTCTAATTACTCCCGGAGTGCCTGAGATTGCTGAAGCGGAACGTCTGATGATGCATTGTAATCATTGGAGCTTGACAGGCGACTCAGGGAAGCGGATGTTATTTGTTGGAGGAGATTAGTTGGCCGTCTATTAGATGAGGAGACAACTTGTGATTGGCATTTTGCGGCTGGCCAGAATGCAAGTTTCCCCGCTAGACACCTCAGGGTGTGATGTGGTGTTTTATCAGGTTTAATGAGCCGATCTGTTTTTTGGGTCCATATTGGTGTGTGCTGTTTCAGACTATACATGTATGCATTCAAAATGGTTTAGTTACAGTTGTTAGTAGTTTGCTTAACCTTGTTGTGACCTTGAAACCTTTGACCTGGTCAGGGGTCAGATGTCAGCGTTTCAATAAGATCTGATTATTTGTTTATTACAGGTAGATTGATTGATCAAGTTTATAATAACAGGATGAGAAATTACTCAGAAACTGAGCAACAATAAATTACGGTAAACCTTGAAGTTGCCTGACAGTCCGGTCCAGACATACTCTGTATCTACCCATAGTGGAATATACGTATGTATATACTCGACAGGGTTATCGGAAAAAACTTATCCTTGAATATGACTTCAAGAGGGGAAAAATCATTAAACTGAAATGAAGTGACTTGCCAGAGTTTTACTAGTACAAAAAGGTAGCTTTCGAAATACCAAAAAATAATATTCTAACTGAAGAAATGGGAGTGGTGCTTCTTTTTAAATATTTTGTTAAAGCCACAAACAGTAAAAATGGCACAGAAATAAACCGACTTTCTTCACAAATAGTCGCCAATAGTTCTGTATTTGGAAGGGCCTTTTTTTACAAACCATAAAATAATGTTTGGTTGTGCTTCTAATAGCTAAAAAGTACAAACATTGTTCCTAATACATGTTCAAAATTTCAAACGTACAACATTGGATTCCCTAGCATTTTAATATGTGAGCATTAAAGTGAAACTGTACTTTTTTTTTTACTGCAGGAAGAACCACCGAGATACGAATGATATAAATTATGGGAATTTGGATCCCAGCCAACACACAAGGGAAGTCGTTCTAGATGATAACATCTTTAGTGTTAAAGCCTTTTCCGATTTTGACCACCGAACTAATAGAAATACAGCAAGTGTTAAGGATGAGACAGACGCTACAAAGCCTGACATCTTTTCTGTCTTGGAGGACAGCAATACAAGACCCGATGCAGAAACTGGCATCTTGCACGTAAAAGAGGCAGTGCAAGGAGGCATGGCCGCTGCATTGCTCATGAGTATTCAAGAGGAAGATACAAATAAAAATGAACCAACCCACCACAGACAAGACAGATTGACTACAGTGGAAAGAGTTTCACCCCAGGAAAAACTGACGGCAACTTATAGGTTGGAATCCAGAGACAAAGATGGGCAAAATGGCAGCCTGGTTAATAGGAAGGACAACAAAAAAGGATTTGGACAAGAACATTTAGTTCGGACCAAGGCAGCATCAAGTGAAAAGCTACCAACTGAAAATGTGGATATGCAAAACAGCAGAATTCTGCATGTTGGCAAACAGAAAACATCCAAACAGAAGGATGGTCCTCCTGTGATGAGACACAGGCAAAGTGGAAACTCCAGCGATGAGAACAAACATTTAAATTATCGTATCAAATCGTCTGCTTCGAATAAAAGACAAGAGTTTGAGACTCGGCAGAGAACTGGTAAGAAATCTCCTGCAGAGATAGCTAAGGAGGTTGCTTTGAAGATGGCTCCTCAACCAAGGTTGAAACCAGTTGCCATTGATCAGAACATCTTGAACCAGGAGAACGGTAGCTATCCGGCCTTCATCAAAACCAGCTCCACCCTGTTCCGGGTTCTTCCCTCTGGAAAGCTAAAAACAGGCTCATGCAAACCTCTGAACAATATGGCCATGATGAAGACTCACAAATGCAGCAGCTCTACACTTCAGAATATCTTATACCGCTGGGGAGATGATCATAACTTGACGTTCATCTTACCTAAGGAGGGACCATACATCGGTCATCCTCAGCCTTTTGATATCAGTCATGCAGAGAGAGTGGTTGGAGACAAGTATAACATTGTGGCTAATCATGCCAGATACAACGAAGAGGGTGAGTTATTCTAAGAGATAATTTAGGAAGAATAGACTGATTGGCTAAGCCCAGCCCTATGATATTTGAACCAATCATAGTCATGACTGCAACACTGTCACACTGCATGTTCAAGCAACATGACGTGCATGGCTAGAACATTAAGTGTGGCATTGGTTAGAGGCACATCATGTTGCCCACTTGTCAGCCTTATGGCCAAATCAGGAATGGTCCATTAGCAGAAGATACGGGGTGGACTCTGGTTTTGCTCCCCTGGTTGCTGCATATTCTATCTACCCTATCAAATTTTCAATTTCTATGGTCACATACATTTTCCATGCGTTGTTAGCTTTTACTTTGGATTTCTAGTGAATCTGTTGTATCTAAGATTTACCCGCTCCGAAGCAAGTTGCTGTTTCCATTAGAATGCAAAATGCTCCAGTTGTTTTTTACAATTTGTCTCAATTTGTGTATCTGTAGGCTTGAAAAAGGTCATGCCGAGTGATACTGTGTACTTCACCATTCTGCGTGATCCAGTCAAGCAGTTTGAGAGCGCTTTCACATACTACAAGTTTGATGAGCGCTACGGCGTGCCTGGCCTGCGAAGCTTCCTGAAGCAACCCGAAGTTTACTTCCAACGAGAGCCTGTGTTTCCTAGACAAGCTGGCCGCAATCAGATGATGTATGACTTGGGACTTGATGCACGCTTCATGGATGATACCAGCCCAGAGGTCCACGATTACATCGCTATGATTGAGAAAAACTTCCAGGTTGTGCTGATTGCAGAATATTTTGAAGAGTCATTGATCCTGTTGAAGGATTTGCTGTGCTGGACCTTAGATGACATTGTGTACTTCAATCAGAACTCACGTAGCCAGTCCTCCGTCCGTAGGGTTACTGCTAGTATGCGAAGGGGAATCCTTGAGTGGAATGCGGCCGATACTTCCATGTATGAACACTTCAACGCGACACTGTGGGAGAAAATCCGACGTTATGGTGTGGATAGGATGAGAGGTGAGGTGGCTCAGCTTCGACTGAGGAATGAGATTCTGAAAAAGAAGTGCATCGGTGGGAAACTGGAGTCTCACGATCCTAGGATGTGGTACCCTCCAGGGATCAAGGTGGACAGTTTTGTTCTGAATCCTAGTGCAAGAGGGGAACGTCTGTGTGAGCAGTTGATCCGACCAGAGCTGAGTTATATCGACATCTTGAAGACAAAGCAGAGGAGAATCACTGCCAGGTTTGATCGAAGAGATGAGTTCTTCCGACGCCACCCACAGTTCAGAGAAGTCCATGCACGGAGATTACCAAAGGCAAGGCCACAGAGAATACAGGGTTGAGTTTGACACTGCTACTTGTATGTGAGCTTGAAAACAGTACAGAAATATAATGATCAGTATTCAGTAATAGTTGAGATGAAGGGAAGTGCTGAAGGTTGTTCCCAATTCATGTCTGAGGCTATTAAAGATAAAGATGATCTCCACTTTGGGGAGTGTGTATTAGTATGTAAGCTTGATTTGTAGTACTGAGTAAAAAAAGATCTCCATGCAGCACCATTGCTTATAATCATGATTGAAACAGAGTTGTATGGATTTGTTCTAGGCTAGCGCTTGACAGGGTATAGCTTTGTCGAACTCTGTGCTCACATAAGAGAGAAATAAGCATATCTCTGTACTAAAAAGGAGTTAATGTGTATACCTGTAGAGATTGAGGTTGGTTTCTTTGGTATTGCGGGGAGCCAATGGTCTCAGTAGGCATACCTAAGGCTGACACTGCCCCCAAGCTGTCTGGAAAAATATAACTTCCCAGTGCCGAAAAATGGTGCATCATTCTAGAATTATGTGCCGCATAGTAAATGGTAAATAGGTTTTTGTACAGTATTCAAAATTCAGCCATCAAAATACTGAAAAGATGGGTGTTTGGGGTAATGTTTATAAGTTCTCTCTTCCAATCTGTTGATGTTCACATTTTATCCTGAAACTTGAGTGTATTGATGTATTTTGTGCATATTCAAGGACAATGATATTTTAACAGGTGCTAGGATTATAATAAAAAAAAAGATACATTAGCACCTTACTGAATGCCATAATATCCGTAACAGGTTTGCCAAAGAAATAAATCATCAGATATCTAGAAAAAAAGAGACAAATCGGCTATGAACATTTTAAATAATATTGGTGCTCAGTTGCACATGACTGCCAAATATTATGAAGTTTGAAAGATTGAATTATATTTTGATTAAAAATTTTGGGTGAGAAAAAGCAGCCATTCATACAGTTTCCCTTTTTGTCTTCAAAGTCTATTTTTGTCGGACAACATATTTTTCTCCAATTTCCATCATCAGTTTTCCAGTTCTTAATTTTGCCAAACTGTTCTTGCTTCAAGGCAGTGTCTTCCATTGACAAATTTGTCTGTTTTTTTCTAAACTAAAATCAGTTCTGATCCTGAAATCTTGATCCCCAAAGTCTGTCCCATTCTTGCAAAACTTCATAGATCAAAATGACCGTCTTCTAATATTTAAAAGGTAAGCCATTGTTATTGGTGCTTAAGTGGGGTTATTAATTTATTGTATTTAGACTACTGTAAGTAATTGTTGCCAATTGGCTTTGTGTTTGGCTTGGTACATTGTTGTACATTCTTGAAATTCTTCCAATTGCTAATGACGTTAACCAAAGCGTTGTACAATTCTTCCTGGATTGGCTCATGACCAAACGATAAGGGTCGTTATTAGTCAGAATTGTGCAGTTGGTGATTTCCTCATTATTTTGTTACACCCAATGTTATAGTCTGTGTCCCAATTATTTTGCTATAGCCAGCAATACGACGTGTCTATGGAAGTGGCTGCTGGTACATCCATAGGCGCATGTGTAATTGCAAGCCGTATCCAAATAATTTGGACACCATCTTGGATATCGGTTTGGTTGGATAGTAAAGCGAATGGTGCATAGACTTCCCTTCTTGCTAATGCTACATACACTGTTCACCTGACTAGAGTGCTGGTGTACATGTAAATGCATTATAAATGTAAATGCATTATAAATGTGTATTAATCATTGTGTATATGTACATGTATGCACCCATTGCCGTTGGGTTTTCTGAACCGTTCCAAGTATTTAGAAAAGGCAGAGAATTGTGATGAATGTATTCGGGCATTTGACAAGGAGTAATTAGGTGCAATAAAAAAAAGCTACTTCACGGATCATTACGGGCAGGTAAAATGAAGAATCACTAATGGCAGTGTTGGCTATCTTCATGCCTCTATGTTGTGTTAATAATAACTGGAAATCAGGGGCTCATGTCCAAAGCTGGTTAGCACAGAATTAAGCAAAGCAAAGAAAATTATTGCTGAGCAGAAATACGTTACCAATTAATATAAATGTCGTGTGATCTCGGCTTTTTTTGTGTGGAACATAACTTTATAAGCAATATATTCTGTTAGTCTCCTTAGCATCTTCTTGCATTTCCTGGCTAACGTCTTTAAGATCAATGATTTGGTTCACCCCTTTCTCAGACCTTGTTCTGTCAGCTCATCCCACAACCCATTTCAGCTTGGCCTACTTCTGGTTGATTTCATTCTGGATTTCCTTGCAATATTTTTTGGTGTTGAGCTCAAGACATCATGCAAGAATGCCAATCCATTTTCATTTAATTCCAAGTATGTGTGCTGTAACCTCCAGGCCGGGGTATAATCAGTATCCATATTAATTGTGCTTACTTGACAGGTGGTATTTCGTTTGAGCTTTTTTCGTAAATGTCAACCGTGTAGCTTTGTGATCTGAACTGTGCAACATACCAGTACGTGTACACAGGAAGCATTGATTTTTTTTTGGGGGGGGGGGGGGGATTTGGCCGTGTAGCAGGGCATGTAGAATAAATCTGTGTTTATGGATCGTACTGGTCGATGTGCATTAGTCAGATAAGGTTTTGCAAGTGATATGGAATATTTCTTTTTTTTTCAGGGGGAACTTTACTGTATTTGGCTTTTTTCCATGATTTCTGAAGGGGGGGGGGGTGAGCTTTATTGCTAAATTATGTTGCTTTTAATGTTTTAGCATGTGCGGACATTTTTCGCAGAAACAATGGCAACTGTCATAGCTTTTACAATGTACTTGCCGCATAGCTACAAGTAGCTTTACAACTTTTAGCTTAGAATTTACCGTGAACATCTACGGTACATATTTATCTGGTGTATGATATGGAGATAGCAACATGGCCAATGAAGCTTATCCAAACACATCTGGCTTAACAATCAGCAAAGACCAATGTTCAGTGAACATGGTGCAAAATCATCACACTTTTAATGAAATAATGACACTGTAGAAGTATCAGTACCTCAACCTGATCTAAAGAGTTTTCATGCCAAGCAACATTCAACATTATATTATTTAGTTACATTGTATAAAACAAGAATATGCAAATATGTTAATTTTTTTAAGAGGCTAAATAAAAAAGAAATATGGGTATATTTTCAAGTTTATTTGATGTACTTCTGGCTGTTTTTAAAATTTTTGTTGGGTCTTATTTAAAACTCCAGTACAAGTTTGGTGTGTGCTATTAGCTGATAATTTGATGTTAATTTGTGGTCTACATGTTTTTAGATAGGAGATGGTATATTTTCTGTTTATTTCTAATGTGACAAGTAACTAGTTCAGGTTTATGTTTTAATCACAAATTTAAGTTTTATTCATTGTTGATATTTTTAGATAGATTAAGATTTTAAGAAATGCTGCGGTTTAATTGAGAAACTGCCGACAATCATGTGCATAGGCAGTGTCATACTTCCTCAAAAAACAAAAACAAAACCCAAACAAACAAACAAACCGAAGAAACCAATATGTTTCAATAATATTTTTTTTCTAGAAGCCATTCTTGCCGCTCATTCTACAACATTTTATAGTGCTTGACTGAAGTTTTTTTGAATGCGTAAATAATCTTTTTTGGCAGTCAGGGTATGAAAATCTCTCTATTACATGTGCTTGAAATAAGAAAAAAGATGGCATTGCATTAGTGGGAGGATAAATAATGGAGGCAGGATCAAACCTGGAGCATTTTTGTAAGATCAAAAACGCTTTTGAATAAAGTAAGTGTGGTCTTGAGAATTTTTGGTGGTTCTGGTTTTCGTGCCGGAAAAAATTATGCTGTTATTTTTTTTTATTAATAAACATTGAAATCAACAAATGGTTATTTTATTGATAGTAATGGACAGAACACAAGATGACTTTCTTGCATCCATTTAGTAACATGGAAAAAAAGGCTTTTTTTCATTTTTTTTCTGCGGCATTAAACCATACTTTCTACGCAAAAGAAGCGCATAACAAAATAACATCTCCTGAGGGCTGTAAAAGCAGTGTTATGATTGTCAGTTTTGAATGTTTGGTGTTTCCATAAACATGTTTTTATAAAAATTGGTATTTTGTATTTTACAAGGTATCTATCAGTGGGTAGGCCCAGTGATTAAAACGTCTTAAACATTGCACCAGTAATACAAGAGATATGATCTGTGAATTGAAGCACATGTAGCTTAAACAGGGTAACAACCATACACCCATTTTGTTTTTAAGGTATGTAGAAGGGAATTAAATAATAGGTAAATGAACAATCTGAACACAGTTTGAGCAATTGCAGAAAGCATTTTTTATTTGAATCTTTGGAGCATGGTTGCAGAAGTAAGAATACACTAGTATGACTGTATAACCACGTTATATTTTGGATTTGGTTCAGCGAGTGTGCTCATTACTGTGTGCATAGTTTGCCAGCAGGGTATTTTTTTTATTGTTTGTGAGTGAGGCTGTGAATTTGTTAATTACTGTTTTTAAGTGCTTAATCGCATAATAAACATGGTTTTAAAGCATGTGGATGGTGTTTAATAGTCTGCCAATGAGGGTGGAATTATTGCACTAATAAAAGTTTCTACTTTGTCGAAGGGTTTCTAGTCTTTAAAATGCTTTTGCAAAACTGTCAGGTAGACGTACAATGTATAACTTTGCAATACTTGTACCTATGAGGTTTGGAACATGCTGTTGATTTCTAGAGTTTGGTATCTGTGAAGTACTTTTGAGTGAGTACAGTTGTCAAGGTAGTGTGCTAATGAGAATTTTTAAGTAAAACTAATTGAACAGATTGGCTAATTTTGTAAAGATTGTCAAGATTATTGTGTGCTATGACAGTAGCTAATTAAGCTGCTGTTTGTAATTATTTTTAAAAATCAAAAACCACCTGATGTGCTAATTAAAAATAAATGCCACTGTATTTATAAAACTATACAAATAATACTTTAATAGTAGTAATTCAAACCACTGCTCATTTCATTTCACAGTGAAGGTTGATTCATATTTCAGAGGAATTCAAAGCCAGTTTTATGAAGTTAATGTAGTGTCATTGTGATATTATCTTCAGCCTGAAACCTTGGCTTCACTTTCCAATTCCCGAGAAGAATAACCTAAGCATGAGTTATGAAAAGAGAGCAATGCAACAGAAGGTTTGTGTACAGATAATTATGCGATGAACTATCAAGTACTTTTTTTTTTATAGGCGATTTAATTTAATTGTGATGAGTTACTACATTCATAGACTTATATCTAAGTTAGCTATCTTTATTTGAGTGGTATGCAGCATATATTTTGTACTTTAATTGAGTAACTATGGACTATTGGAGGCATGTTGAAACAAGGGATTCATGTGATCGTCCTTTTTAAATATTGAATTCTACTGAAGTTTAATGTCGGCAAAACCAGGGCAGTCAGTTATTCTTGAGATTCCATGTGTATTGAACTTTATCGCTCAATTCTCAAGATATTTAATCGATTGTCTGTTAAAATCTCATTTTATCAGTCTGTATCTTTCAAAATAAGATTATCTGATATCAGGAAAATGTTATTCTGTGCTTCTTGTGTTGTTTCTGTAATCATTTTTATTTTTAACTTTGAAGCAACTAGTTTGTTTTTTAAATTAACTGTTGTGTCTATTATTTTCATGTACATGTGTATCTTTGTGAACTTTATATTTTGTTCGTAATTCTGTACTGCCAATTATATTTTAAATTAGAAATATTAACAGAAACAATAGTTGTGATGAAATTTATGTAATAAAATCAACATTGGACAGTAGATGTTCAAGATGACAAAAGATGGAGTGTTTAATGCCTCACTATTGTGCATTCCCCTTGGCTAAATGTTAGAATTCAATTTAATTTGATTGTTGGATTTTAGGTGTAAATTTCCTGAAGATGTTTGATTATTGGTTACGATCGAAACAGAATAGAAGTACAGTGTTCAACAAAAAAAGTAATGTTACAAGATGTAACGTTATATAGTTATAAATTATTCAGCACATTCATATACAACCGTAATTATTTGACTTTGCGAAAACGTTTTCAAAGTATCAAAACGTCAGGCCCTCCCTAATTTTACAGTTCACATTGTTTTGTTTGTTGCAGTGAAAACTTTCCACGAGTTCCCTCCCCCTTAAAAAAAATTGCCAAAAATAAAAAATGTTGACCACAAGAACTGTATTTTTTTTAAATTGCATTTTCTCACTGTCTGTATTTTAGTAGGTGGACCAGCTCAACATTCCTAATCAGATTAAACGTATTAAATAGCAATCCCATTGATCATTTTGAGTGATTGCTTTGGTGCGTTTTGTGTGTATCAAGCGGAAGGTCACTTGTGTGTTTTCAACTGAAAGGCCCGTATCTAGGCAATGGTTGGATGGCCCATTAAACAGCAGGGGTGTGCGTATTTATTTAATTTTCAAAATGCAAGAAACTTTATTCTTATTATATTATGTTGGTAAATTTATATTAAACATTGTACTTCACAAAGGTTTCATTAATGATTTCATTGTTTATTTGTATTTTAAAGCCTCTTAAGTTAATAACGTTGAAATTATTTGATTATATTTTCTCCATTAATGAATGGAAAAGTCCAGAAGCACCTGTACGTCGTAAAATGACTTCCGAATTCGTGTGCAGTGAGCATATGTGTAGTTGATAGGGACTCGGAAATTAATGGAATTAAATCTTGATTAAATAATTATTTATTCACGGAAAAAAGTATGAAAATCACACTATTTTGGGAATCATAGATTCCTGAAACTGCAGCTGGAGTAACTGGAACATGTGTAAAAATCCGTGGGTGTAAAGTGTCAACTTTCGACAAATTGTTCGGTATAAATTTTTAGTGCACATTTGACCGATTGAGCGCATCAACATGGCGACGGCCGTCCTATCAAATCGACGTCCAGCAACCTCGGCAGGAATACCGTCCAATTTACCCGTTATCGAGCATCCCAGATCTCGTCTTGGGGATAAGAATACCCTGAATATACGAGGTAGTAACCGAGGAGACCTCATAACTCCGCTCGGTCGCTGTTCTCCGTTTGGAGACGAAACCATAGCGGGTGCCGACAGCCCGGTCAACGGGCCGAACAGCAATCTACCCCCATTGAGGAAGGGCGAAGGAGTTCCGATCTTTGGGAGGGAGAAAGAGAACAGACAGCTTGGAGAGTCTTTGGATAGCGGGGTTGCTAGAGGGTCTGGTCGACGGAAACACACCAGAATGTTGACCTGGCCACCAGGTACATATTTTTTTTACCTTGGCACTGCTTAACAAATAATATATTTTAATAACAAATTAAAAAAAACCCAATAAGGACACCCCCCCCCAAAAAAAAATGACACAAAAAGTGATTACTTCTTATTTCTGAACAAAGTGAAACAAAACAACACCATCCTACCCCTGAACCCCCCCCCCCCCGCCCCCCAAAAAACCCACCTCATAACAAACAAAAGCGTTAAAAACAAAAACAAATACATTTGCATTTTGTTCTTTAATATTTAGTTTAAAATTGAAAATGCATCTCAGTCTTAAAAACTCTTTTATTTCTTGTTTTCCTATGAAAAAGTTCATGAACAGCAACCTGGTGAGAAGCGAGCATTGTCTGCTAGAGTTCAAGGAGTTGATGGAACGCCAAGAAGGAAATATGTACCAGAAGACGTAAGTACAAGTTTTTTTAATAAGACTGTTCTAAAAGCTGGTTGCCTTGGGCAGTTTAAGATGTTTCTTTTCAGGAGTATATCACACTTTAACTCTGGGATGATACAAATTATTTGGAATCTAGAAGGCATAAGACAAGAGAAAAGTTGAAGGAAAAATAACTAGGGTACTGGGATTCCAAACTGCATCTAGTGAAGCCACACATAAAGAGCATGGAGGAATGAGAAGTTAATTTATTAAGAGTCTAGTCATTAGAAGATTGAAATTGAGATAGAGGAGCAGTCCATCGCGGTATCCAATCAGTTGGCATTAAGAACCTGAATGGATCAATTTAAATGTTCGAGGACCTGTCAAGATAATTGATTGAGGCAAGTGGAATAATTTTGAAGATGGGATTGGTATTACATTGTGCACTAAAACCTGAGATTGTGTTAATTAATTGACGGAGAATGAAGTAAATTGGTGGAGACATGTAATAAGTGCAGACATTTGAGAGATATCCTAGGATGAATTTTAGACAAGGCTTTAGAGTTGTAAATCAGGTTGATAATACAATCTTTACAGACAGAACTATATTATCTTTTCAGTGCAAGAAACTTAAAAAAAAATCTTACAATTTTGTATAATTTTCATAAAAATCCACAAATATCTGGAAATTAGGTTTTTAGGAATGACAACCTCCATATACTTCTAGCCCCTCCCCTTTTGTGGTTTTGAAGTGTATCTCTAAACTTTTGTATTCTGCAAAACAAAAGTTTGTTAGTTTTATGATCCTTAAATACTAGGTTGCATGTTACATGAGAATAAGTTCTTTTTATTTGTCATAAATCAAAATTTTTACTTTTCCTTTCCCCCGCGTCAATTCAAGCAAATCAACCTATATATCACTCAGTGTTGTGGTCGAGTACTTGTTTCCGAGGACCGAGTACTGCCGAGTACCTAGGTTGCCGAGTGCGAGTTCTTCCGAGTACAAGTACAGGTCTCCGAGTACGAGTACTTATACGTCTGAGTACGAATAATTACTTCTGAGTACGAACACTTGTACTTCCGAGTACGAGTACTTGTACTTCTGAGTACGAGTAGTTGTTTACAGACGACATATTTCGTGATTTTCGTCACGAACAAGTTACAACTTGGGCACAAAAGTGCCACAAATTCTTCACAGGCCGACAATTTTCGAGTACTGAGTACGAGTACCGAGTACGATATCAGTAATGTGGAATTTTTATGAGAGATTTAATCCCATCTTACCAAATGCCTCAGTTCCCAAACCATGTTTGCATCTTTCTTTCGATGTTTGCATTGACCCCTGTTTGTTTGCAAACTTTGCACAGAGTCAGCAACCCTCATTCATTGCTTTTAGAGACTACCAATGGAAGCTTAATCCTCTTCAAATTGGTCCTTAGCTGAAGTCTGACAGAATGTCAGTATGGTAAACAAGACCATAAAAGTGAAAGGCCATGCATATTTATCAACCACCATATGTGTGGGCCGAGGCTGTCAAAATCAATACTTGTTTGTGCCGCCACAAAAGCACCATTTACTCCATGTAAATATTTCATGATTGTTGCCTGGTTGGAGAAACAACCAACTCAGGTGATGTTTGCATGGCATTTTCTGGAAACACAAATGTTATCATCTCAGTGTTTGAAGTTAAAACATAAAAATATCAGTGCCACCCACTTTTTTAATTAATGCATTGAAATTAACTTATGCCTAAAGGTTAGAGAAAACGCTTAGAGTAAACAAAATATTTTAAACGTTTTGTCAATGAATATGTATCAACTTTCAATTTCCATATTTGTCACATTCTTTTTTTTCAGTTGTATGAAATTATCCGAGAGAAGTTGACAACTGGTTACCATGGTCTCCATCAACTTTTTCGTGCCAATGATCCCCAAGGCAACAGTACCGTCTCCAAGGTTGCTCTGACTCGTATCCTGTATCATCTAGTTGGTTATCTGACAAGGGAAGAGGTTCAAAAGCTGCTTACCAGGTTAGTAGATGATTAGGAGTGCTTAACAGTGTATTACTGTCACCTGCATCCAATTACATAGTGCTTCTTATAGCTCAGAAATTTGCTTATCATGGAAAATGTTTACTTGGGAAAAAAAGAGGTCATCACCAAATCTCACCAACCATTGTTTTATTCCTCCGTGCACCAACATATAACTTTGGCCCAGGCTCAGCATGTATATTTGCTAAGCATTGTATATGCTCAACAGCTTAAGTTTGTGTGGTAATGGTAGAAAAAAGGGGGACAAATGTCGCAACCTGATGCCACTTTTTTCTTCATATATCATCTCAGTGAAAGTCAGTCATTGCAAAACTGATGATAAGACATGAATCTGGGACTGAGAAACATTTCAAATTTTGTTAGGAAATACTTAGAAAATTGTCTTGACTGTCTTTGTACACAACCGCTGAAGTGGCGTCAGGTTGCAACATTTTTTTTCCAAAATGGGAATGCCTGCTCGAGTTCAGGATGGTTGGGGTGGCTAACCATCTCCAGCTGTTTGACCAATGTTAATTATTTACATATTAATCCGGGGTTTGACCGATGTTAATTATTTACATATAATAGGGGGAAAAAATAAAGTTAACGTAAATTTTCAGGAATGTTATGTGTTGAGTTCTACACTTCACCTACCAAAACCCCTTGAAAATGCTTGGACTTCAACACCTCAGTTATCCGCTTTGACAATTTGTGGATCCACTACGACCCCTCCTTTGTTTGCATTGCCTCTGCATTCATAGATCATTCATCTTTACGTTTGTTGCCTCAGGTTGGGACTTGATGGTATGGAGACAGTCTCTTTTGATAATTTCATTGCCTGCTTCCGTGATAATGAGGTAGGTTATAGAAATATAAAAACAATTTCAAAAAGGAAAGGGTTGTTATGCACTGTGCATTCTAGCTCCATATTTATTAAAGTTTAAAATGTGCAAAATGCATTTGAAAATGAGAATAAGTAGACCTACTACACTGGGCTTAAGGCCTAGCTGACATTAAAGATATATGCATATTCCACACAAATAAATAAAAAGCCCTTGAGGTTAGTTAATTTGAATAAGATTGTAATTTGTGCCTGGATGTTCGCACCTGTTAGACACCCATTGAGGAAGTGTTGATTGCCATGCCTTGGGCTAAAAATCAATTGATCTTTATAAAAGGGAACCACAGGGAAGTTATATATGTCATAAAAAAAATGTGCATTATGTATCGCGAACACATCGTGACTATATGTCTGTTAAGGGGAAAAGCAATATTGACTTGAGCAGTATATATGAAGCGATGGCATCTGGTATAGCATACCATTAATCATGAGTTCCATATTACAATTAATGTTCAACCAACATTTTATCCAATGTGAACCTATTCAGTGCTTTATTTAATTGGTTTGTTTGACTACTCTGCTTTTAGACTGTAAAACGAGAATGGTTAAGCCCAGTGGCAAGGAAGGAATTTTCAGCTGAGCAGCGGAAGAACAACTTGGAGGACCACCTGTGTTTCAAGAGACCTGCACCTGAGATGGTAACAGCTACGTATGCTAACGCCCTCCTCAAGGAAAAGTGCAGACACAGGTGAATGACATGATTGATTGAAAGTAAACCATTGTTGAAAATCTATGATCAACGGTGAAAGATTGAAGCTCATAAATTTGAGGAAACTTTATTTTCTATTTCATTTTCACAGTGATTTTGATCTCCGTCGTCATCTGGCGCCCTCGTGCTTTGACCCCGGGGCAGTCATCTTGCCGCCTCAAATGGAGGAATGTCTGGCGAGCATTGGAGTCCGACTGGATGACTATGAGATGCAGAAATTATGGGAAAGGTAAAATTTCGGGATTTTATTGCCAGTGTTGTAGTTTAGTCCATCACAAGTCCTGACAGGTCCTCACTTCTCAAGTCAAGTCACAAGCAATTCGACTGACATTGTTCTTCCCCTATAACATGTGGCTGAACATATGATTTACATTATCCAAGATACAGAAATGTCAATAATTGCATATTTTTTCCTGACCAGGTACGACTTGGAAAATACTGGTGCAGTGAACAGTGCTTGGTTCTTCATCCAAATCGGTTTGGACAGTAGAGGACATCATTTGGTGCGGGCCAAGACAGCGCCCCCACGGGTCAGGAATCAGCCAAGGACCCCATGGGTGGTGAGTGTGAACAAGTCTGTTTATACTCGGTCTCAAACGATGAACGCAAGCGGCAGTTTGTTTGAGTTTATGCCTCAGCCTTTGAGGACTTCTGTTTTATTGCCAGATACCAGCGCAAGGGCATAGGGCCTACCTGTTCAATGTGGCATAGAGGCCAGCCCAAATTTATAGAGATCAGAATCTACAGCTTAACCAGATTTTCTAAGCAACTAGTTCTGTGCAGAGTAAATTTTCTGTGTTAAGAAGCTCTATAAGAAACTCCTCGGTGCATCCCACTCTGCTGCTAACATAAACACTAAGAATCGATAAATTCCTCAACTTTTTTCTTTGCCTGCCCAGCCCCGGATACCAGAGGAAACTCAGGAACTTATAGAGGAACCGGAGAATGTGGAACCACCGATGGAACGTCCTCCTACTGATGTTCCTAGACCACCTTCTGTTGACATTATTTCCTTTTTACTGAGAAGGGTAAGAAATTATGCAAAGTTCTGCACTTGTTAAAGTTCCTGTGTTTTGGTTGATCACCCATACTTAGTTCCTGTACTGCCCAAAACTGGCCTACCTGTTACTCCCTGTATCACCCAAAACCCCTCTCCAGCACTGTGTGGCTTAATCCATTCATCAGAGAATTAGTACAATGCAATATAAGTGCTAATAGGTTATTTGCTTGACTCACTGTCAGCCATGTGTGGTGAAGAGATGTCACAAAAGAGGAATGAGCTTAAACAATCAATTCATTTTCTTCTGTCATTAGATGGAGCAGAATTACCATGGTTTCCTGATGGGTTTTGAGCATTTTGATTATAACAACGATGGCACCGTGTCCAGAGCCCATTTCCGTGATATGCTTCTGGAGTATGATCTTCCTATGTTGCCCGTTGAGATAGAGCACCTTCTAGAAAGGTGAGCTTTGATTTTAGTCTCAGGTGAAGAATTGATTTGTGTAACTGATCCTGAAAATGAGACGTTTCCTATCTTGAAACAATCTATTCTAGCTGTTCATGGATTTATTCCCATTTATTGAAACCCATTCTAAATTCCTACTTGGCCTAGAGGTTTAAAGATAACCTCAATTTCACCTAAACGTCTCCTTTTTTTCTCAAGGGAGACATACATCTTGTCAAGTGCAATTGGATGCTGTGATTTGCATGATTTATCTATCCTTGTGTAATATTCATCATGTTATTTCCAAGACTTTTAAATTCTTTGTTTTCTTTTTGGCAGAGTTGGTCTGCGTAGGAAAGACGGTCGTGTCAGCTACAGAGATTTCCTGCATAAGTTTATGTCTCGGATGGACAACGGTATCGCCCATCGTATCATCATGGACGGTAAACACAGGTAAGGAATTCCTGGATTTAGTCGTAAGCTTTCAAGCCGACACATAGATCATTTGTATCTCCTCTGGGTATTGTGCAGGAATGCATTGCATAGAACAAATAGACATCGCCTTTACTGATCGAGTACTGTCTGACAGATGTTATATGCCAGCTGTGAGAAGATTTCAGAAGTAATTAAGGGAGACTTTCTATTTAATGATTGTCTTCATCGTTCCCCTAAATATAATCAATTTGTTTAGGCTATATACATATAGCTACCCAAGAAATTATACTTGTTGTTTTTAAAGTTAAGTATATACATGTTTTACTGAATAGGAGGTCTTCTCTTTAGTGCCAGACTTATTGCACTCTAGCTGGATTATTAGGCATGACAAAACATGCATTCAAATACTGCAATGAGCCTTTGGGGTTTCATGCAGCTCTGCATTCACGATTGAACTCAAGTCCTCCTGGAGAGATTGCATTTGTATTTATATGTACATTGTAAATATTCCAGCCATGGCACAAGCCTATTTTTAATCTCTTGCGGGGACCTGTGCATAGATAATTTGTTTGCTGCAGGCAGAACTGGTGCCTTTTAAGCAGCGTATGCATTAAGATCTAGGACAAGGATAAATGAAGCTGTAAAATCAAATGAAAGTTGACAAGCATTATAGTGTTAGCATTAGCAAAGTTGTGCATGTTTGGAGCATGTTGATAGATAGATTATTTTCTAGATAAGTTTGTGTGTCTTTGATACACACTTAAGATATCCTTTGTGATAAGTCAGCATTAGGAGTGCAGTTCTGTAATCTCTAAAGCTGTTTCCAAGATCAGTTATGGTAAAGTATGGATGTATTAATAAAGAGTCATTCACACAAATACTTGACAGTTTGAGAAATCCATGTACATGTACATGTAATTAGTAAATGTATTCTCCCTCTCTGTAGATTCAACACCAGGGCACAAACTCCCCATGGACCTCTTACAGCCCAAGATGCTGAAGCCAAATTAGTAGAGATGTTCCATAAAGACTTTCTCAGGCTACTGGCCACACTCAAGTAAGTAACCCTTAACCTTTCAACTTAGATCAACACTAGGTCAGTTGATGGTTGAATGTTCACGGGATATGATAGCTATTAGAACTGTTTTGTAAAAGCTTGTGAGTGCCAAAGCTCTATTTTTCTAAATGATATAGACTCCTTACACCTGCTGTGTACAGGCAACAGAGAATAGACACCAAAATTTAGTCTCAAATGGTTGTTTTATCTATATGCAATATGTCTAAAAATTGCTTGTTTGTAACCAGTTTCTTTATACCCAATAACTGAATTCTTATGGGCTAAACTTTGAAAATAGATCTATGATTGTTACAATTAATATGTAACTTCTTTTTCATCATCAGGAGTCAAGACCAATATAGCCTGAAGTTGATCACCCAGAAGCAGTTTAGAGACAGTGTGGATCGAGTCTTTGGGATTCGTATGAGTGATCTACAGCTTGATCAACTACTCATTGAGATTGGGGTTAACTTGGATGATCTGGTGCCTTACCCAGAGTTTCTGGCCATTTTTAACAGGAAGAGGTAGGTATCAGACCTCGGCTTTTATTTGTTGCATATTTTTGCTCTTTAAAATGTCAACATGTTAAAAACGCCATCAAATGTCATTGAACCATCTAGTTCTTAAGAAAACTTCATTGCTTAAGATTACTACATCACTAACAATTACCAGTGCTTCTCAAGATGATTTTATCCTTGTATTCATCTTTGAGTACAATCTATCCTGTTCCCACCAGGCCATCAGTTGCGTTGCGCTCCCAGACTCCACGACCCCAATCTCAGCAGCAAGTGGAGAGATCGGCCCCAGCACCTAGGATAGCCACACCAGAGGAGTACATTGTCCCACCAAACCTGGCTGGACCTGTGGAGTTTGGTGACAGTCAGCGACAGAGCCAAGGGGAGGCAGCAGGGGGAGGGGCTACAAAGAGGAAAGGGATGGAGACTAGATACAGACCGGTTAAGGAGGTACTATATTGGATTACTGTAGTACATTGGATTGCTTTGTATTTAGTCATTTTGTGAATACTTTGCCACAAATAGTTTTATGTTATGGTTCAAACAGTATGATGAAATGAATATTCCCTGAACTTGTGCAATCCTGCTTTGTCATGGTAACACAGATGGAAGACACAATTGAGGAGTTGCTAAGGAGACGAGGTTATGAAGCTCAGGAAGCTTATCACAAGATAGACCGGAAGGCAACGGGGAGACTGTCTAAGACACAACTACATCAATGGCTACAGGAGTAAGATATAAATCATTGTATTTGAAAAAGGGTCCCCCCATCCCCTTCCCTGAAAAGAAAAACAACGAACAAACAAAATTACTTCAAAATAATCCTTCCAGTATTTTTTCAAAGGCTTCCTTAATTTTAGCTTCCAAATACCATAACAGCTAAGGCTGTATTTAACAGCACTCGCATGATATTTCTTGACCATTTATTTTATGATTCCATTTTCTGAGGGGAAGTCAGAATATATGTGACTCCACCTCTAAACACTGAAGAGAGAGAAACGATTGTCAAATATTGTTATTTCCTGTTTGTACTTGCCATCAGGCTTGGATTCAGTCTTCATCCAACTGAGCTACAGACTCTCTGGACTGCCTTGGATATCGCAAGAGATGGTCTAGTCCACTATGCAGAACTCTTTGACTATTTCATCAGTCGTTCAAGACGTCGAGTAGCAGTTGTCACTAAAACACACCAAGCATCTTCTCAGAGGAAGGGCCCCATCATGAGGGAATCACAGTCCCAACCTCAGGTCCGTAGGCGTCAGTCAAACGAGGCTGGTGCACCCAGCAGGGACCTCTTTGGGACCCCTGCTGAAGACATTGTGGCGAGGATCAGACCGCAAGTAAGTCTGCTGGATTCTTACTAAATTACCACATTCTTACTAAATTACTATAGTCTTGTCATTTTAAAAAGGGTCTTGAACATTCTTATATTTTTACTATCGAAGCAGTTTTGTAATATATATATTTTTTTGTTTTACAGGTTCTCCAAAGTTGGGATGAACTCAAAATGTCTCTGCGGGAGATGGATCCCTATGGCGTTGCCATGGTTCCCATCCCACAATTCCACGTGAGTCAATGGTGTATTTTGTTGTGCCCAGTAGTGTGATCTTTATTTTGTTCACATTTCCTTGTCAGTATTTATAATGTATGCAAAAAAAACCAAGTTGTTTCTTTCATTGTTTTCTTCACTTTAAATTAAAGCTTTTTGTTCATTTTGACAAATAGGCACTCCTTCAACAAGTCAACATCAACTTGTCACCTAGTCAGTTGGAAAGACTCTGCTCCAGATTTGATTTCAGCCAAAATGGACAGTAAGTTGATTAGAAAAAAGTTTTGGTGTTAATACGTTTTACTAGCACCCAATTTATCCTTCCATGGAGAGTGAGACAATTGCAGTAAAGTGTCAAGCTCAAGGACAGTCCCATCGGCTGGTTAGTAATCCACATTGTAAAGAGTCTGCCCTCGCTGATGAATCTTGACAAAATAAAAGCCAGACCATGATATTCATCATTCACATTTTCCCCCCAGGTTTCATTATCTGCAGTTTCTTCAGTTGTTTGTTGAGCCAAGCAGCAGGAAACCAAGCAAGACTGGTATACGAGTCACTGTAAGTGCATCTTAGTAAATTGATCGAAAGCCAACTACTCCCTATCACTTGCATTGCACTCATTTTTTAGCTCCTCTTGGGGGTCAAGCATTATATGATTGTATTATGAAGGTCCTAAAATTTACCTCAAGGATTTGTTTTTTGTTCAGGATCAGAATGAAAAAGGAGGAGGGCAGATGACAGTATCTTCAGCTATGATAAAGATCAGGAAACAGGTACGATGATGTAGTCTTGCTATGCAACTTTCACCAGAGTATTCTGGAGTGAAACAGTGCCAAGTTACATAAAACAATAACAAGCTTAATTATTTACAAGATTAATACATGTACAAATAAGAAGCGTCAGTCAGGAAATGTACTCCTTTTTTTCACCCACAGCTTCTTCATGACTGGAAGAGTCTTCGGAGAGCTTTTAAGAAGGCCGACCTGAACCACGATGGCAGTCTCAGTGTTCCTGAGTTCCGGCGCATCTTGGGGGAGAGTAAGATCAGATTCAATGAGGAGGATTTCTATCACATCGTCTCCGAGTTGGACAAGAATTTGGATGGAAGGATCTCATATGATGAGTTCATATCTAGTATGATGTCAATATGAGGGATAAATTATTTGTTGGAAGCAGGATTGAAAGTCAGTGGCAGCGAGAGTTTTTGAAAGTTGATGGGGGGGGGGGGGCAGTACAAAGTCCTAGTAGTGAGGGATCCAAAAGTTGGCAAGGGGAAAAATGTTCAAAAACTACGAGGCAAATTCTCCTGACGGCCGTAACTTCCTAATAGTGTTGCTTTGTAGCAAGGAAAGATGAAAGTATTATCCTTCATATTTAGTTTGAAACTAAAGACCAAGGTAATAAAATAACATGATAAATATACAATGTTGGGTTTTACCCTTCGCCAATGCATTTTTATAAACACTCTATACTCAGTGGTGTCCTAAAGTGATTGTGAGGAAAAAATTCACAAACAATTCGGGTGGGACTTGAACCCATGACCTCTTGCTTACTAGTGCGGACGTCTGACCACCAAGCTTGCCAGGATCACTTGGCTGGTTGAAATCTGACATAGCAGCAGGTACGGCAACCAAACTATTCATCAGGTGAAATTTAAGACTTTGGATGTATTGGTGAAATATTTTATGCATTATGTTAAGCATTTGTGGTCGTACTGAAATGCAAAAGTTTCCAACTTCAAATTATGTAGATATACTTGTTTTACGTGTAAATGTACATAGAAAATAGTATTTTGTAGTATTTTGTATATATCTAGCTATATCCACTCAATTTACTCCTAAATCTATGTGATATTTCAAGTGTTTTTAGACCTTGTAACTTACAGTATTTGTGAATATGACTAGTCACAGGTAATGTGTTTAACCGAATAGATATTTCAAGTGTAATGTACGTGTATTAACATTTAGTTCCTTAACTTCCAGATTGAAATGGAGAGATTCCTTGAAGACTTGCATATGTATGTCATTCATGTATGCTGTAGCGTTATGGTGCATTTTAATGCTGCTTCCACCTCAAATTCCTGACATTTTAAAGTAAATATTTCCCTTGTGTGGTTGCAATTTTCCTGTCACTTTTTGCTGCCAGTTTAAACAAGAACACGGGAATAAACTTCAGAATAGCCACGTGTGATATATGTACAAAAACCTGTTTATTTTTTCCCAACGATGTATTTATAACTGCCTATATGGTGCCTTTTATGTTTGTACTTGTCAAACCATGTTAGATATTAAACTAAAAACTAGTTACAGAAATAAACCAAGGATTGAAACTAACATGAACTTGTGTTTGCCATAAAAAATAACACCTGTAAATCAGAATTTACAGAATGGAATGGAACTTTCGTCAAAGCAGTGTATACCTGGTAACATGCATCAATGATGTCAAGTTACCACTCTCACAGGTCGTGTTTCAATTGTAAAACAATGTCTCAACCTCATCCACATTCTTTATAGAGCAAACTAATCTGATATTCTTTGATTGCTAAACCGTTTTACATTGTGAATCCAATGATAGTATGCAACTGGATTTATGCAAAATTGGTCAAACTTTACTGTATAACAGAAATGAATAAATCTGCAACGGCTTCATTTTTATGAATACCCTGAAACACACATATCCACCAACGAAACTGTATTGCTACTCTGAGAATCGGTGTTTACATTTTTTACCAAAAAATGTTTTTTGTCACCTCTTATTTTCAGTTTGAATGATAACTGGGAATGTTTTAATCCACGAAATTAATGCTATGCTTTAATGGCCACTTTTTTGGTACTTTTAACTGCTCAAGGACATCAAGCCTGATGTGCAGTAAAAGTGCAGCTTTTTACAACCTATAAAATCTATCAGAATACTGCAATACTAAGGTTGTATTTTGGTGGAATCAGGATAGTTATGGGGAATATTACTTATATCTACACACATCCACGCACACATAAAGAAAATTAATACCAAAGAAATACAAATGAAATATTTTGGTAGATTTCATAACACTCAAAATGTACTTTATATTTATGATGGAAGGATGGGATTTTTCATCCTCAAGAATTTTTTAAAGGTTGAAAAATCATTTAAGACACTTTGTTTGATACTTGTCACAAAACAAGTAATTAAAAGTTTGATGAAAAAGCCTGTGGTTCAACAGTTATATACAAAATGGTTTCTCCGGTTCCAACTTGGGATTCCCTACTGGGAATACACTGTAGATGAGTACACAGCTGGCTACTCTTGGACGTTCTGTATTAACGTGATGTTGTCTCCTTTCAGCATTATTCTCCCTGCAAATGACAGAATAATTATGATATGACAACTAATGGCCAAGTCAGCTGGGCAACTATATTTCAAGGTACATGTATATTTTGATGTTTTGAGAGCAAGAACATGTATATTACCTAAAATGTTTTATCTCCAAATTTGTAAGATGTCTTTAATTTTCACAGGAAGACTCTCATCACCAGGATCTCATTGACAATTGATTTATATTTCTTTTCCTGCGTTTTGTCTTCCAAATGTATGAGAAAATACCAGTTCAGTTTGTGCAGGGCAAGAGAGAATTATCCAGATTGTTCCAATTTTGTTTTCTTGCACACAGTGATTTTCCAGGCAGGAGTCACAACCTTTTGGACTCACCTAGTGGTTTTCTGGATTTGGTCTTGAGGTGGAATTCCTCTGCTTCATCTAGGACCAAGTTCATGTATTCGTCAAAACCCTGTCGGAAATAACAAAGAATCCAATGTTTTATGAGCCATGTAATTCATCATGAGAATTTAAGAATGTCAAAATATAAACCTCTTAGCTGCTTCAAAAATGTTGAGATCATTTTATTCTAGAGGAGGTTTGAAGTTAAAAGGACAACACACTATTTACTCTTAATACTGGATTTGTAAGAACATGAGAACAATAGGGGAGAACATCTCCCACCTCCAATCAAATGGTTTAGATCGGAAAATTTGTAAAAAACTTACGATAATGTGGCCTTCTATCCGCATGTTGTTCTGATCATATAACCATACTTGTACTCTTGATCTCTGCGAACAAAATTAAAAAACACATGAAATATGTCAATTCTAAACAGAAGACAAAAAATGTAGGTTGTGGAAACAGAGATATTCAGGGTGGCACCCAATAAACTGAACGGGATACTTCCGCTACCCTGACTCTTGAGACTCAAACCACCTATACCAACATGACCAATGCATGGGCCATGGAGAATTCTGTTAACAGAAAAATGATACCATGATCGCTTGATTTGGTTAAGTTGTTTTTGTTCTAGAGCCCATTTTGTGAAACAAGCTCCCGACTCCTGAGTCATTTTGTCTCGAATCAATGGTAAATTAAACTTTTAATCCAGACCGTAAGGAAACATTAGTACCTCAGTCTCAATCAGCGATCTCTACCACAGTGCTCATCTCAGGTTGCACTCTTTGTCTAGTCTATGTAATAGACCATGGATATGACTTGTGAGCAGATACGCTGATTAATTAGGCAAGACACCGCTTCTTGACCTCCTGAATTTTGACCAATCAGCAGGCGCTTTCTATATCAGGTCTTCGGTCATTCACCCGATGCGCGTCATAGACAATGGATAGAAAAAACAACTGTCACGTGCTCTGTATCATGTTACGTGATAATTAGCCCAGCTGTTGTATTACAAAACACTGCATTCGAATTGACCAATCAAAGAATTTAGTCCTGATTTGTGAATGAAATGCTGTCACGATTTAGTAAAGTCGACATTGGCTAGACATTATCCGGGGATAATGGGTGATACTCGGACTACTCTTTGGCCATTTGGATGGTATTAAAAATATGATGTTTTTGTTGGCAAAGAGTTGGATTTTTACAAAACGGCATAAAAATACTTACATTTTGCAAATATCTGAAGATAAGGTTCTACGAAGCCACACAGCAAAAGAGAAATCAGAGTTAAGGTATATACAGTACCAATTATACGGAAACAGAACAATTACGAGTGGAAATACATTATTGAGAGAAATCTGTTTAGGTCGACATTTAATGACAATGTCACTTTTTAGAAATAAACAAAATTCTTGATTGTAATTTGATCGAAACAAAACAGGGGCCCTACACTACACGAAGCTTTACAATCTGTATTGCATGAATAGCTAAGTGTCGGAATTACAAGGCCGTCTCGTCAACAACAGGAGGAAGGTAGGCCTATTGTTAGCCCCATAAATGTGGCCTATTTACTGGACTGCCTCCGTAAACATAGGCCACACATCCACATGTACAAAAATCGTGTCGACGGAGCCAAATTTTGATTTTCACATTTAGGCTTAGTTTGTATGTTTTTTTTGCTTTAGAAGCATACTCACCCTCTTTATAGGCTAATCAGAAAGTGCTGCCTTTTTCAGATGTATATTTTTCGTGAAATTTCCAGATTCATTTTTACACGTTTGCGTATCAAAATTTCAACATGAAATTTCACAAAAATTAAACATCTGAAAATAGCAGCACTTTCTGATTAGCCTGTAAAGAGGGTGAGCATGCTTCTAAAGCAAAAAAAAACATACAAACTAAGCCTAAATGTGAAAATCAAAATTTGGCTCCGTCGACACGATTTTTGTACATGTGGATGTGTGGCCTATGTTTACGGAGGCAGTCCAGTAAATAGGCCACATTTATGGGGCTAGCCTATTGTCAAACGTGCATGTGTCACAACGTGAACATGCCAGGCTGAAATAAACTCATATTATCAATATACTCGAAACCAAAAGGGATACAATAGGTTGAACCATAATCTTCTGCACTTTCTGTCCCTTGTATGCTGCCATGGTTGGAGTCGTACTGCTTTTCAATAGCAGTCACTGACGAAAAATTAAGCAAATTGAATTTGCTGCACGAACGTTCCCGTATCGTTTGCACGTGAAACGCAAAATGGCGGAAAACAACGCTTTCATATTCCACTAATTTGGGAGGGCGCCACCATTTTCCCTCCAAAAGCCGTTTGCAATACATGTTTTTTGGGTTTCAGATGAGGATCTGTGCATGCTATGAAGCCTTTAAGACTCAGCACCAGCGCAATCTTTATTTAAAAAGACAACATTTAGAATTGTAATGTTTTAAGGTCTCAAATTTCTGGTGCTCAGATGCTAAGATGGTTGTACATTAAAATAGTTCAATTTTTAAGTCTTAACTGAAGCCTGAGTTTTAGAAATGGAATTCTATTTTTAGTTGGTGCCGCGCCGATGCGAAACGTAAACGACGGCTGTTGCATGCATGCGCTATATGTGAAAGAATCACGCAAAAGATGGCGGAAGCAACGCAAGGCCAAGGAAACCCCAACAGGGAGAACTTAACAATCGACTTAGACGTTCCATCCGAGGCCAGGGGATACCCCGAGGGCCAGGAGGGAACCTTTGGTGACACCGGTGTCGACTTTGAAGAAGATGAGGAGCTGTCATTGGCTCAAGATGATGCGGAAATGGTCGCTAATGCTCAACTCAGTGAGTGTGGATTTTGGCATTTGCGTTTTTTGATAACCCATTGACATTGACAATGATTGACATTGTTTTCGTACACGCCCAACGAGATAAAGCTGGGTCAGTACCTGAAGTTGTGATTGTGATGTTCACTTTGTACTTTGGTCCACTGAAAACTGACTGACGGTAGTGACTAGAGACAGGCAACTAACCAACAGACAGAATAATCTTCATTTTGACATTTTTGAGGAAAGAAATTTCTTCTTTGTAGACTAGCAATGACTATAGGTCATTCATGAACAAGACTGACACATGATCTAATGGCAGTGAGTGATCAAGATCAAGAAGGCCTGGTCTTGAATGGTAATTCTTGATTCGGGAAAAATGTTGTAACCTGAAGCCACTATTTTCTTCATCATCTGAATGAAGGTCAGTCATTGCAAAAATGATGACAAGACATGAATCTGGGACTGAGAAACATTTGCAATTTTGTTAGGAAAGCAGAACATTTTCTTGACTGTTTATAGATTTTGTACACGATTGCGGAAGTGGCGTCGGGTTGTAAAATAATGCAGTTTTTCCCTCTGATTCTAAATCATTCCTGCTTAAAATCTGAACCTCCTGTAATAAAAATTCTCTGATGTTTTGTTATGTCTAGCACTTTAGCATTAAAAAATGATTGAACTTTTTGAAGTATCTGTCTCCTGTAAATTTTGAAATTTTAAGATTATGAATAGGTGGCTTAAAGTTAAACTGGTGTTTAAATTCGGACACCACTGTATTTTTCTCCGAGGTTTGTGGAGAGTTTACAATAACATTGAAAATAATAATAATAATAATCAGGGCGCGTCTATAGCGTTCTTACACAAACTGGTATCACTGTCACAATGCTTTAGGCAAAGTAAAAAAAAAAACATGTTTAGCGTCCTGCCTTTTTTAAAATAAAGGAAGGAGGAGGCTTTTTTTTTCTTCCAAAATGACAGCAAAGCTGTGGGAGCTACATGTAGATAAGCCAATAAAAAAAATTCTGGATGTCTGCGCCCACCTATAACTAACATGTCACAGCCTGTTCAAGAGAATTTCTCATATTTTATTGGTTTATTTGCCTTTATCTCCTGCCATGACAGAGTTGTGTTCCCCATCAGATGAATCTATGCCTGGCGGTGGGGAAGCCAGTCAAGCTACAAGCTCAGCGGATGCAACACCGTCAGCTGAAAATGTGGAAACTATCGATGTGGTTGAAGAAGAAGACACATTTGAAGATATCGCAAAACACAACATTATACAGGTTGCCGGTAGGTGTCCATTCTGTGAATTAGTTTTGGAAGGATCTCCAAAAAATGGGAGAATATTGAACAAGAAAATGATGAACGTGTGGATGGGGAAGTTGGGACAAGGAAAAGTTAAAGTTGTTAATGGTTGGTGTAAATTTCAGGCAAACTAAGTATGAGTTAGGTTTAACGCTACATGTTATTGCATGTGAAGTTCAGTTTGCTGGAATAGATGTGACAACCCATGTCAAATTCAGTTACTTCCCAGCTAAATATGTCTGTTTCTACTGCACTCACTGGTTAAAATTAAAGTTACAGCATACATGCTTGATCATACAGAGAAGAACAAAAGAGCAAAATCCAACATTTTGACAAAATGAATCAGTTCTTAACAGTGAAAGTGAACGACCTGGTTTTGCCGTGGAGCTTCACACATCACTTGTAACCCTGTAGATTCCCATATTCTGGACCTAAGATAGCCATCATTGTAACTACATGGATGTCTCGTCAAGGGATTAAGGGAAGGGTTAGGAATGCTCTGTCATTAATTTCTGGTCACTATTCTCCCTTCAATTGCATTGTACATCAAGATGAAAATTATGCGTATGACTCTCCACCAAAACCTGGCCACTAAAGCAGACGTAAAATGACACAGTTTCATAAACAACCAGAGATACATGCAAGGACAAAGGAGTTATGGAACGTCAATGGATTTGAAACTGAGTAAAGCGCTGAGCTCATTTTGTGTCCTTTTGTGCAGGTGATGACAGTGTAGGCAGAAAATTGGTTTTGTTTTACTGTTGCCGCCTTCCACCAACGAAAACCTACAACACTGCCAGGTTACTAGGGTGAGCAACATTTTAAATAGTTAACGAGTAAATTGTTGTTTCCTGATTTAATAAGTTTATGTTAATATACACACTGGTCCAGGATAGGAAAACTCAAGTTTGATGAAGAAATTGAGCTACATATTGTCAATATACAATATTGCGTATGTTTGACAATATACATTAGAGATAGAATTTAAGCTGAATGCATAATATCTATTACAAATTTACAAATACTGAGCTTACAAAACCTGTCTTTTCCTTGTTTCAGCTTTCTGAAGTACACCCTTGACCAGTATGTTGAGAGTGACTACACACTTGTTGTGTTCCAATATGGATTGGTTCATGCCAACAGGCCGTCATTCAACTGGCTTACACAGGCGTATCAGAGTCTGGACAGAAAGTAAGTAGGGATCAACTCATGATAATGTTGGCTTTTTATGGAGAGGTTTTTAATCAATTGATTATGGTGATCTTAGTGATGATTAGCTATGAGTTTTTAAGTTGATGCCTTCGGTCACAGAAAACATGCAAGAAAGATACTTCATGAAAATATAGCTCTGATAAATGTTTAATTGCGTGGTTTAGATAAAAAAAAGAGTTAGTTGGTTGAGTCAGAATTCAATGACTAAGTTTTCCTAAGTTTACCTGAATCCCAGATGTTGTGCCAAAATAGATGAAACAATAGTGATATAATTTTGACAATTTTTTTCGATGGAATGTTTGTTATTCCTTTTCACAGTATCATCTGCTCTCAAGTTTTTAGGACATTTTAAGTCCCTTTCATCTCAATAATTTGCTAGATTCAAGAAGAACCTGAAGGCCCTTCTCATCGTCCACCCATCCAACCTAGTCAAAGTCTTCTGGGGTATCTTCAGGCATCTAGTCAGCACAAAATTCAGTCGTAAGGTGAACTACATCCACCTGCTGAGTGAACTGAAAGGCTTGATGGATGTGGAACGATTGACTATACCTGATGATGTCTTAGAGTATGTATTACAACTCAACTGCTCTGAGTGGCTTGCTCTTGAAACGGACTTTGACAAAGGCATTCCTTTGTTATTGTTCAGCCCCATGTTACTTATAAATTGACTTGTGAATGATTTATCAATGATTTGTGCCTTACTCAAGTTCAACTCTGCAGTTTAGTTTGGATTCAAAACATTTTGGTATATTTTCTTTTCAGTTTTTAATTTAGCATCTTTTCAGTTAGTCCTACCAACAATACTTGCAATTCTGTTCAAGATTCTTTAGAGAGAATACATCAACCTGTATCAGATTTTGGTTAGACCAGCAGGTACAAGCAAAGTCTTGCTTTAAGGCTATCTGTCAAAAGCTTCTTGGAAAATTCCCTCACTCTTTGAGGAACCTTCTTGAGAAAGCATCTACTCTTGCTTGAAATGGCTGTGAAATGAATTCAAATCGTCTTAGAAGTGACATGATCAACTATTGTACTGTAGTTCTATTTTAAATCCTAGCCGTTCACTTGGAAACACTTTGTTTCCCAGAAACAATGCACGTATCACCTAAACCTTTTTAATTTATTTACTTTATCACGAGGTTGTTTAACAGTTGCATAATATAATCCTGCTATTTTTATTTGCCAGACACGACAAGCGGATGATTGAACGTCGCAGAAAAAAGGGTCGACAGACTGCTGCTGAACAAGCCATCACAACAATCGATGCTTTAAAGGAACCGACTCCTACAACTCGACAGTTTGGAGTGTCGCTAGACTTGTAAGTCATCATCAAGCCTAAAAACACCATGAAGCATGATATTTTGAATCTTTTTCAGCAAGTTTCTTTATGAAATTGGGACATTCTGCCCCGTGTAATGAACTTAAAGTTTGTTGGGCTCCAAATCTACCCAAATCCATATCTACTTTTCAATTCACAATTAATTCATCTAACCATTCAAAAAGCAGATATGGATTTTGGTAGATTTGGAGTGGTTAGTCATGATAGTTTGGAGTGGATTTGCTCACATTGCATAGCCATGTGAAGACATAGTCCATGGCCAGGGGCCGATTTTATGAAATGCTAAGACGCACCTTAGGAAGGGTAACTCGTCTTATCTTATATGTACCAAACCTAAGACGCATTCAGCACATCCTAACTTCCTTAGCAATGCGGCTGAAATCGTCTTAACTTAAGATCAGTCTGAGGGTCGTCTTTTCACATTAGTGTGTGCGTTAATTTGTTTTTCGTCTGGAAATCATTGCAATATCTTCTTGTTAAAGATGAATGATGGCCTAGAGTTATAGTTTCGCGGGAGAAACCGCTGTAGAAATACATTTAAAAAGATTTCGGATAGTGGGTAGTTATTTATTAAAAATAGCTTATTTACAAAATTTAATTATTTGCAAACACCTAGTCGATTTTTTAAAATAGAGTGATGAAATGGGGAGGAAGAACGACTTTGTCATATTGTGTAGGACTACATTGTACCTTGCGTGTGAAATTGATTTGAGTAAAGTAATTTTTCTGATGAAAGTTGATGTTCTATGCATGCGCACAGGAAGTTGGTTTTCCAAGTTTCTTTTCAACAACTGTTTCATCAAGCCGTAAAAACAAACATGAAACAGCCATCAAATTGGTAGTTTTGATACGTCTTGCTAAAGATTTGTTTAGTGAAATGAGGTCTGAGGACGTGTCTTAGCTAGGATCGATTTTAGCAATCCCCATCCAGACAAACTCCAACACTAGAGTTTGTTGGAATCTGTTGGAGTGAGTAAAACTGATATGCTTTACATGGGGTCAGGCATATATACCACCATAATCAGAGTCCAACAGTTTGGTTGTAGAGGTTACCATATGGTGTTGGATTTTGCAGGAGTGAGGAAGATTTCTAGTAAATCACTCAAGGGGCTAGGGTTAAAGTAACTTTTGATATTTAGAAAAAATTGTTTCCACTTTGCAGAAAAAGTGATTTGTTTGTTTTTGTTTGTAGTTTGGCAGAGAATGAAGATGGAGCACCTATCCCCAAAATCGTTAGAGAGACAGTTGCTGCTGTACGAAAAAGAGGTAAGATATCAATGATTTATGAATCCATGTTATAATCACTATAAGGGGGAATGCAGAGGAGGTGTAGTGTGAAATAAACACCAAACAATTTGTTGCTTGTAAGGCATTAACCCTACCCTTCCCAACTCTGTCAGAATCCATCCCCCCATTTGGGGGGATTTGGCAGATAAGCCATGTGTACCAAGTCCATCAAAATCCACCTGAACCAGGGATGGATTTCAATGGATTTGGTCTGGAAGCATTATGTGAAGCAGAGTCAGTGATGAATTTTTACAGACATTGTCCTCTACTTAGTAAAACTAAGTAGGGCAGGAGTTAGGTTAAAGAAATAAGCGTAGTTTAAAATGGACTGGTCTTGTTCACATTTCTAGGTTTAGAGACTGAGGGAGTTTTCCGCCGTTGCCCCAACGCTAACACAATCAAACAAGTCCAGCAGATGTACAATGACGGCAAGGAGGTTGATTATGATGCCTTGTTGGATGTTCATGTCCCGGCACTCATCCTTAAGACATTCTTCCGTGAACTCCCAGAGCCTATCATGACCTTTGACCTTTATGATGAAATCATGAAGATGCATGGTATGTATACATTTTTTTCTTTGTGTGTGTGTGTGGTTTTGTTTATGGTGTAAATCGAGGACAGGAGTCAAATCAAAGACATCCTCAATTAGAACAAGTATACAAAACCAATGCTGTTGCAAAAAACTTGAGATATAAACAAAAGATCGATGATGAGGAACAGTAGGAAATCCTTGATTTACACCATAAACTAACATGTGTACGTGTTCTACATAACCCACGAGGACCGACACACAAAGGGAGAACAACAGATCCTTTCAGTCCTCGGGCGTTGGGTCTTTTGTTGAAAACGGTTCTCTATCTTACGGTTATGTGCTTAGTCTATGGGAGAGTGTTATATTTCATGGACAAAGGGAAACCTAAAGCATTGTCCTCGGGAGTATAGTAAAACGAGACTGTGTGCGCGTGAGTGATTTTCTGTATTCAACAGGGGATGTTGAACAAAAGAGGACAATAGGATCCCCAATTCCCGAAGGTCCACAATTTGGCGATCGTGTACAAAACATATGGGAGGTCTTCCTAAAAAGTTAAGGTACAAACCAATGAGGGACAACAGGGGGTCCCCGATTGCAAGCAAATACACACTTGTGTGCGCACGTTTAAGGGATGGGGAGTTCCCGGTAAAAGGTAGTTAGCATAAAAATGTAAATAACTTCAAAATTAAGTAATGCTTTGAAATAAAAATGCACTGTATTATTTCAATTATTAATTAATTTTGTGAGTTCAAATTTCAGCCTTATGTGATTTTTATTTAGAAATGGGAGCACAAAACCTTTAAACTTGATTATCTCCAAAAGTGTTTTTGTGTGCATGGGCTGCCAACGTCCTTTTCCTTGGCATACAATGAATTGTTGTTAAAATGGACATTCCAAATCTTTAATGATTCGTCTCTGTTCTTATTATCTCAATTTTGTAGATCTTCAAGACAATGATGCAAGAGTAGCTGCTTGTAGGAGTATCATATGTGAGAAACTCCCGGAGAGGAACTACATCATCCTGCAGCATTTGATGGAACTACTACACCAGGTAAATCAGTGACTATCATCCTGAAAAATTCATCTTGATCAGAAAATCAAGTGTCCCTGTTTATAAAATAACCCAAAACACTAATTAATAATACTTTAAAAATCTTATGTGTTATGGTTCTCTAGTGCAGGGTGTGTGTTTTACAACCTCTCCAAAATAGCGTTGAACAAAACTGTTTTCTTAATATTGCTTTTGTAAAGGGAGGTGTTATTATTAATATTAATCATATTTTCAACTCCCTGTAATGCATTTCTCATATGTTAGTTTTTTATGGTGAACACCGAGTCTAAGAGTAAAGTGTGCATGTATGCATTTACAGTGAAACACATATTTCTACCTGTTCACCTTTTTTTCCACATTTAAATTTGTTCTTTGTCAGATTGCTGAAAATAGCGACAAGACCAAGATGTCCGCTGCCAACATCTCCATTGTGTTCAGCCCTAACCTTGTCTGGCCTCGAAGCAAAGCCATGTCCTTGGTCTCTCTCGCTCAAATCAACTCCTTCATCGCTACTCTGCTGTACCATTACAATGAGATATTCACACGTGAGGTCAGTGAACAACAGAGGGCGTCCTCCTTTGCTGACCAGCACGATGGAGTAAAGGTTGAGGTTCAAATGGAAAGCAAGACTGAGGCGAATAGCTCAGAAGTTATGAATGGCGACGGTAATGTTGAGAGTTAAACAAATGATCCATCTTAAGCTTGCTTATTTCAACAATGGACCGTTGCGCACGTGGGCAATAACGCATGCAGTATGTCTGCCTATAGCAACACTGTATGTTACAGCTGCATGTGCCATGTGTAAGTGCACGCATGTCAGACTTACTTGTCAGATAGCTGAGAGTGTTGCTGTAGATGGGGTGTAACAATGACATAATATAGTGCTGTCAATAGTGAAGGTTTATTTAGCTGTTGGAATTGCTCAAGAGCAATAGGTGGTGAATGTACTTAATATGTACAAATAAAAAAGTCTTGTAGTTGAGTTATGCTCATGAATCTGAAGCATTATTTCCAAAAGACACCCCGTGTGTTTTTTATGAATCAGTTAAAAAAAAAGGATCATGCAATTTATAGGAAATATTCCTATTTACTTTTAATGCTGTAGCCATTGTCAGTGTCTGTTGTCTGTGAGAGTTTGTGAAGGCCTTCTACGAAATAGGCTGGTGCCCTATTGTGCATCTGCAGTTTGCCATTCAATCAGCATGATGACTGCAGGGAATTTAACGAAATGTCTGTAGCGTGATTATTTGTTTTGCGGATCTGGAGCAGGAATCTCCAGTTTTTGACCTCCAACTGAGTAGCAGGTAATGGGGAAAATTGTGTATAAAAGCTTATGAAGATAATTATGGGATGCAAGTTAGTTTTGCCCAAGTAGAAATGTGCCAGTCTTGTTGACAAATCTTGATTTTTCTTGCCGCTTCTAAAATTATTATTTACAAGGATGCTTCTGTTTATGTTTATATCGAGATTTTTTGGGAAAATTATGCCCTTTTAAATTCTGGATAAGGTGTCTGGGAAGTTTTTGTGATGAGTCAGCAATCTGTGTTGCAACGATTTGTAAAATTGTTGTACTTAAAAAGGCATAAAAATAATATATTATATTATAATGGGGCTTTACTTGTATTGAGATTTAATGCAAATTTACATACAGATCATGTTTATCCTGCATAAATGGAATCAAAGTAATATAAGTATATGCAATTATGAATTGTAACATGAATATGTAATATGTAACCAACCCTTGGCACATGCTAGTGTACATGTATGTTTGTATATTTCTGTATTCAGTTTAATTTAGTTTGAAACTTAGAGGAAGCTTACAGCAATTCATAGACAAAAATTCATATCAAGGAAGGTGAAGTATCTTCACGGAATCCACTTTCAGGTCAGTATGCTTTGGGTGTCCAAACAGTGTTTAAAAAACTTGCTACAAATGAGTTCAAAATTGCGATGTAATAAAGAAAAAAAGTACTACTTACAAAGTTCACATAAACATTCCTTTTCATTCCTTTTGATTTGAGACGCTGTTGTATTTTAAATACATTGTTGCATACATCTCTTGCAAATCTCTTACGGTGGTGTATAAAAGCCTTAGCTGTGGTTTGTCATATTGAAACTACATCATGCAACGTCTTTAACCAAGGTTAATGTTTGTGCTGTGCATTTTGTGCCGAGCTCCACTGTTATGTAGGTAAATTGGCAGCTATGTAATACCATAGATATCATATTTGCATTTTCCTTCATCAGTTAAAGAGGAATAGATAAAGCATTGTTTTCAAGAAGTTTACAATTTCGTTTAAGTTGTCAGCATTGATGTACATTTTGGTATTGAAATGACTACCCAAGAATCTCATGACTCACATAATGTTGAAATTGGATTATTATGCTTTTCTTGCCTAGTCTGCATATAAACCTCTAGATATCCTTTGCAAAAGGAAAAGACATTGGGTGGTAAACGCTATTTAAAGGGAATGTACAACATTTGCTTTTGCTGTAATTTTCAGAAATGGATGGATTTGGGGGTTAGTATTTTAGAGCAAATATTGTTACACTGACCTGCTTTAAGTTTTGTGTTGGAAAAACAAACAAAAATAAAATGTTTCTCCTAAAGAGAATCTTCTGATTCCCTGACCCTACTTCACACAAAACGGAATTTGTAGATGTCTGGGAATTATCAGGTCATGGAACCAGACTAGCTTGCTTGCACCCATTAACGGATGTGTAAATGACTTCAAACAAAAAGTCGACTAACTAAATTTGGTAAACTAGGGGTAGTGTTTGAAAAAAGTCATTTTTTTCCAACGATGGTCGGCTGACCATCTTTGGCAATTGGTACAAAATTCCTCTTTTCTTGAAAATGGCAGTACACCATGTACCATGATTTTACTGGTTGCTTAACTTACAGTCAAGTAGGGTTGACTGTAAAGACAATTTGGAATAACATTTTATCCTCTCCATACACCTGTTAATATTTTGAATGCATCACACTATTACCTGTATGTGGTTCTTATGGTGAAAAACCCACCCATGAGCCTCCATCTGTGTATTTGAAGTATTGAACAAATCACCAGCATTCTTTTAACACATGCATGGATAAGTACAGTTTATAAATGGATATCATTCTCAACTGATTTTCGTTTAATTAATGCATACATTTTCCAATTATTAGGTTTTATCAAGTGCTTTTATAGTTACTATTTTTCTGGGTTTTTTTTTTATATTGGTTGGTCATTTAGAGTTTCAGTGTAGTGCAGTGGAATATGTATGAATATTATGCCATGTCTTCCTGTGTTTCGAAAATTAAAACAAAACAAAGTGAAAATTGAAAGAAAGCAATGGTGTTGTTTTACCACCCATGATTATTTGGCCCTTTAAGTTGGATATTCGTGCTCAGAATGCAATGATATGAAATTTAAAGGCAATGTTAAAATCCTGCACAAATTTCACCCTGTAAAGATAAAGTTCATAAGAAGCGTGATACCGCCCTCTTGTGACGTAAAAACTTTTGGAAAGTTGGTGAAAATCATTGGTCAAGCTTATGAATAATAAATATACATAAGCTTTTACGGACCAATCAGCTCCAACAAAGCTTCAGTCATGCGCGTTGGCGATCCCGCGGCACGTGTTATGTCAATATTGTGTGCACCTGCAGCGTGGCATGGTACTTGTTATGTGTACGGCCGGCGATACGTACATTTTGACTGCACGCGACACTGAATTATGTCATGACAATTTGGCTACATTTTAACTCACCTTTGACTTCGCTTTCACTTCCATTTTGACCCAGAAATGTCACCCAGACTACCCACATGAGCGTACCCAAGAATGGCCGAAGCTGATGGACATTCCAATTCAAGGAAAACCAGTGGTTATTCGTACAGCACAGTGAGCTCGAGTCTAGCTGACTTAGAAATGGAGACGGACCCAGTTAGTAACAGCTCAACCTCCGGTGATAATTGTATGTACTCCTTATCGGTGGACGGGGCTAGCGGACCGCCGTCTGCAGCCTCGGCACTCCCTAAGACCACCACAGGCATCGCTACCACCGCCATTGGTGGCGTGGGAAACAGAAACCTCAATAATATCAGCACTGCAGGGGGAGATTTTCAGACTAATCGAGAGTTACAGAGAAAGTACTCCATGCACATGAATAAACGAACAATGAAGAAGATGAGTTTCCAAGGGAGGACGTACAACTTTCTAGAACGCCCCACTGGTTGGAAATGCTTCGCCTATCACTTTTCAGTGTGAGTAGTTTGACATCAATATTATTATTATTGACCATATCCTTTTCCTGAGTGTTACAGGCCTTATACAAATTACAAGTGGTTCAGTTTTTATTGCTTGGCCCCCCCCCCAAAATACTTGCCCTCCTTTGCCCCCCCCCCCCAGCAATAGGCCTACTCTTGTGGTGGTCACCATGGGCGTCGCGAGGGGGGGGGGCAAGGGGGGGGCACTTGCCCCCCCTGGAAAAGCACCAAAAAAAAAAGGAAGAAAAAAAAGCAAAAAAAAGAAAAGAAAAAGAGGCGCGAAGACAAAGTGGTGTAAATTTAATGAGTTGAGGGGGGAGGCAAAATGTCCCTGCCCCCCCCCCCCCTAAAACTGATAAATCGAAAATGTGTTGAGAAATACAAGCATTTTTTGGCAAAAAAATTTTTTGCCCCCCTCTAGAAAAAATCCTGGCGACGCCTATGGTGGTCAATTCTAATTCTGAAATGTAAAAATGAACTTTTACTGTCATCTTATGTCTCTTCAGACTCTTTCATCTCATGCGCATTCAACATGTACGAAAAGTGCTTGCACTTTTTTTTGGACAAAAATATATAAATCCTTTGGTATTTATATTGAAAAGACAAAGGGTTTTTATGACAATCACTTTTTCAGTTCTTGATATATTTTGCTGTTTTATTTTAATACACTGTATTCATTTTATCAACAGTACGATAAAATGCCTAATTTTTACTCAGCAAGTATGCATTTATTTTATACTTTGTGACCCTAGTTACCATGTAGGGCCACAGGCTAGCAACCTGGCATGATGCCAAGTTCTCTGACCAATCACCTCAGGCGCTAATGTCTTTCACGCACATTTTTGCGCGTGACGTATTCACTTCGGTACTCCATTGCCACATTTGGTAATCATAAAGTATGTCAGGGAGGGATTAGCATACATGCAAATGAAAGGAACAACTTTAAGCCAATGAGGGGGCTTCTTTTGCCTCGTGTTGCTTGGTGCAGTGGTAGCTTGAGCTATAATGCTTTGCTGACACCTTTGTCACAGCCAGTGAGCTGAGACAGCAGGAGTAATTAGATTTCTCAATTTCACTCTCCACCATCCCCTTGCTCCCCCCCCCCCCCCACGCCCCGTTTGAATTTGCTGTTCATCAATCCAGAATATTTTGTTATGGTTTCAAGCAACCATTCCCCCTTTCTGATTGTAAAGAGATGTTTGCTCAATATGTACCCAGCTAAATGTTGGGTCTGTGTCCTCTGCAGTGCCCAATTGCTATGGTGATCAAAATGGTAGGCTTGTGTCCCATGTTGGAATTGATGTGATCAGTTTACCCAATCTTCGGTATCTGCACAGTGATGCATGATGCATAATTAATTAAATGTTAAATGATGAATTAAAAGTTTCATGTGTCTGTGGCATAAAATCAAACTAGAATACTCCCTGTGCTTGAGTCTGAGTATAATGATTTAAAATGATTTTACAATGATTCATGTTTCATTCACATACTTTACAAACTGACCCAACCCCTGCATCTATATTCGTGGTTTGAAACCTCTTCACACTCTGGCCAGCCACGATTATACTCAGTGGTTCAGTTACCACTCCTGCCACTCATGCACCAAGTGTTTGTCCGAATTCCACTTTTCCTGGTACTAGTAAATTAAAATGACATGTAATAACCCATGCCCACCCAACCTATGGACTTGTCCGAGGACTTGTCATTAACCTGCTCGTAGTTCATGTCATACATCCGGACTTGTTGCTGTAGCCAGAGAATTAATTAAATTCTGTCGGTGGCTGCTGCATAATATAGATGATCAATACATGCGTTATGGTTAATAAAACTCCACTAATATTCCACTTTCTGTCTTCATTGTTGTAATTAAACCCAAAGGAAGGTTTAGTGGGCGTTTCTGTGTTAGGTAATATCTCCAGTTAATTGTAGAAGTAATGGAAATCAATGATTTGGCGAGACCTCTTGTGGGGACTTTAGGCTTGTTCAGTGTAGGGCTTTCAGTAAAACTCATTAGGGAGAACTACGGGGTAATATTGACATATGGTTGCTATGACATCGTGAACACATTCTCATCACATATGCATTGCAGGATGTATAAGCCTATTTGTGTTGCACTGGCTGTTTTTCTAAAGTAAAAATCATAAATTTATTTAAATTTGACAATTTTATCAAAACAAGCATCAATTGATTGCCAATAACAATGTACCTAATATTAGGTTTTGCCCTTCACCGACATATAAACACTGTATAGTCTGTGTGTTAAGTACTCCCCGAGTGAAAGTGAGAAAAAATCAGTTGGGCAGTAGTTTGCCAGGACCATCTAACAATACATTTTTTGGATACATGCAAATGTGCGGGATCCTTTTTGCCCAACAGAGGAAAGGGCTAATACAAAAAGACTGAAGTATTCATTTTGCAATATTGAACACCTGATTTCCATCATTTGCGGATATTTTCGTCATTTGTGGCTTAACTGTAATTATTATTTTTTGCCACAATATTGGTCACTATAACAAATGTGATATTCCTTCACGAACGGAACCTGGCAATACAGTAACCTCTCCATTACTTAGGTTGGTTATTGATTTTTTGGTGTCATAGTTCAGAGATCTCTGACCTAAACACAATTCTAAAAGCATTTACTGTTGTGTGTTCCTGCAGTGTTTTAATGCAGCATGAAATATCAATTTTATCCTGTATCAGTGCATTATATGCCCTTCTGGCGCCAACTAGTAACAATGTGTTTCTTCTGCCGTAAATAACCCCTACAGCCCAAGCCGTATTAAACAATGTGGTTTGTGCAGAGAAGCACGAAAACCCATGCATATTACACCTGGCATTGATTGTGCAAAGTGAGTTGTTTTGTTCCAGCACTTGCAATTATTTCATTAGGAATGTCTCGCCACTACTGTGAAGTTGTGCAATTGTTATTCTCCCCTTAAAAGCTGTGTTTGTGAGGACTTTCAATAAATTACATGTAGAGAGAGAGAGAGAGAGAGAGGGGGGGGGGGGAGAGAGTCGTTAACATCATTATGCCTCAAGGATGTGCATGCTAGACCCGTGTTCCTAATTAGAAAAAGAGTGGAAATGCAAGGCTCTGTACACTTTGTAATTGTGTGATTGCGTGTGAGATAAACAGATTCCGTTAATTTAATTCAAACTATTTGTATTGGTGTACGGCTACAACTGTGAATCTGATTTCATTTTCCAACCATCTTTTGACATGACACAGGCGGGGAGTGACCTTTAAAGTGAACAAAACATATTCAGCTTTGTGTTGGAAAACTCAAAATGTTTTGTATTGGTGCCTAAACCAATTAAATTAATGTACAGTGCACAGTGGTTACTTTTTATTTTAAAAGGGAAAAGGAAAAACAGTTTTTTTGCAGTTGCATTTGCCTGCTCCCTCGTATTATAAGATAATTCTACTCTCTGTGAGTACTTTTAAAAACTGAAATCCACACTTTAGGTTAAATTTGATTACAAATCAAAGATTCTTGAAATTGGACAGGGATATGAGTTACTGAAGACAGTATTTTTTACATTCTAACATGAATTTCAATTACGTGTAAAATTTTATAAACATTTTTAAAAATTCATGTGGTACTTTTGGTATTTTTTTTTGGGGGGGGAGGACATGTCCAGTTCCCTTGGTTCTTGCAAGAACATTTATTAAAAGGAAACTTTTTAAAACAATCCAAAGTTCCTTAGTTTGGGAAATCGTATTACTCTGCATATATATTGAACTTTCAAAATTTAAGAGATTTCTGACTTTACACAAGTATTTAAGTAAAAAATGTTTTCCTGTACTTTCTTCAATCCTGCAGTCACATCATTAAGTGAGGAGATGATCAACTTAGTCATTGATATTAATCATCTTTGGTGTATACATCAACTTGGCTATTTGCCATACTGATTTCATGGCATTGTATTGATCATTATTTGCTCTCTGGAAATTTGGTAGATTCTGGGTTTCCAAGTAATACCATTGTGTGAGTTCTTTTTCATCATTTTCTTCTGTTCTATGCACAGACTTAAGGTCTGTTGTGGCCATGTCATTTGGTGGATGCGAACGGGTCTACCCGATGTTCCCCAATACCTATGTTCCCCAATACCGATATTCCCCGAAATCCTTAGGATTAGGGATAGGGTTAGGGTTAGGGTTGGGGAACATGGGTATTGGGGAACATAGGTACCGTATGCACCCCATGCAAACAGGGTGTCCTTGTTCTGAAAGAGACAACAACATTTTGCCAAACTGAATTGAAATGTGCTAAACAGATTGAACACAATTGATGAGTTTAGTATAGGCCTATGTTTCCGTTTAAGAGTTAGATGATAAAATGCTAACAGCAAAAAATAATGTACACTTTGCAAACACCCAATAAATGGAGCATCATGATCTTAGTGATAACATTTTCTTTCAGCTTTTGCTGGGATAAGATTTTAATCAATTATAAAAAGAAATACTGGTACTGGTACCGGTACCAGTCACTCAATCACTACGGAAACAAAGGTCTATAAATGAACCCAAAGAAAAGCTAGTACATGTACATGTACCGGTAGGTTTACAACATGTAAATGAGGGAATAAAATGTGTGCTTGGGAGGTTTTAAAGACTTTGTTTCAGACCGGTTGGAGTCTGGACGCTCATAACTACCTGAGCCAAAGGTGAGGGTAATTATCAGAATCCAGACTCCAACCGGTCTTAAACAAAGTTTTTAAAACCAACGAAGCACATGTATTTATTCCCATTCACAAGTATACCTTTTCGGTCACAATCCAAAACGTTTTGGTCTAAAAGTCAAAACAAGTCAGAAATTAAAAAGTTCAACGATTTTGTTCAACAATTTCATTTCATGTTTTTCAAAACATGAAATTACCCCTGCCTCCCCACAAAAAAAAATAGAAAAACTGGTAGTTTTTAATTTATGTTTTTTTTAAATTAAGCTTAATTTGTTGTACTTGATGAGGGAAGCATGCACATGGATTCTATC